ATCAGAGAATAATTATCTCTGAGAAAACAGGCAATGAATTATCTGTGAGAGAAGACTTTTTTACAGAGTCTATAAGACACTGTAAATAAAGATCAGTGATCTTCTTCTTCAAGAAGTTATCACTTATACAGAGAAGGTATAATACTCATAATCAGAAGATATTAGCAATTGTTAAATTCTTTAAGATCTGATAATATTATCTTCAGAGTAGTAGATACTCAGTGTAAGTTCTCACTAATTATACAAATCTGCATTACTTCTTGACAATAAAGAGCTTGATAGAATATTAAGTCAGATGAGCAGAGCTGCTTTTAAAGTATGATTTTTATATCTGATACTGTTCAGATTAGCTTAATCTCATCATCACACTGTCTAGACAGTCTGATTATAATATTATTAATGTGAAGAAGAATTCTATAAAAGAATCTCTGTCATCACTGCAGAAGAAGCTGGCTGCAGAGAGTTGAGATTCTCTAAAGCTTGAAAACAGCACTGAAGAGACAGCTGTGTGACTCAGTATAGAAGATAAAAGAGAACTCAGATCTCTGCAGAGAACTGACACTGAAGATTATAAGCTTCTTATATTATATCTTACAATCATTGAATTAATAAAGAATGAAATGATCTACAATCTTTCAACTCAATTACTTTTGAAATTCATTGATAAGTTATAGAAGAAGAATGTCTCTACTGCAGCTTGAATTCAGAAGTTAAAGAAGAAAGAGTTCAGTTTAAACTTGAAAGAGATAGACTCTGAGTGAGACAGTGCTGCTAAGAAATTAAATCACTGATAACTAGAAGAATATGAACTTCTACTGCTGAATGATTCAGTCTTCATCTCTTATAGCAGAGCAGTGTGTCAGAAGTTATTAAGAATTCATTATAATAATTCTCATACAGAGCACTTCAGGTTAGAGAAGACTGAGAAGCTTCTAAAATATAAATATACTTAAGATAAGCTTCAGACAGATATCAAAGAGTATATTAAGACTTATAATATCTATCAAAGAATAAAGATTCTGTGATATAAGTAATATAATGAGTTAATGTCACTGTCTATTTCAAAGAACTCATGATAGAATCTATTGATGAATTTCATAGTTGATCTACTGAAGTTGATAAGAGTCAAAGAATATGACTCAATTTTAATCATTATTGATCACTTTATGAAGATAATCAGATATATTCCTACTTATAAAAAGATTAAAGTCTCTGAATTGACTGATCTGTTTTTAGATATCATCATTCATAATCACAGTGCTCTGAAATTGTTGATAACAGATTGAGAATCTCTCTTTATTAGCAAGTACTGATCAGCTTTTTACTATTATCTTATAATAAAATGTCTTCTCAGTACTGCATTTCATCTGCAGACTGATGACTAGACTGAATATCAGAATCAGACATTAGAACAGCATCTTTAAGTGTTCTGTTTATATTATCAGAATAATTAACTTAAACATCTTCTGACTGCTGAATTCATATATAATAATACAAAGAATATAATTTTAAAGATATCTTCTTTCTATACTTGTTATGAATATAATTCTTTATTACTCAGTGACATCATGAATGATGTTTCAAAGAGAAGAATAGATAGTCAGAATGTCAGATAAATACAGAGAATGAAGTATCTCTCAGTATCAGAAGTAAAAGTGAGATTAAAACTTTTAAATAAAATTCATGAGAAGATGATGAAAAGCATTCACTGCACTCAGAAGCAGTAGATAAAATACTATAATTGAAAACATCTTCTGATAAAGTTCTTGATAGAGGATTAAATGCTACTTTTAGCAAAGAATATTAAGATAATGAGACTGTGTAAGAAGCTCAGTGAGTGATGACTAGAATCTTTCTCAGTAATAAGAGTGATGAATAAGCAGACATATAAGTTAAAATTACTCACAGAATTGAAATTAATTTATTCTGTTTTTCACATTTTCTATTTAAAGCTCTATAAGTAATACTCTGAGACAGAGTCATCTCAGCTGAATGATATTAAGATTGAGAGTGATATCAAATATCTTATAAAGAAAATATTGAATAAGTGAATATATTACAGCAAGCTTCAATATCTTATAAAATAAGAAGAATATTCATTATCAGAGAATTTGTGAAAATCACTTAAGTATTTGAAAAATGCTAAGAAAGAGATTACAAGTTATAAGATAGCTAGTAGAGACTGTCTCATTATACATCAGAGATATTAAGTAAGAAATACTGCTTAAGACTTCTTATTTTTCTCAAAGAGTTTTTTAGAGATAATCTCACAGTAATGAGCTGATGTCTTATAAGCTCTGTAGCACTCTTCTTCTATTTTCTCTCAAAGAGTTTTTTAGAAGTTTAATGAGACTATACAAGTGTAAAAATTCTAAAGCAGTTAGAGAAAAGAAATATTTAAAACTAATAAAAAAGATTAATATTAATTAATCTGCAGGTCACTACTAATCTAATGAGATTACAGCTCACTGAAAAAGTAAAAAGAAGAAATCTCAGAGTCTACTCATTAATAATCACACTCTTATCAAACTCATTCTTTATCATTGAAGTCTTCAGCACTGATATCTTTGTCTGCTGAGAAGTTAGCACTGCAGTACTGCAGAGAAGCATGCTGCAGAAGAGTATAAGAGATACTAAAAGTATTAACTTATTAACTTACAAAATATCTCAGTCATCTACTTTAACTGAAGTGAGATTCTCTTCAATCAGTGATTGATCTCTGTGATACTTTTAATAACAGCACTGACTGATCTCTTCTTAAGATCAGTTATTCTGAGATATTTTTTCATCTCAGAGACTCACACTTTCATCTTCTTTTACAGATGAGTAAGAGAGATCTTCTCAGTCTTAACAGAATTTATCAATACTTGAAGCTCTGAGACTCTCACTCTGTACTACTTAAGCATCTAAGCTTCTTGTCAGAGCTGATATGACATCTTCTTGTAGAGTAGATAATACTTACAGAGAGATAGAAGTTGTTATTACAGATATAATAAAAATAATAAGAGTGAGAGAAGAGATAGATGCACAGAATTCTCTTCTTCTTCAGCTGCTTAGCACAGTATAGACAAGTAGCAGTGTTAGTCAGAGACTGTATCAGAGTCTTCTTACAGAGAGAAGATAAAGAAACTGCAGAACTCTGTAAACTCAACTCAGTAGTATTCTGAGCAGAGCTCAGATATACTGTGAGAGAGAAACTATAAATTAAGCTTCTCAGAGTCACTGTTCTCAGAATCAAGCTCTTTTCAAGTTTCTCTCTGAATGATCACACAGGGTCATACATCACTGTATTAGCTGAGAGAGAAGACAGTGTTGCAATAGTAATAAGAGAAGTGAGAGACAGATCAGACATAGATAAATTAACTGACAGAAGAAATGACTTCTCACTGCAAGGCACAGTGACTATCACTGTGACTGTAAAAGAAGCAGAAGAAGAAGAAGATATGATAATAAGAGTAGTGCTTCTGCAGCTCATTGATATCATCATCTCTGTCTTCAATCTGACTTTCTTAGCAGTCATGAAGACTGCTGTCATATCACAAAGATGTTTACTCACTAGAAAACATCAGAATAAGTCCTCTACTGTTCTTTAAGAACAATACTCTCATACACTCACTATTGTAGATAAGAGAGAGAGAAGAAAAAAGTATCACAGAAGAGAAAGATCTTTTTAAAAAAATTCTATCATTACTGTTAGCTTTGTCTCTAAAACACACCACTTTTGCAGAGAATTTCATATATAGAATAGAAGATATTGAAAGATCTGTAAGTCACTTATTAATTACATTTTTTATCATTTAAATTGATATATAAGAAACTCACTTATCATATGTTTAATTTGAATAAAGATGAGAAAAGAAAGATCTATACAGTCAGTAGAAAAACTCATCTATTTCTTTATATCACATATAGTACATGTACTGTCAATCAGTTGATAATCATTATTATACAATAAAGATAATTTCTAATTCAGTAATCTTAAGAATATAGAGACTATACTCTTAAAGAGAAGAGTATTATCACACTTTCAGTTATATCAAGACTCTGTTACAGTTTCACACAACTTATTACTTTTATACAGATAATTTCATTCTATCTGAACTGATTTTCAACTGCTCTATAACATTATTCAGATATATTATAGAAAGATCTGATTGATGAATATGAGAATCTCACTTCTATACAAGATTAGCAGATTACTCTTTCTTGACAATGAGATGCTGCTGAGGTATCACTTCAGCTATTCTCACTCATGAAATGAGAGAAGAGTATCTGTTCATTGTCTATATAGAATAGCTAGATGCTGACTCTTCATCAAAGAAGTCAGTGATTTGTTTTACTTCTACAGAAATATACACAAGAGTTACTGTGTGTCTCATACAATCTTCTTAGTATACTAAGTATCATATCTGTGATATCCTTGTAATAACCCTGTAGCCTATGAGCTCGCTATTCAAGCAAGATAGTCAAGCTCACTCATATGACTTCTCAAACAACTACCTCTACGTGTCGCCGCTGACTAGCCACTGCTTCGGTTCCGCCACGTTACAATAAGACTATCAAAAAATCTAATTCTAATCTCAGACACAGTCACATAGTTAGTCTATACTACTATATACTCTCTATCAATACTTTTCCTCTTCAGAGTCTTGATATTATAGAGAATATAAGTCTGTTTCTATATAATAATATAAATATTATCAGCAGAATGTGAAGGAACTGATTATTTATATCTTAAAATAGAAGACTTTGTCAATGATTATATTGATATAGAGTTAATTCTCAAGTTCAATAGAAATCTAATATTGCTGTTCTCAATTCCTTGCAGAATCTATTGAATATTAAGATATTAAAACTAGATTTAATATATCTCACTGTGCAGAAATTAAAGGCTCAGTCAGACCTTGAGTTATACTGATTTTATAGTTGTTATTGTCTGCTGATTGTGTATTGAATACTCTTGCTGAGATATCTTTTTGTATCTTTCTGCCAGAGATAGGCCAGATTGAATGAGGTGATACATGAGTGGGACTTGGTGTTGATGTCTTGATACATCAAAGACAGACGCGGAGGTTGCACTTCAGATGTGTTCATTGATTATGTGCTCAATACTATTGCTGAGGTACTGCGAGAACTACGAGTGGGAAAATGGTTTTAACTGGGACTGTATTAAACCCGGGGCAAAGAAAAGTAAAACCCATCGACCAAAAAAGAAAAGAGCGATTTGTATCGAGATCCATTTAATAAGGGTCCAGGTGTGTTCCTGTACATATACAGTACCATATGTTATGTACCTACAGTAGAAATACTCCTATCCAGTTATCTATCGCGGCTTAACTCTGGTCTCAATGCCGCAAGTGTACTCTTTACATCATAATAAATGAGAAAAAGTGAAAGATGGCAGAAAGCATTGGATAAAACGGCTCAAGGAGTAAAGGAAATTAATCTCCGATTTACCATCCTTGCCCTTGACCCCCTAAAGCTAACCAAAAATGAAGCACAATAATAATGACCCCTCAGTCCAGCCCGAGGGAAAATTCGGGAAAAAAAGAAAACAACAGCAAAGTGAGGATGTGAAATTAAATATAAGAGAATCAAAAGGTAAATTTGAGGGATGGTCACAAGATAAGAGACCGACGATTTGAGGTGATAAGAAACGAGGTGAGGAGGAATAATAAGAGAATGGTGAAATAAATTCGAAGGGGATAAGACGTTAGTATATGAACGGGAAACAAAACCAAAGAGGCGAGACTAGCTAGCGGATGGATAGGAATAAACGGCAATCGGCAGCGATCACTAAGAAGGCATGATATGTATAAATGAATAGCAGAGGGATACGATCAAAAACGAAGGTACACGTGGGTATTTTGGGTATTGTATTTGATTGAAGCACAAAAAAAAGAAGGCAGTGAACAGAGGAAAAGGAACGGGGTAGTGATATACCCATCATGTCGTACTCGTAGTGTGAAAACAATGAACGCAACAAATGAGATCGAAACGGATAGTGGTGCGGACTGGAGATAATGAAGAGCTGTGGCGTGAATGGCGAGCACCGGAGGGGGATGGGAGATGGAAGACCTTTGGAAATATGGTTGGGAATAGATGCTGCCAGAAGAGAACGCCCTGATTGACTATTTTTTGGTGGAAGGAAATTCAGGGAGGAAATGGAGTGAATAGATTCAACAGTCAAGGCGATAGAGGTCAGCCAATAATAAAAAAGGGCGCACGAAGGAAGGACACCCGGAGGCCAAAAGCCTGAAAACAAGAACACGCCTCGTCAACACCGATATATTTAAGTATCGCGGATCTTATAATATCGAATGTTTTGTGGTTTCATGCAAATAATTAAGCGCCTTAGTCTCATGTGATCGTATTTTTCGTAAACGCCCGCCATTTGCTTCTCGGTTATTTTCTTGCTTTTTCGGGTAAGTTTTTCCATCTCGATATCGACACAAGCAAATCAAGCAGGAAGACGTGTATAAGCTCCGCGATATGACATGGAGTGATACATTTTTGTTGTGGGTGAAAGTGGTGCGAAATACCTTGAACAGAACTTGTTCGCGCCGTAGTCGCGCTCAACCGGACGGATATTATAGATGCATACGGAAGGGTGAAGGATCAATAAAGTGATTGGTATCGCCTATTTCGCCACAGATGCTTTCATTTTCCGAGCCATCCAGCCAGTTAACAGCTCATCGAGCCGGACTGACATTTCATTAAGTCCCTTGCTCTCTTCTTTGAATAGACTACCTGTTATCGGATGATCAGGGCCTGCGGGTGTCACATTAGACTTGTCATGGACAATGATGAGGAGATCCCGGATATCGGTATCATCGTCAAGATAAGAACGAAGGCTAGCCTCGCTCCATGTTGGTGTGTTGGTAGAGGAAGTCGGGGCGCTGTTTTCCTCCACTTTGTCGTCTGGATGTTCAACAAGCTCCGGAGAGGAGGGTGTCGGGGACAGTGCCAGATTCTGTGTTTCATCGACAGATGAAGTATCTGTTGTCAAATCTGGAGGGTTATTACGATTTCGGTGCTCTGGAGATGATATGTGAATTGGAGAATCCATGTCCTCATATTCTTCCTCATATATAGGCGTGGATCGAATCGTTTCTTTGCTTGGGTTGCTCCTGGCATTGCTTGATGGGTTTTGTGAAGAATCAACAGGAGAGATTGATGTGCTAAGGAAAGTAGTCGTCGTTGGGGAGTCCAGATTCGGGCTAATTTGGTCCTGAGAAGTAGAAGTTGCGGGTTTTTCACGAGTCGCTTCTTTGACACGAAGTAGCTGTGGAACATCAGCTTGGGAATCATGTGGAACGGCCCGCACGGAAGCGCCGGGGCCATCGTTTGCTGTAGATGTCGTGGAAGTTGCCACATTGCTAAGCCCTTGTTGGGCGACTGCTTGCATACTGTCAGTCTTAACTGGAGAAGTATCGCGTGGGGTTTTTTGTAGTTTGCTAGGATATCGCTGGGATGAGTTTTGGGATTTCGAGGACTGACGTTCTTCCTTCGATGATTCACTAGATGTCTTGGGAGGAGTCGCCGAGCGTGTCGATTCCTCTGAGATATTCTCTGATTCTTCCATATCATCGTCAATGGCTTTACTTTTCTTGTCTTTCCTTTTGAATAAGCCACTAAGCATGCCTGATTTTTTCTCCTTTCGCTTTTTGTCATCCTTGGTTTTGTCTCCCGAATTGATGACTTTATCAAAAGCTTCGAGGCTTCCACGTCCTTTCACCTAATTGACCAAAGTGGAATTAGTTAGCCAAATGTGAAAGAGAGATATATAGAGTAAATTGAACAAGGCATTGAAACAATACCTCTTTAGGATCATTTGTGGCCGCAGGTCCATTATTCGAATCGTCACGCAAGAGGTTTGGAGTCAATGATATCTTCTTGGTCTCGAGGCTATCATCCTTGAAGAACGAGTCTGTGTTCCGCACTACACCGTTCCTCGACCTGCCGGTAGGATTGTCATCTGTTTCTTGACTTAGTTGCGTGGAATAAAATTGCCAGGGGAGAAATTTGGGTTCACCTTGTCTATCAAAAGAATCCTCGTTTGCCCGAACCCTCTCAGGGCTAGGATCTCGGTCAGGTTCAACTTCACGTGCGCTTGAACCGTCTTTATCTGTTTGTACTTTTGGTCGAAGTGGCTCGACAACGATGTCCTCGTCATGGGATTCTTCTTGCCCATCATTCGTTTCCGATTGGAGGATTTCTTCATCGTCGTCATTGTCAAAGAACTGGTCATCCGGGTCGTCTTCTTCTTCGGTAGAATATTCGACATCAGACGGTTCGTGGTAAACTGGAGAAGACGTAAAAGTAACGGTCTTTGCATTTCGCCTCCGCATGGCCTTTTTCAGGGGGTTCTTTGATTTCTCCGCGTTATCTCCCAACATTGTCGCAGAGAGCTAGACATAAAATTAGCACTAGCTGGTAAGAAATCATGACACCAGAAGCATACATCAATATTTCTATGCTTGTTCAAACGCGCCAGGCGTTCTGTTGGGGTCTCGATATGTTCAGCGGGCAGATAACCTAGAACTGTTAGTACCAATACTATAAATTCAACGACGCATGAACCAACCTATGCTGCCATCCTTCACAACCCTGACAAGCCACCAGTAGCTATTACTATCGTCCAGGAGAACCATTGTGTCACCCTTGGTGGCATTCGCCTGTCCCTCGACAGTCGCCACGAAAGTATGTAAAGCGTAGACAAATTCGAAATCGATATCTTCTGTTTTGATGTAAGTGATTATGAGCTCCATCAAAAGGAGGCCAAAAAAAAAAAATAGAGTAGGAAAATGTAGAAGAAGAAAATAACATATGGGGTAGCCATCACGAAACGAGCATCGAATGGAACGTCCATAAGAACTAGCTGATGGCTATATAACAATACTAATTTAGTTGAAAAACATAGCGTTCCCATTTCTTGAACAAGGAAGCAATTATGGCGGTTATCATCATGTTTGGTGGGAGGGGTAGAGCGTTGTTGCCATATGTAACCCAAGTTACTCATATCCATCCCCTTGGGCGGGTTGACAGTGCGCCATTCCCAACGAATTGTTGCGGCTCAGCGAGGCCTTCGGGTCAGTGCAGTGCATTACACACCCTCAAATCATCAACTTCCCCTACGGACGAATACAAGAAAACGGGGGAGCGCATTCGGACCAAGGATTGGGATGCGAAGTACAGAAAATCAGGCCCCAAATGAAATAGAATAGAGATACAAATCGAAATAGAAACGAAGGGACTCTTCAACGACCCAGGGGCTGTCGAGTGAGAGAGAAAGAGAGCGCATGGGGACATGCAGGATAAAGTTGAAAAAGAGTGGCACCTACCATCATCGATGGATGGAGAACTGGATATCTTATCCAACATATCATCATCCAACTGGTCATCACTTTCGCCGTCGGTAATATCTCCTTCATCTGCTGACGAATGGCCGTTTGAATAGTGATCAATGCCGTCATGATGTGCCCCGTGGTCATGGCCATTCATTTCATCCTCAGAGTCGTCGGCGTGGCTGCGATCTACAGAAACTCTGGGACTTTGAACCAATTCCTCTCTGGCCTCTTTCTCCGCATTCCGCATCGCTAGAGATTGGTGTGGCGCTGTTCGATTGCCGTCTGACGAACCTAGTTGGTCCTGTTGGCGTGTCTGGTCGTGCGTGGATTGGGAACGGTTACCCTGCAGGTCGACGGTATCTGAAAGAATGGTTTTGATCGTATTAGATGTCTATGAACTCAAGCAACACGCAATAAACCCCGTTATGCTATATTGTACCCTTCATTAGATACTCACCTGCTCGAATTATCTGAGGCCTGGTCATCGTTGCGGGTGATGCGCATGCCAAAGAAATAGTTCAAGGGGATACTGAGTAAAATAGGTAGAGGGGGAAAAGATAGCACGAGCATTTGCTAAAAGAGGTTCCCGAAAGGAATATGGACAGGCGACAACGGAACAGTGTATAGCTCTGAAATTGTAGGGCGAAGGAGGAGAGCCGTGAGAAGGAGTCCGCTGCGGGAGCGGGGAAAGCGAGAACGAGAGACAGAAGGATTGAGGCCTCACCAACCCCAGCAGAGACAAGACAACAGCGCGCAGAAGAGGAGAAGAAGCAGGAGGAGAAGCAGAGGACAATGAAATGGCCATCCACGAGGGCTGGGACAACAAAACAACAGCCAACAGACACGATCCCGGCCTGCGTCTTTCAGGAGAATCCCTTAATTCGAGCGACGTGGCTTGGCGTTGGCTGGCTCAGAAACAAACGCGACAGGCTGGGCGCGCGTCTATTGCGCTTGATGCCCCTGGCGGCTGTTGGATGCCAAGGCCCTTATCTCCAGCCAATCGCAGCGCACCCACGGATCCCTCCACAAACGCCCTCCAAGGCAGGGGGGTTTGCCGCCCACGTGACCTTATCCCGAGCTCTCGCCTGCTTCACCCGATGCCTGGCGACGAGAGAACGTCGTCTGCTTTTTCCCTCCATCATCACCGCTCACCACCTCGCGCGACTCCAGGTTGCAGCTCCCGTCTTCCTGCCCATCGGCCTTGTATCTCGCCAGCGCCTCTCTATAGGCTCATATTCTCCTCTCTAGGAGTATACCCAGCCAAATCGGCCTGTCTTGCTCTGTGCCAGTTGCTGGCTGCTGTTCGACCAAGATAGCCCAAGCCCGTTGGGACGGTCGCCCCGCCCTGTAGGCCCCGCGCACCCAGCCCGTCTCCACCCTGTCTCGTCGTGCTGCCGACTGAGCTCAGTTTCTATCCACATGACTCTGCCTGCTATCGCCTGTGGGGATACTACTGGGGGCCTGCTCTTGCTACTGGCCCAACCTTAAATATCTGGCTCCCTCGCTTGCTGTTACTGCAGCTTCTGCTTCTACGGCTCCGACTACTACCGCTTGTCAACTGTTGAGACTGCAGGGTTCACTACTAGCCGTTGCAATCACCTCCTCAAGGGTGAGGGCATGGCTCTTGAGGAGATCCGAAAGCTTGAGAATTTGACGTTAGATCCGAATATTACGAGTTCACCAGGGTTAACAGAGAATGGCCATGGCCATGGACGTGGACATGTACCAACCCCGGATGGCAATAATGCCAGGCGAGCTTCACATGAAGTTGCCCACTCCAGCCGCCAGCGTACCGGTGGGCTCGAAGGAAGCGATGGTGCTTTAAATGACGCCCATGTTCCGACTCCTCCCATCCCTGTGCCTTGCCCTGAAGACCATCATTACAGAGCAGGCGCTCCTGATGATCTGGAATATACCCATAACCCTCGCTATATTCAACCATCGCCACTCGAGCAATTCGCTCGAAATGATCAACCCTCGATTAGCCACAACGCTGATTACTCTGTTGAGCCTGGAAGCCGGAACCAACTGGAAAATGCATCCATCTGTCCGAGGCTCGATGTCGACGCGTGCGTGGATAGATTATCCCACGAGAAACGCGATTCTGGAAGCTCCGCAAATGCGCTTCCAATTGGCTCGCCTCACTGTGACTTTTTCTCCCCGTCCGTAGTGACTTGTGGGGGTGACGCTGGGCAAGCTGGGGAACGTCCTACTTCTCTCACCTCTCTATCCACCGCCTCACCTGCCACTGATGAAGTGCGTACTCCACCAGAAGCAACCAGAGACATACTTCTGTCGCCTTTCTCGGCTTATCCTAGGATCTACCGGCCTGCATCATTGGATGATGGGGGCGCATGGTCTAACTTTGTACCTCAGCCATTTGGGAGCCGATCTAAAAGCTATACTCTAGGCCGGGATGGCAGTTTACGACACAACCTATCTCATGATTCTGGCCGTTCTACCAACTCAAGCGGTAAGTCTCCAGCCAGCACGTTTCTGTCCCTCTGGAGCCGTGAGGAGGTTCCTCCGAAACCTGATGATGAGGGTCAGGTTGTAGGAACAGACTACGTGATAGGCAAGCAAATCGGATTTGGAGGCTTCAGCACAGTGAAGGAAGCATTTAAGGTTCATGGGGAGGGCGGACCAGAACGGTCGGCTGTTAAGATTGTCAAGAAACACCTCGCTGGTCAAAGTGAAAGAGAAAATGAGCAACTCCAAGCCGAATTCGACCATGAAGTACGCATATGGCGATACCTAAACCACCCCCACATTCTGCCACTCGAAGCAGTTTACGAAACCGATTATGCTACATTTTGCTTTACAAGATTAACCACAAGGGGCACTCTGTTTGACTTGGTCCGCAGACATCGCCAAGGCCTTGAAATGAATGTTGCCCGAAGCTATGCATACCAATTAGCATCCGCTATCAGATACTTGCATGAGGATGCACGTGTTGTCCATCGAGATATCAAACTGGAAAACTGCCTTTTAGACGCAGCAACGTCTACAGAACATGGAGATGTGGCCCAGCTGATACTATGTGACTTTGGGATGGCAGAATGGTTGACATCTGAAAACGGCGGTGGAAGCTCACCTGATCCGTACGATAATGCCGCGGATCGCCCTCCCCCCAAAGCCATAGGTCCTTCGGATACAAGTACTAGCGTTGCCGGAAGCCTGGAATACGCTTCTCCAGAGCTGCTATCATCCGTGAATGGACTCATTGATCCAATTGTGGATATCTGGGCTTTTGGAGTCGTTGTTTTTTCTTTGGTTGTTGGCTCACGGCCCTTCCAGGACTCTTTTAAACCACGGATCAAACTCAATATTATGCAAGGTCGTTGGGACAGCGCTTCTGTTCTGAAAGGTCGGGGTGATCAACAGGACCGGCAGAACGCATTGGAGCTAATCCAGGGCTGTCTGGAGATGGACACGATAAAGCGATGGACCATCCGAGAGGTCTTACAATGCCGCTGGTTTCAGGGGTGTTCTAACAGCACAGATCATGCTGGTGATGCTCCGCAATGGAGATTTTAGGCCCTGCCTTCTACCCATCGTGATTGCGTTCGTTATGTATGGGATATGACGATATGTTACGATTGTTTTATGACGGTTATGTAAGGAACCACCAAGGTGTTACGCAAAGTGTATCAAGTGTATGGTGTCCTTGGTGGATTTATTTTTGCATGCACGTTTATTATATCCCTTTATTGTCTTAGCGTTCGTATTTGATACCCCGTGACTCTCATTAACCAAAAGTGTGTCGCATCTACTTATTATATACCTCTCTGCGTTCGTTTTGCTTTTCTGGTTTCTTATGTCTAGCGAGCTCAGGAGGGGTAGGCCTTTTCTGTTTGATGGTTTGGCGTCCATGCACGATTTCTCCCAATTGCTACGCTGCATAGGCTATGACGATTTTCCTTCTATTTTCTTTCTTTCTCTTCTTTTTTTTTTTTTTTTTTTTTTTTTTTTTTTTTTTTTTGCCGTTTGGCAGATTACGTCCACTTCACTTAGCATTGATGAAATTGAACCGCGTGAGGGTTGGCTGGGGTTTTAAGAATTTTTTTTCTTTCGGTATTTGATTTAGCATCCGGTTTTCTTTGCATATTTATCTCATTATCCTATCCCATTTCATTTGTGATCGGGACTCTCACCACCTCTCATACATCTCAGTCCTTGTGCTGAGTTGTGTATTACTATCGAATCAAACCTTCAGTTCCCCTCTATTCTTCCTTCACCACTTTTCCCTTTCCCTTTTCCCGTTTCCCCATTTTCCCACAATCATGTTTGCACCGCTATTTCTTTCGGAAATCGATAAACTCCAATGCAGGAACATTCTCATCACACTACTAGTGAAAACCAGAAGCCATTCTTGATTTTGGCCGAGCGGGGCGAACAGCTTATGTATTACCATGCAGAATTCATTTTCACGGGGCCTATAGGAGGGAAATTGGCAAGGGTGATGGCAATATTGTATCTCGAGACTTTACACTCACCCCACTCGATCTTTCACTGTCCTCCTTTGACTTCCGCCCCCAGCTTTTATTCGCTCCAGTGTTTTTTTCCGTTTCTCCGCTCCAGTGGTGACTTCTTGTTGTCATGGTTTGAAATGGGGATTATATTTTCTTCTCCTTCTTCTCTTTCTTCTCTGCACCGCTCTCGTCTCATTCTACAAATAGTCCACTTCTATTTGACCCTCCACTTTGCCACACAGATTGCTAGATTTCGCTTCCACGATACCTTTCTTCCCCTCCTTTTGAGAAAGGGCTTCTCTTTGCCCCTTTCTTCTCCCCTTTGCTTTTTATCCCAGCACTGGCGTTTTTTGCACGTGGTACTCGTTCATATGGGCGATCTCCCTTACTTGATGGGCGTGATAATGTTGATAATATGATGTAAGCGGGGGTGTTGTTAAAAAAAAAGGATTTAGGGGGGTGGAAAAAGGGTTACAATGTATGTTAACATAATTAGGCTGTTAATGAGTTCGAATAATTGCGATGAATTGCTTCTGAAAAAGTCTGCTTATGGAAGCCAAATTTTATGAGAAGTTTTGCCAGTATCAAGACCCTTTTTCAACACGCCCGGAAAGGGAAGGGTAATATCCGCAACTAGCGAAAGTTGTTTGAGTAGGAATAAGAGGGTCGGAAAAGGAGCTATTTGCCCTTACAGCACATGAATAAGCCTTTGCCAAAATATAACCTAAATAAACCCATTTGAGGAATTTGTTTCTCTAGTATACAGTAAAAACCAAACAAGGCAATGCAGAATCAAATACCTACATAAAAAGTCGGAAAGGAAGAAACAAGCCCCTTCTCCTGCTGGATTCCTAACACAAAAATGCAAAAGGAAAAGGAGGAAAACGTTTTAAGCACCATGCCACCTTCCCCCTCTACCACAACCTATTGTCGCTAGAAGGCATACCCTCCTTACTCTTCTTATGCGCCTTACCGGGTGCAGTGAAGAACAAGCTAGGTGTCTCCCCTTTCTCCACAAGATAACTCAAATACCCCCGATGGGCCGAATCACGATAATACTCGATATCCTTCCGGCTCGTCGGGTCCGGCAACCGATACGAGAACCCATCACCCTTGACACGGGGCTTATCAATGCCCATTCCGATGGTCAGATTCTCGCCCGCGTTGAGCCACGCAAGCGAGACGAACGGGTCCGTCTTGCCGGATAGGATCCGCTTGATTGCGTGGCGCGTGTAGTAGCGGGTGGTGATGGAGCCGCCGGCGGCTTCGACGGCTTCGATAGCCGTGGCGGAGGCCCGGGAGACGACGATCTGGACGGGTTGTTTGAGGGCTTCTTTGCCGCCGCGGGCGAGCAGTTTGACGCCGTCCTTGACGCCGTGGATGCAGCGGGACTTTGCCAGTTCGCGGACTGTGATGGGGCGGGAGGGATCGAGGCGGCCTTGGTCGATCCATTCTTGGATACGGTCGAGGTTGACTTTGGCAATGTCGAGGGAGAAGCTGGGGAGATTTCACGGTTAGAGATCTTGTCTGTCTTCTGGTCTTATCCTCTTCCAAAGGGGAAATGAAAGTAAATATGGGTCAAATGTTCCTTACATGTTTTTAAATCCATGTTCACCATGCACAATCTCATCCTTCGTCTGCCCACCGTTGAAGCCCGCGGGGACGCTTCCATGCTGCTTCTGACCCTTGTGGCCACGTCCAGACGTCTTACCCTTTCCTGACGCAGGACCCCGACCACGTCTTATCCGTTTGTTGTACGCTGTCGCATTATCGGACAGCTGGGCAAGGATAGAGGCTTGTCTGGTCTGGTGTTGTAGGACTGGGAGGAGAAATGACGGCGGAGACGTGGTTTGGAATAGTGATGGCAGCTGCATTGGCAGCCGCCAGCTTAATCGAGGAGGCATTGGGGCGGTAAAATCGTATCTGGATACTCTATCTTGCCTGATGATGGAGCTCTCATGCGCTTCTCTAAAGATCGAAGATTTGCTCGGCCCAGAGTCATGTGATTTAACAAGTCACGTGATTATCTCTCATCACGTGTGGTCGGGCTTCCATCCAATGGAATATTCAGTGGCGTATATTCTACAAAGAAACATACTGACAGATTGGAATATTTATTTGGGGTCAACTTACTGACTTACGGTCTAGAGCGAGGTTTCGACTCAAGATGATATTGCGGGGGATGTGCCCAATACAAAAGCAAACAAACTACTCTCAAAGGCCAGACAAATTCAAGCTGGCTGATTCTTCTTCCCAGCCACAAATCTAAAGTCTCTCTTAAATCTAGTTCCCTGGAATCCACAAAGCCTAAAACTTGAGGATAATGGATGCGGGGGAGGGATGTCATTATGCCGTAATCGCATCATCCCTCTACCCTCTCACTACTCAACTTCCTATCCTCTTCGTCAATCCCTCTGCGGCAAATAATCCTCATGCGTCCTTAACTTATTGGATTTATACATGGCCAATGCACACGGGCAGCACCAGCAGCGACGCAAGGCACCGCGAGCATGAGTGACGCACCCAAAACAATCATCTGCGTAACTGTTACTATTACTCTGGTGCTCGTCATATTCAACCTCTACCTCCTTGCGCGAACAGATCTATATCCAATGGCACACTACGCGGCGTGGGAAGATGCGAGTGAGGGAGAGTGGTTACATAAAACTGTAGAGTGTCCAATCTCATATTTTGTATCCCCCAATCTTGTAACACTGCTGTTTCGAGTTACGGGAGAGAGATGGAAAAAGAAGGTCAGGAGGAGGAGGAGGCGGAGGGAGAAGAAGAGGAGTGCCCCGTCATGAGATCGAAGCTGTCTAATACCACCTGTTTTCTCCTGTTGTGCACAGTTCGAAGAACCTAACTCGAAGAATGGAGCCACGGCCATTCCTTGAAGTGTAAGAGCGGATAAAAAAGCAAATGGTCTCTTGCTCTGCCAGTACTCCTGTGCTTCGTACCCCCAACCGCAGGGGAACGGAAGCAGCTGCGTGCGAGTACGTGGTCTGGATAATCATAGGCGTAATTGTATGTACATACTGGGATGGGAAGTAATATTTTGGATCTAGGAGAAGCGTTACTTAGTAATTCTCCCAATCGCGTTGAAGCAAGGGCAAGGGGGGCCATGATACAGGAGTAGTTGAAATGCGTCACAATTCAGAGATGAAAGGCTAGTTTTTGCACTAAGATGAAGTCCCAGTCAACTTGTTTGAACTCCTATTGATCGTAATGAACAAAATAGACTTTGCCCATAAGAGACACCTAATATGATAATTCAAAGCCAGAAAAGGAGGAAGACGGAGGGAAATCTATATCGATATCATAGTAAAAATGGGCCGTTTCTCAAGGGGGACTGCAATCATGAAACTGAGTCGAGGAGGAAAGTCATACTCTGCGGAATACCGAGACATTATTAGAAAGAGTATAATTAGTATATCATCGGGAAATAGGATTAAGGAGACGGGTAAATTGCCCAGCATAGTAGAAGATACAAACCTGTAAAGCTCAAGAAAACAGAAAAGCGCCTACTAAAGGAGGGAACAATAAAAAGTTACAGAATACAAGAAGGCTTTTATGATACGGGACGCCAGGAGACATTAAAAGGGGGAAAAAAGGTAAAAATAAAAAGACGCGGTCTATGGTTGGTGGGACAATAGAGATAGATGGGAAATATGTAAATGAAAAAGAAAAAAGAAAAAGAAAACTGGCAGGGAGCATCAAAGTGAAGCGCAAATCCTGCGGGAGTCAGAGAAAAGGGGCAGAAATCTATAGTTGGACGCTGGATTCCGTGTTGTGCAGTCTATTTCGCATTTTGGATATGTAAAAGCGTTTCATGGTTACTGCGGTAGAAGAGACTTGGTAGATGATGGGGAGCACATCCGTATATTACTGGCGGGGAGCTATGTCAATAAAGTTAGGTTGATATCCATCCACTGCGCTCGCGCTAAGGCAGTTTTGATGGACATATTTGGTTGGAAGGCTCGACGCTGAAAAGGCTCAGTTTCTTCTATCGAAGTGAGAATTTATTCTCGGGAGACATCACGGCCGAACATCTTCGCCTTTATCCAGTCAAACGCGACCAGGACTCGGTTGCGAGCTGAGAATGAAGGTATTAGCTTTAAAAATCCAAATTTCCCATAGGCTGATCAAAATTATGGGAATAAAGGAACTTACTGCTGAAGCACATGCTCAGATAGACGCTCCGCCAGAAGAGATAGGTAAGAGTTCCACCACTGGCGATATTTCCGCTCAACCAGCTGACATCCGCTACAGCACGCTCCTTGCCGATATATGCAAGGCTTCCTTGATGAGAATATTGGAAGGGCCCAATCTGCTTAGTTCTCCGCAGGGTTCTCTGTAAATTCCTAATCTCATCCAGGACTTTGTTGCGCTCTTCTTCGGTTGGCGCCTCCGCCTGTGCTTTGGAGAGAGCCTTTAATTCATCTTCGATAGCTGCGGTCTTGGCCATGGTGTTGAAAAGACGGGCAAGGAACGCGCCCTCTTGACTAGCCACCTGGGCTGTTGGCGCATAATTTGTCACAGCACAGTCGCCCACGGCCCAGATGTTCTCCGTTCCGTTCACGACAAGATATTCGTTGACTGCAAGGCCACGGCGCGAGTTCTTTTGTGCTGGTATTTGGCTCATTAGGTCGCGGACAACACCACGAACGGTGTTACCTGTAGCCCAGACAAGGAGGCCATAAGGGATAGTCTCCATTTCCTTAGTTCCATCTGGGTTAGTACTTTCTGCTTCGATGTATTTATCAGAGACCTTCTTCACCATAGTCTTCGTCCGGATTGTGATGGCTTCTTCCTTGAAGGTGGATTCGGTATAGTCAATCAGCTGCTTGGAGAAGGTGGGAAGAACCTGGGTGAAATGATAATTAGCAATAGGAATCGATTAGATAGGCAAAAGATTAAGTTCCGTACATTTGGAAGGGCCTCCACGAGTGTGACTTTGAAGTTATCTGTTATCTCCGGCACCCACTTCTTGAGGTCGTCATTGAAAAAGTCCTGCAGTTCACCGGCGAACTCAACTCCAGTTGGGCCACCTCCAACTACTACCATATGAAGGAGTCTCTTGACCTCCTCCTTGGTTTGGTCCTTGAAAATCGCAGTCTCCACGCAGTCCATAATCCTCTTTCGGATTTCCTGAGCATCACCAACCTCCTTTAGGAAACACGAATGCTCCCGAACACCTGGGATACCTAGGGAATAAAATAGAATGCATCAGTACATATAACCGTACTCCTAGCGGATCTAAAGATAACTAACCAAAAGTAGAATTCTCCGCTCCAACTCCAACTACTAGCATATCGTATGGAACTTCCGTTGTTGACGTATCACCTCTGATCTCCGATACATCACTGATGCGCACCACCCTCTTCTCGGGGTCAATCTTTGTAGCGCTAGCTTCGTAGTACTTTACTGCAGCTTTCTTATGGCGCAGAATGTTCCTTATTGGTTCCATAATTGAGCGATGCTCGATTAAACCGGTTGTACACGACGGGAGAAGCGGGGTAAAGAGGAAGAAGTTCCGCGGCGAGATGACGATAACATTGTAGTTTTCCGTGTCCAATCTTTTTAGCAGGGATACAGCTCCCCATCCGGTTCCTAATCCACGTATATATGTCAGTTTTAGTTGCCCACAGTCATAGCATAGTCGCCAACTATCAAAACTGGATGTCTGCGCACCTAGAATAACCAGTGTTTTCTTCGATGGATCAGGCTGTATTTGTTCATCTGGATTCCGGAGCAAGTAGATACTGTATCCCAGAGAGCTTGCACCAGCCAACAGAGAGAGCAATGGCAATCTGTACATCCATCTCAAACCTCTGAACCTCCGCTTCGGCTTCGGCTGCTGAGGCGGAGGCGGAGGAATTGGCACAGTTGCGTAAGCTCTTCGGAATGACCGTTGGAGGACTGGTTTGGACAGAGAAGTATGCCTCAATGGCTGAACATAGTGACCAGGCCGTATCGACAGAGCTGTAACGGATCTGCGGGCTACTGGCGACAACTGGGTGGCTTGTCGTGAGAGCATATTGGGTCGAGTCATCAGGAATTTGCTGGTCATTGCCGATTCGGCACCGCCGAGCTAAATATACGCCGAAAAAATAAAGCAGCAAATGGAAACAGGTTGGATTGCAAGGGGAACGAGCACACGAAAGTAAATGGTTTTCAACAATTAATCAACCATGTCAAACGATCTCTAGGAGAAAGGAAAGCACGAGAAAAAAAATTTCGTTCGGCGTGATACTGACTCGAATGATATCAGTAGTGTGACTGACTGGCCGTGTCTGCTTGCGGCAACAAGAGACTTTTTTTATATAACTAAGCCAGGACCTACTACCCAGTCGGGCCAAGACCGTTGGCAGCCAAGCGGGTCTGCTACGGCAGCCTATAGTGACATTTGAGTCAAATGGGTATTTTATACTAGTGTTACAATGAGCACACATCAATGATCTGATTGTCTTTTCATTATATTGAAAAAATCTTCTATATCTGCAAAACTTTTATTTGCGGAGCGAAGCGAAGCAAATATATGATGAAAACCCTGGTCATTAAAAGTGGAGAATTTCCTTTTTGAGGTTCTTGGCGTGAATACAGCCCACTGATTGGTGTAGAATTAAGCAAAGCACAATCCCATGACATTGTACTATCATATCTATCATCTACTGTTAAGAGTCTCAGAGGTTGATCAGCTCTTCTACCAGCAGTGCTGGTGGTGACTGAGCTCTTTTGTCTCAGTAGTCTACATCTACTCTATACAGATTCTTGAATAACAGATCACATATCTCATTAACTATCTACTCTATACAGATTCTTGAATAGATAACACATCTGATTAATAATCTACTCTATACAGATTCTTGAATAGATAATGCATCTGATTAATTATCTCTTAATACTTATAGATTCTCAAGAATGAATAATGTATTAAAAGTCTGTGTTCACTGCTTATAAAATCAGTCTCTTGATTAATTTATTTCTTTACAGTGTTTTACTACTTCTATAGCTATCTATCTTCAATATCACACTTAGAGAACTCAGATATTGTAATCTTCTCTTATTATATCTTTTCTATCACTGATTATCTCTTTACACTGTGTAGAACTGTAAATAAACATGTATAGTAAAATCAGATTCTTCTACAGTTATAGATTCTATAATAAATAAGTCTGAACTCTCTCTATTATTCTAGATATATTAATACTTTATATAATTAACAGTAGTCTTTTAAATCTGTGAACAGTCTATTAATATAAATATATTATCTAAGATTAAGTTTTATCACTGTAAGATTTATAGTTCTGATATATCTTTATTAATAATAGTCTGTAAAAAGAAAACTGTTATTCAAAGAACTTACTATATTATCAGATATTATAGAGAACATCTCTTATTAACTTCATTCTTAACTTAATTAAGAAAATAGCTGTAATTATTATCTTTAATAATTAATTCATCTCTTAGTTTTATAGATCTCTCTTCAGTCTTTCATTAATTATCTATATTATTATTTAACTTATTCTTAAGTCAATCTTATTTCACTTTACAGATATGCTTTTACTATAGTTACAGTTCTATCTCTTCTATTAATAAGCTATAAAATCAATCTTACAGAGTCTTCTGTTTTAAGCTTAGCTCTGCAATGTCTTTGTACACAGAGACTTGTATGTATTAAGATATTTTATTTTTTATATATACACTTTTATATTGAATTTTTTTTAATAGTTAATTTAAATATTAAATATTATAAACTGCTGCTGTTAATATTTAACCTACTATCAACCTTTATAATAATTTAAATAAAATCTCTAATTATACAAGTCTGTTTATTTTATTCTTGTTTGCTATCCTCTCATCGGGGAGCGAGGCAACAATTAGCGTATTTTTCTGCCACCCCAATTATTGACTGCTTATTGGCTGAAAGCCACGAATTCAACTTGCCTATTGGCCATATCAAGGCGGTAAGACACAACGCTAATTGTTGCCTCGCTTCTAGACAAGAGAGTAGCATGTTTATAGTAATATATTAAATAACTTTTTTTAAAATATTTTTCAGTGTAAAAGCATAATTTTTATTTATTATATTGCACTAGTTCTAATATAATTAGTATATTACTATATATAATTTAATCAGTTTTAATTTTTTATAAACTTTATTTCACAGATATCTCAATATATACTTCATAGATTTTTTAAATATATATTAAATATAGAAATTTCTAAATATAGAGATCTCTGAATAGAGGTCTCATTTAATATAAAGCATTATTTGTACAATCTTCAATAAGAAGATTTTAATTGTTAATACAATCAGTATCAATTATATGTGCTCATTGAAACACTAGTATAAAATACTCAAAAAGAAGAAAAGAAGTTGTCCTAGAATGAAGCAATCACATGCAATCAGCTGCTAGTATAATAATAAATGGCTCCGTGTATCCTTCATCAGTCTCCATCCAGTTCGCTCACGGTTGGGCCAGCGTGGAAACGAGATTGATATCGTCCGACATCTTCCGTTGGGCACTTCAGCTTGATGCGCCTGAGATCATTTGGGCTTTACAGGATTGCGGATTGTCCCGAATCGATAACTAAATATACCATCGGCTAAGAAACATTCAATATCTGGGTATGCTATGCTAGGACGTGTTCCAATTTTGAGGAGGGGTGGGAATTTACAGCCAGAATTCTACTTCAACTGGAATAACTCACGATGTTTCCCGAAGGGCAAAATGAGAGCGTCATCCTGGATACTTGGCGTTGAAAGGGGGCTGAAATGAATACAACAGCAACTCTCAATGCTCCCATCGCCCGGTTTTCCCAGCTGACATATATATATATCATACCGCTCTCGAACGTCAGAGCGCGGAAACATTCGGCCTGTATTTATAACCCTGAGGGCCTCGCAGGGCAATTTACGGCTTCCTGTCCCCTGAAGCTTGACACGTTCCTTCATTCAACATGGGAGCTGAGGTCTGCGTTTTAAACGGGACAAAATTCAATGGGGGGAACTCCGTTTTCTTGGAGTCATATGGATGAGTCTCTATTTTCTAAAAGCAACAATGGCCCTACCCTATCGTCATTGGGAATTTCCCAAAATATTTGTTTCAGTGATATGATGGTGCGTCTCAATATTTCCGGTGGCTCTGGAAATATTGTCCGCGATTTATCTCAAGACTTTCTACATATCTTCGGGAGAAAGGGCAGAGAAAGCTGCCATAATCAAGCACCAATCCCACGTTTACTTCCAAGATGGCAGCTCATGGGAACTTCAATGGACAACTTAATATGCCACCGGCTAAGAAACATTTAGTCATAAGTACTTTGGAACTAGCACATGAACTAAAATGGGCTCTGAATTATATTTGACGACGGAGGGAAAAAGGAAAAAAAAGAAAAATCCCTCAGCAACAATGAGTTTCCTGATTCCACGGGCACAGTGGACCTCCTGCTCTCAGAGCATCAATATTGAACATGGACGTACCAGAGTCCGTGCCATTCCAGTTGAATTACGAAACCGGACCTCTCTTGAACCAAAGAAAACGGGGCCTCATGGGTCATTGCGAGGAATGCAAAACACTGCTCACAAAACGAGAATGCCGGTACCATTCAATCATTGCAAAAGTGTACGGAGCAATCTAAATTTATTGGCACAAGAATAGCTAAGAGCAACAACAAGGACGACATCGCACTCGGATTGAACTCGTTTGACGTAATGAAGTTTACCGGGCGCTGTGGAGGATTGGTCGAACAGACCATTACACAAGCTCCAAAACGCAGCCAATGCGCTACATATCTCACGGTCAAGCTCATCTCCCATCAGCTTCCATGCTGCCATGGAGCTCAACCACCAACAGTATAATAGGTCTTCATCGACAGCTAGGGTGGTCAACTTAGCTTTACGTGGATTCAATATATCTTCCTTCAAATAGCGGCCAACTTGACACAGATACCCCCAAGCAACCTAGGATACCAGCAACTTGCGGCCCTTTAAACCCATATTCAATGTTCAATATAATAAGCTTTGCTTTCGAAACCTTGCCACAGGCTATATGCCTCATTCTCATGCTTTGCACAAATCCAATTTCACATCCCCTGAAATACCTAGTTTGTCGTGCTTATGGCGTGTGGGTTACGGTGAGCACAAGCATATCAGGGCATCTCACCTGGGTCAAAGGGCATCAAGTTACACCTATTGAGGCTTGTTGCAGTTGCCTGTCATAAAATCGCGGCAGAACTCTACACCAGGGCAGATGGAGGGGGCTCAGAAAGCCGCCGGGTCGTCCGACACCACCGCCTAGCAATCATCAATTGATTTGGGCCGCCGCGCCAAATCTAGCTAAGTTGTTCCACGAACACTACGAGGCGCGGGAACAGAATACAAATGAAGTGGCAGATGCTGTTGAACACTGAGCCGAATATCATTTAACCAGTCCGTTGACGTTGTTCTATTTGACCCGGGAAACTCTGGCCAGGGAGTACGTATAAAACCAACCCATCTCTTATCCCGTTTTACAACGTGCCCATGGGATAAATGTATGTACTATTCCCAAGGTCTCACGAACGCTGATAGTGCAACAGCGCTCATATCCACCCAAATTCAAAGGGTGAAAGATATTCCAGTTCTCCAACCAGCAGATCAAGAGGTTTGTCAGGTTTAACTATCTCGAGACATCAATCTGATCATCTATGCTTGTACGATACATGATTTCTCCTGGATTGCTCTGGCGGCCGGGTTGGGTTGGCCTAGTTTGATCCAATGGTCATGCACATATATACCATGACATATATGAAGCGGAAACCGCCTAATCCTAGACAGCGATGATGTGTGCGCTATCCCCAAAGATGAGCCTGGGCTATTTGAACAAATGAAGAAACTTGCTTGATGAAAAACCGCCTACAGCAAGTGACCAACCATACGCACCTCCATTGTGGCGGCCGCGGTGTCTCATTGAAGTTAGTTGAATGATTGATCCTACTTATTTTCCTTGTCTGACCCTCTCACCCTCGTTTACGATCGTACAGTACATTTTCATCCACCTCTAGCCATCCTTTAGACCTCGAACCTGTGTTGAAACACAGTTCTCTGGGTGTTCTTGACAAAATTAAGAGAAAAACACCCATAGATATTCACTCAGCCCGCAGGAATTGAGTGGTGGTGCAGCAGCAGCGTGTTTGTCACTTCATTTGGTCGCATTTTCGAACACAAGGGAATGAATACCCCGTTCAGCATAATGTACATATATTTATATCATCATGCTTCATCAATCAGAAATTATACTGCTTGACAACAAGACTTGATTCAGGTGCTAATGAGCGCGCGATTTGATGTGGAGCATTTCTTACAGAGAGCAAGAGTTGTAGGTTTTTGAAGATCAAGGAGCTCAGAGCAGACCTGGTATGTGTCAGTGATGAGGGACTGTATCAGCAGATGAAGCTCAAAGCTCCACATTTGCTTGACAGTTCTGTTGGTGGAAGTTCAAGGTGTTCTATATGTTGGTTAGTTGGGAAGAGGAGAGGGAATAATATTGTTGATTCACACAAGCAAAGCATGTGTGCAAGCAATGGAACTTTCACAACAAGCTTTCTTCAAATGGAATGGAAAAAACAGGATATTTTGTTGCTTTGGGGAAACAATGGAATATATATATTAAGGGTAAACTGAATACAGCCTTCTGAAGCAAACAATAAAATAACCAATCACAAATGAAAACTAACTGTAGAATAGCAATAATCAATCCACTTTGCTTGCTCTCTTATGAGCAGACATCAGATGTTTTGTTTGGAATATGTGGATGCAGATATGAATTAGTGATACATGAAACAAGTCTGACAACAACACATTGAATCAGATCTTGGTGCTTGGGGTATCAAAGTTACAGTGAGAGAATCTCTTCAGTCTTTCCTTGCAAGAAAAGAAGAAAGAAAGTAACAATATTATCATCTGCGAATCAAGAGTAAATTCCGCCTTTGACAAGCAAAGAATGCTTGATAAACAGCAACTAGCATCTTTTAATGACTAATATAAGATGGTTTTTTTTTGTTCATGTGTGTGCAATAATAATGCAACCAACATATCAAGCTCAAAGGTGTGTGTGTACATATATATATTTATGTTCTTGTTGGGTTGTGACACAATTCTTAATCAAGAAATGTTTCAAACAACAAAATACAGCCCTCCACACTCTTAAATGATACCCAGGTTATGCTTGCAAAGGGAGTTAGGTTTCAAGTGTAGAAGTAACTTTTAAGGATGGACCTGATGCTCTAATCTAAGATCAAACCTTACAATGCAGTTGCCACAAGGCGTATGATAGGCGTTGATGAATGAGACGTGATTTAGACCCAAGGCAAGAGAAGAATAGAAATAAAAGTATAAAACCTCGAAACTCAATCCATCACTTCCAACCAAACCCAAAAGGGGGCGTCTGAGCCAGTGATACAGCCAAAAAGAAGACAAATCCCAAGTGCATATCCAACAGGGCGGGCGGTGTAAAACTTCAAATCGTACGCTTTAAAACCCCCTTATTTAAAATCCATGCTACGACAAGCCAACTTCCGGCACTCGAATATTTAGCCCCAGAGGTTAGTGGTAGTAGTAGTTACAGTGCAAATATTTGCCATGGGTCGAAACCCTCATACTGATAAGTTGTGCCGTTCAAGTCGAGCTTGAGCTTGAGCTTGGTGGACAAGTAAAAAGAAATATTTACAGGCCAGCAGCCATCGTCATGGCTGGAGAGCAACTAACTAACTTACAGATTAGTTAGTTACATCAGAGAAGGAAAGGCAGCGAACGAAACGTCAAATTCTACAGGGAATATAATCACACGAAGCCGGATTTTGGGATCCAGCTTTTTTTTGGGGCTGGTGAGATTTCGATCATCCATGGACCATGGAGAAATATGTCATTCCACCAACATCCATTTAATATTGCAGCTCCCTGACTTAAAATCAGCTATTTAACTAAATAGGGAAATGTGACGTTGAGTCGGACATCAGCGCCTGAAATATTATTTCCGATTTCCCGCTCATTCTATGGATAGTATGTTCCTGTAAAAAGATGCCAGCCTATTTATTGTGAAGCTGGCCAACGCTTGCTTTCTTGCCTTGTCGCTGCTTCCTCGTCTCGTCTGTTAAGTTAGTTATTTAAGTTAACTATCAGCAGAACTGCAGAGGGCTGATTTCGTTGAGCGGAACGAATTGCTGGGAGCAAACGTTCCTCTCTGCGCGATATACTCGCCTCAATTATTTATTAATAATAATGGTAAATTATTGCCTTGCACCTGACTGACCCTTGCAATCTGGTCTATTTAGGCTGCGCAGGGCCGCCAGCCATCTGAGCGCATAAATATCATTAATACTCGCTCTACTGTGTACTCCCTAGTTACATAGTTGGGCCAACCCATGAATTTATCCTGTCGCCGTGCAGCCACAAATTGTACATAGCAAGACAGAGGCGGCCGTTTCATCCATGTCCAATAATAATACTCCCCCTCATAGTTATGTCCTGGCCGAATGGGGACCATGTAAACGTGTATTGCGGCAAGATAAATATATATATATATATATATAAAATAAAAAAAGAGGAACAGATATGCAACATTACATTACCGGAAATAAAACGTCGGCCTGACTAGCTAACTGATCTAAGTTCTTTGTTATATCTTCTATAACCCGCCGCCGAAACAAACCTGGAAAGAATGCACTGTAGAGCCTGTAATAAAATAACGCCGTTTCCTGCCCGCTTCCCCTCCTTTCCACCCATGCCATGCAGATAGATACTGGGGCTCTTATCTGGCAGGATCTTGCGCTTCGCTGATGTCAAGCTCGACTGGAAAGTTTAGTTTGGCATCCATTGACAGGGAGGGATGCATTGAAGGTTACCCTGAAAAAAGCCGCGGAGCTAGCCCCCCGCTCTCGCAGGCTTGCTTCCTTTATTTTAAAACTCATTAGAGGATTGGATGGGTGAGAAAAAGTGCAGAATTTGACGATGACTCTTGACAGGTTGTCGATACGACGGGCTGAAAACAGCGCTTTCTTTCCGCTTATTATACTCCCCCCCATAGCCCTGCTCAGCATTGAGATAAGATCCTCGCGTTGACATTGAATGATAAAATGAGGGGGTGGGGGGGGGGGGTTGGAACAATCTCCAGTTCATTCAGTCATGTCCGCGTTCAGAACCATCTGCGTCCTCTCCATAATATTGGTGAAACAAACCACTGAACCCTAGTCAAGGGTTAATTAAATTTTTATTTTTACCAAAGCTCGCAAGCAGACCGCTGGGAAATAATAGAAACCACTAGGTATGTACAGTACATGTACATGTACATGTAATTTGGTCAAAACGCAGATATGATAAGGTTGACCGGTTGATGATAGTGATATGAATAAACCTCGATGCTCTTGACAATGGCTTTACACATTGCTGGCCAAATGGGCGATAAGGAGGAAAAAAAAGGGACAAACTCCAACAATGTATGTATGCCGAATTGATAATGATACACAGTTGACCATCCATATCGCTATCTAGCTAGCCTTGACCTTGTGTCCCTCCCTTCCTTCCCGCATCGTTGCGGTTTTCCTTACCACACTACAAGTTAGAGAGATCTGGCTAGGTATCTGGGAAAGGGAGACCATCATATTCGGTCAACACAGAAGGGTTTCTATTCACTCCCAATGACACTTAAGTAAATGTGCAAGTCAAGTCCTCAGCCAGGGAATATTTCATTCAGTGGACATCGGTGTGATCAATCCCAGGGGTTTGGTGTCAACGAGTCTCTGTTATGGAATCTCGATATGATGGATACTTCTTATCCTCAAGGAAGTCAATGTATGAAGGTTCAGGGCTTGCCAATGCTCACAAAATGGGCAATGATCTATCATCCCAAGTTCCGTGTTCACCAAACAAGCCACATGTCCTCCTGTAGAACAGTTATATCCATGCAGTAGCAGCGAGGGAGGAGGATGCTTTTGCGTAGACTTCAACATTCGAGAGTCGTATCCAGCTCCAGATAACCCCCTGATACTTTCAAATGGCGCGGTTGCTTAGGTAGAGTAGGGTAAGCGCATGAAATTGAACATCCAAGGCTAGGTATATGTGGCCTCCATGCACTAGAAAGCTCATAGGCCAAAAATTAGGCTTGCTTCAATGGTAATGCATCTTGATTCTTTAAGAAGTTAAAAGAAATCGATGAGAAATTCCCATTCAAAACAAAGTTTTGCTATTGCCCATCTAGAGGATTTTTGTTTCCCCTCATTGACAAGCTGTGGCGAGAACTATATTTCTGTGAATAGGGCAGCAGCCTCAAAGGATTCAGATAGGAGGGGGAAAAAAAGAAAAAAAAACAAGGGAACGGCTTTCCCTGCCTCTTAATCAATTTTGAGATGTGTGCTAACTCTTCTGAAATCTGACAGGAGAGCACAGAGGAGTTATGATATCTCTAAGCGGGATACCCTCGCTGCAGTCAGCACTTGTTGAAAGGGGGTTGGAAGAAGCAGCGGCTGGGCCTGGGCGGGAGAGGAATAATAAGGCTGATAATTATGAACGATGAGCAGCAACTTTCCTTTTCATCGCCCCCAATCTCGTGTGTATTGTGTGTAAAGCGGTTTGACACAAATTTTGGATCCCCGCGATAATAAAATAGTTAAGAGTTTGTTGTCCGCCCGCTGAGGGGTTTGTCAGGGGGGAAGCTGTGATTAGTTATTAGCCTGTTGGAGGCGTGCTGGCTGGCTGGCTGGCTGGTTCATGACCTTGCCCACTACGGAGTAATCCAGTAACTAGTTGTTGTTAGCAGGCGGTGAAAGATTGGTTTGGTATCTGATCTGCTGTCATCTTGTGCTCGGTTTAATTAATAATAATACAGCCCTTTTGTCCCTAGTAGGTTTCTTCTGGGATACAACATTTCAGGACTTTCGCGCCATCACATTGCTATCCAGATCCAAGGTTGGCAGGCTATGATTAACCAAATCGGGTTATATGGAAGTGAACGGAACAGAGTCCGTTCCCCTGAGGCGTCTGTGTCTGCAGTGTCGCGTGTTGACAGGTTGGTCTAGGTCTAGTTCTGTGTCTTGCCTTTGGTTGCTGAGAAAGGGCTCTGATCCATTGCTGCTCCGTAAAATTACATCAAGGGGATTGTATTCCTTTTACACACGCCGAATTTTAAATGCTTCTTTTTTCGTCCTGTCTTCTGATTTCCGCTGAAATCAGCAACATACTTTGTGCATTTCCATGCTTCCTCCGGACAAAGGAAATCAGCCCCAGAAGTATGGAGGAAGGCCGTGATACCAAATCCTTTCTGGACAAAAGTCAATTTTATTCCTCTCCTCTCCAATGGTCACCACATGCAAGTATGCAGTTCCAGTAGTTTGCAACAGCCTCTCCCCCGCCCGATGGATGTGCGACAGCCCGAATTCAGACATTATTATTGCCTATCAAAACCCAAGAAATGGATGGATGGATGGGATAAATTTTATCGGTCCTCTCTTCCGAGTGGAATAGCCAATTTTGAGAAATCAGACAGGACAATCAACAGGGGAAAAGAAAGAAAGAAAAGAAAGAAAGAAAAGAAAGAAAGATACCGCGATTCGACGAGTTTTGTCCACCGCGGTTGGTGCAGCTTGTTTGTTGCAGAATTTAAACAACGGTGCGGATGGGGTTTTTCGTCTTCCCGGTTGATCCTCGATTACCCTTCGCCTGATCGGTTTTGTTGGTTGGGCGCACACTTTGATATCTTAACTCTGAATGTTGAGCTGAAGAGAGTATAACTTTCTACCAATAAATGATGTTGAAGGCGGGCTCACTTCTCGTGTTGCATGCATGGACGAATGAGACCGCGTACATTGCGGCTGGTTGCTTGGTGCCAGGGGTATCTTCTGCCACTTGAACATCGCCCGGCTGATATGGTGTTTCCTGGGCCTAACCGTCGGGCATTATTTGGCCTCTCGGATGCAGTGTGGGAGCATTAGATCCGAGGAGTCAAAACGACTGGATGGTGAACTTGGTGGATTGGTAGTACACTAGTAGAAAGTAAGGGTGGGCAAAGGGCGTCCATGAGACGGTTTCCGGCCATGATTAACATAGGTACCTACGCTGTACAGAGTACTCCGTAGAAGGATGGGGTTTGGCTCCACGAAACTTTCATAGCCCCTTACGACAGACACAGCAGTTCTTCGTTTCCCTTGCTAAGCAAAGTTGATAATATGTTGGTGACCATGGCCCCAACCACTCACTCTGTATGTAAAAAAGCTGAGAGACCGAACCCAGACATGAATGTACTGTACATGTACATGTACAGTGAGGCGAGCGAGCTTCATCCTTCTACAGCGTACAGATGTAAATACCACCAGCTGTCTACTGGCCATTCCCTGCTCCTTATTAACTGCACATAGCAAAGACAAAAACGACTTCCTCCTTTATTGGCTAGTATCCATGAGATTCCCCTCCTCAGCTCGAGCGAATGGTAGGTTATCAAGCTAACCCCGTCCTGGTAATCCCATCTTCACCACATCCATCACTAAATAGTAATAAGTAACTTCTTAACGTCCAGCCAGGATTGCTTCATTATTGGGCGGGCGGGAAAACGAGATAAGTTCCTCCGCGCGCTATCATTGATTGACTGGAAGTTTCATGCGCGTTGAAAGGTCCTGCCGGCCTGGGGGCGTTCCCTCCCTCCCAAGCTTGCCACCCAATAAATTAAAAAAAAAAAAAAAAAAAAAAAAAAATCCCAAGCCGCGTTTCTGAGACTGACCCAAATCAGCACAAGGCCCATGCATTCAAACCACTTGGTGCTAAAGAACTTCGACAAGGGACAAAAACCAAAACCACTTATGACCAGGACTCAACGGAGCGAAGGAGGGGGGGGGGGGGGGCGGCGGGAATGAAAAGGCGGAAATCCGCCTTTCAATAATAATAAAATAACTTAGTGAAACGCAATCCTTTGTGGCTGGGCTGGGCTGGGTACGGAGTACATGCATAGCTAACATCAAGTTGCCGTCCCCAAGCCTCGTCTCTCTTCAAGTGGCTCGATCGATCTATGCAGACGATTTTTTGTTTTTTCGAAACCCCACTTGTGCAAGGAAAAGAAGTGCATTTCTTTTTTTTAATGCCTTGCCGCTCCTGTCTCGTAAAAGCATCCCCAGCCACTTTTTCCTTCGCTGTCAGTGTCAGAGGACAAAAGAAGAGCCAGATAGAAGGGGGGAATGATAAGTTAAGCCAAACCCACCTCCACAAACAGGATCCAGCCAAGCCTTAAAGCTTCTTCCGTAGTTACAGTCCGTACTAATTTGGCATGGGTTCTGCAAGAGCCTCTCTTAACTATCCTATCTACCCACACAGCGTTACCAAATCTCAGCCAGAAGGGGAAGAAGTGACATCTTCTTTGAATGCAGCGGGGTGGGATTGGCTCGGCTAAAAGAAAGTTTGCCTTTTTTTCTATATACGTATTGTTTTTTTTTTTTTTTCTTTCAAGTTTCAAAATGGCGTGAGGAAGATGAAGGGAAAGGAAAGAAAAAGAAGAGAGAAAGAGATGAAATAGAGGAACCCTGGGACGAAGAACAGGCGGTGCCTGGCACCACCTGCTGATGAATCTTGGGGAAATATGCTGTGACATCCTCCTCCTCTGTACTCCGTACAAGATGTATGCTGCACCGAGTCTCTTCGATCTAAGGAAAGGCCCGCATCTCAAAGTGTTCAATAATAATGCGCATTTTGCAATAGTGAGATATCTCAAAAAAGGTCACTCCGGAACAGAAAAGCCAAAGAGCGAAACGAAAAAGTGCTTTCTGCGGCTTCAATTCTAGCCAGTGGCACCCGACATGACCTTCCCTTCCGAAGCATTCCAACATTTTGGCTTGGGAAAGTTCCATTTTTCTTTTAATAATTCTTTGCAGCGGAATTCCTGGTTCGGAGACAGGGGGTGGTAAATAAGCGAAGTAATACGTCTGTTTGATTTATTACTTTGTCTATCAGAGGTTTTCACTTCTTAAACAAGGCGCTTTTTCGTTGTTTGAAAGATGGTAACTTTAACAACAAATCATCCTCAGTGGCTGCGGGACGACTCCTCTTATGCATAGCTCTCTGTATGATGACGCATATTCTCAGCTATCTCAGGACTGGCGGCAGCATTTAAGCAAAGATATCACGTAATGTTTCTTCTTGAGTTAGTTAACTTAACTACAGAATCAGAATTTCTAAAAATACCAACACCACTTCTTTCTTGCCATCGTGGCTAGTTAAGGCAAACCAAAAGTTGTTAAGTTAGGTAGTTAGAACCTGATAGGCGTCACAATCGGGGCTGCAACCCAACCATGCCTTTAGAAGTTGAAGTTTGATATTTAGGTAACTTATTATTACTGTAGTTCTGGTTCACCCGCGACACCCAACAGTCTTTCCAAGTCCGCTATCGTTCCAGAAATTGAAGGAACATACAGACTTAGAATGCAACCATCATCATCATTATTTATCCACAACAGATCCATTAATATTATTACAGTACTGACTTCCCCCCCCCCTCCCCCCAGCAAGTTGAAATCCCGCAGGGATAATAAATCAATAAAATCTACTCTAGTCACCAGAACTTTCAACCCAACCGTTCCGCAAGCCACAAGGACAAAGCAGCGAAAATTACTCGAGAATGCGTTAGTTTTAGTTGACGTTGATGAATGATAAGAGGGAAGTTTCACTCGCTTACATAGCACCACCCCCAATGAGCGCCAGGCGATCACACGAAGGGGTCTTTGTGTGTGCGTGTACGGACTGTTTACATACATGTGTGTGTCTGATTTGAGTAGGTTGTTGGTGTGGGACTTCGATTGCATAAAGGCCGCAACTTAATGTATCCATGGATGGACAATACAAGTACCCTTCCATCCCTATGTGCGGAATAGTACTACTCTTGCTTTTGAAGCGGTACGAAGTGTATACAGCACGGCAGCAAGACAAGGCCCCCGGGCGGCCCAAACTTAACACAGCCGAGGGAGAGGAGGTATGGTGTATAAGTTACAGAGGCATCGGTGGTTGAGTGGTGATAATCGCGAGAGTACCATGTAACCCGGACTTTTGGTTACTTACTTGTTGCACAAAAGATCGATGTTTTCTCGCGGCTGCTGCGTGTGAGAAGGAAAAAGAAAAGATGATGTGGTTAAAGTTACTCTCTGTACGGACTATATACAATAATAATAATAAAAGAACCCACAACATACATACGGAGTACATACATACATACATACATCCCTCCCTCGCGCTCTGCCAACAGTGGTTATAGCATACACGTACAGTACATCTACGACTGGGCTTGTTTCTGGCTGCCCGGGTGCACAGGGAACGGAAAGGAAAGGAGATGGGGCATGGTTTAAAGATATGGACGGGTTAGAATGCATTGCCGGTCATGAGGTAGGTGTAATAGTAGTAAGTGCTGTTCTCAGCTCATGTCCGAACGGAGTCCTCCTCCTCCTTAACTACAGGACAAGAATACTCACTCTGCCATGACTGTTTCCTGATGTTCTTGGATTGGATTGGACAGTGTCTACAAGTATGTAACCAGGCAGCCAGTAGTACTCTGTACGTAAATCACATCCCTTTTCTTCTCAGCTAGGAGGAGGGTCCTGGTTCATGGTTGAGCAGACCAGAATTGAAATATATCAGCAATAGAATGCGCTCTTTGTGAACATGAACATGTATGTACCAGTTAAAAGGGGGGAATGAATGTCCCATGTCTGTACAAATCCCTCAAATGTACAGAGGTTACCAGGCTCACCTCGAAAGGAATAAAACATCTGTAAACCAAGTAAGAAAGACAAGGCGGTGCACTTCTTAGTTGTTTAACAAGGAACGGACTGCCCACGGGCGCATCCATACATACATACCATACCATACCATACCATACCATACCATACCATACCACAGTATATAGATGCATACATACACAGTACATCCACAAAACCACTGCAACCCATCTACCAAGTATCCAACCACTAGGTAAGGAACAAACGAGCGCGTGCGATTGGGTGTGATACGGGTTGCAAACTGGCAGCAGAGCAGGAGACCGGGTTTGCCCAGCACTGGATCAGCAGCCAGTCCACACACCCACCACACACACACACACACACACCCCCCCCCCAGCCGTGACAGACAGCAGTTGTATATCATCTGCAGCAGCGAGGAATAGTCGTCGTCGTCGTCGTCGTCGTCGTCGTCAGGTCGGATGGGCTGTAGCCTTGTAGTGTGGCTCCTTTCTTTTCCCCCCTCAACAAAGCAGCTGACTTGTCTGTCCCTCTCGCTGCCCTCTGTATCTGCCTATGCCTATGCTGTGTATGCCGGGGTCGATGCAGCAAGCAGGCAGGCAGGCAGGAATATTATTAGTAACTCTCAGCAGGCTAGGCTGGATAAATTAGTTGAGTTATTAGAGTGTGATCGTGCTTTTTTTTTTTTTTTTGGGCTAGTTAATGATAAGCGATTGATGATTGGATTCAACCTATCCACATCCACATCCACAATCCACATTCTTCATATCCCTAACCCCTCGTTTTCTCTGAATTCAACCCTGAACTCTGGTGGCTTTCTTCTTTTCCCCTCGTTTCTTTTTCTTCTCTCTTTTCTTTTTCTTTTCCCTTTTTTAACATCCTTTTCGGGGTTTACAAGTTGAACATGGGTGCCAACAAAACTTGTGAATTCCAACTCAGGCCGGAAAAACAGCCCTGGTGTGATTCCAACCTGATCTTCAACCGGAACCCATGGCATGGCAGCACCCCATTGAAACTACATACACTAGGCATTCCACACATCATTCTCACATCTCCTCTGTATTCAAGGAGGCTTCATGTATTGATTTTTCTTCATATTTCTTGAGACTCTGGCTCATTCTAGCTCATTCTAATACTAATTCCCAGTTTTTACTCCTCTAATCTACATCTCTACATAATATCATAATATGTGTGTGTAGTGAGGGTGTGTTTTAGAGAGAGATGACTAAAGTTGAAAAGTTGAACATTTTGTGTCCAGAAAAGTGGGCCAGAGATCAGCAGCAACCACAATCAACTTCTTTGGCACCATGTTCAACCTTTTCCCACTTAGCCGGCCCTTTGTCGCCCTAATTCTGTTCTGAACTATTATTTATTAGTTATTCCATTTTCCTGCCTCATTATTATTAATAACTCAGACACAAACTAACCTATTCCGCCCTCCTTTTTTCGTTTATTCCCTTTTTTTTTTTTTTTTTTTTTTTTTTTTTTTTTTTTTTGCAAGACCAGACTCGAGAACAACGCAGGACCAAACTAAGCCCGTCTCATAACTTCTCTGGCTCGTGTCTTTTTCTATAACTATACGCTGTGCACAACAACACATATACGTTTTAAACATTTTTCTTGGGTTTGCCCTGGCTTCCTCGCCTGCATTCATCAGAAAAAAGCAAACTCTAACTAATAGTTGTATTATTATCCTGTCTTTTATGTTTTTTTTTTTTATACCTACGCAGTATAACCATGCTGGATCATGGCTTGGTGAATGGATGAATGAATTTTTAGAAAAATAAAAAAAAATAGAAAGTCATTATTATTCGGAACCATACCCTTTTTCTTTCCCTTTTTTTTTTGGGAGGATATTTGATATTTGATTTTTGCTTTCACCCTTTTTTCTCCCGCCTTTTTTCTGACACCGGCAACTTTAGCCTTTCTCTTTTTTCCCACTAATACACAGTAATAAACTGTATCCCTTCTGCGTAATCCGCCGCTGCCACTAATAAGAAACTCCTTGACCAGACCAAGTGGAACAGAGCCCAGCGAGGCCTGGTTTATCTCCATCCCGCCATGCTCCATCCGTGGTCGCTACTGCGTATGTGAGACTCCTCTTTCGTCTTCCCAAAAGCGCCGAGAACCTCCCCTTGTTAAGTTGTTATTACGACTCTTCCCTTATCCTGCTCCACCAGCCTTTCCCTGGGCCGGGCTGAGGGGGGTTGCTGAGTTAAGTGGGCTGTTGGGTGGTGTGGTGGTGGCTCATGTTCGTTCCTGCGACTTGCTCGTTCTCCGATTCATTCGTTGATACTCTGTACGTACAAACTAGATAGACTTATTACTTACCTTTCGTCATTGCCCGCCTCCTCACTACTACTACTACTACTACTACTACTACTACTACTACTACTGACTACCCACCCCCATTTATTGCATTTTTTTTTCCCTTTATTATTTCTCTCTCCCTTCCATTCAATCAGCTCACTCACTGTTTATCAAGCCGGCCTGGTATATAGTTTTGTTGTTGGGGCTGCGCTCTGTCTGGTCCAACCAAAGAAAACCTTGCGGCTCCCCTTCCACCGCCCCAACTTGCGTCACTCTTCACCTCTTCACCACCACTCGAATTCCAATTCAACCGCCTCTCGCTGTAACTCTTGTGAATCGACTCCAGTCCTGATTGATGCCTGCCCTGATAGACCGATGGACCGATAGCACAATTGAGTGACCGGCTTCCGCCGCCCTAGATGACCGTCCTCACCCCTACTACAGTCTCTTCTGCTACCAACTACTCCTCTCCTACTCCCCCTTCTCTCCCTCCTCGTTCGTCTTTCCATTCCATTCCCTTCCACCCAGGAGGCTATATATCAGGTATCCCTCCTCCACATTTGCCGTTCGATACTCCTTAATCCCATACCCTTTCCTCTACCGGTGCCGCCGTCCCCATGCCTGGCGTTCTTCCAGCCGCCTATCCGCAGCTTACTTCCGCACACCCGCTTGCTCCGAGCTATTCCACCTACAACAATCCCAGCATCAGGAATATTGTCGAAGGAGGATCGGTGGGAGCCAAAACAAATACACATTGCAGATCCAGTGAGACTTCCTCTGGGGACACGAGGAAGTGGTCCTCACCACTTCGCTTTGGGTTGTCTACCCCGCCGGAGGATATGGCAGGTGTTGCTGTAAAGCAGTCTGTCCCGTCGCTCCCACCATCCAGCTATGGAACAACAACCCCATATCGGATCCAGACGTCCTATTCGAACGCTGCCCCCGAGAGACCATCCATCCAGATAGTGACGAGGAGGGACATGGCCTCGAGCGCCGTGAGCTCCCGGATACAACAACCACCCTCTCAGACGAGCCAGCTCCCAGAGACCCGTGAGAAGGAGAACTCGGGCAGTTCAATAGCTCCGTATTTGCAGATTCCATCATCCATCAATCATAGCAGAGGCAGTCTGGCGGAATTCACTGCACAGGTATGTTGGGTTCAACGGGTCATTCCTTCCTTTCAACTGAGAGTTCTTTGGACTGCGTACCTAACATGACGGGCGAAGATTACATGCCTCTTCTGGTTCGAAAAAGCGTCGAAACTTAACGTCGTCCTGAATTCCTCGTCTTCAAAGTACCATATTCCACCACTTATGCCTGAATCGATACCAACAATCGGCTTTCGGAAATGGGTCACTACAATCCTTTCCACGACACAAGTCAGCCAAAATGTCGTGCTCTTAGCCCTCCTATTTATCTACCGTTTGAAAAAATTCAACCCCGCTGTGAGAGGGAAACGGGGAAGCGAATTTAGATTAATGACGATAGCTTTAATGATGGGAAACAAATGTATGGCCGGTACCTTATTTTTGAAATATTTATTTAACCGATTTGATATCTTCTTATGCTGATTTGATCATAGTCCTGGATGATAATACATATACGAACAAGACCTGGGCCGAAGTATCCGGTATCTCAGTCCAGGAAATCCATATAATGGAGGTGGAGTTTCTTAGTAATGTTCGATATAACCTATTCGTGACGAAAAGTGAATGGGAGCAGTGGCACACCAAGCTTGGAACATTCGCAGACTATTTCACAAAAGCTGCTCGACTTCCACTCGATAACGAGGCGCAACCTACCACCCCGACTACGCAACCCTCCCCTCATCTCACACCCACAACTCCTACATCTGCTACACATCTACCAGGCCGACCCCCAAAGCTACCCTCTCCTCCTGGCCTAACATCATATGTGCCGCCACACCATCCAAAATACACACCAGCGCCTCCACCCATTTTGGGCCACCCAAGTCTGTCTCCGCGTCAGTCGTCATGGACAGTGAAATCGAATTCGGGGCTTCATCGGAAGCGAAGCTGGGAAGGACCAGTAGAGGAGCATCCCTCAAAGAAAATGGCCATATCAACCGTGTCTGGCCCTGCGTCTCTTCCTACACTTCCACCCGTAACAGCAGTCACCGGAGGCCATATTCCACCCTTGACAATGCCCTCCGTTCCACAATTAGCAATTCCCACGCTCCCTTCGTCTCTACCACAACTTCCACGGCTCAATTTTGCACTGGCACAACAGCATTACCCTCCATTTGCCCCACAATCACAGCCTCCACCCATCCTACCACCTTCTACCCGTGCCATGGCCACGGTTTACCCACCTGTTAGCACCTGGAGCCAACGCACGCCGCCAACGACGACGTTAGCCCCCATACCTCACACGCTACCTAGTACCTCTACGAACTACCCCGACCAACCCAAACACCAAAGCCAATACACCTCGACCTCCGCCACTATATCTCCAGCTCTCTCCGCCTACTCTGTACATACACCCACCCGACTCTCCCCATCCTTCGTCATCGATAGAAACTCCCCCTACCGACCCGTCCGGCAGGTCAACACATTGCTGTATCCTCCCCCATCCGCTTCTATGAACCATGCTCGCCATCTCCCGCTTGATCAGATGCACTACCAACCGTTGGGGAAGTCCGTAACTGAGCGAAAGACTGGTGTGCTTCCTTACTCCCAAAACAACAGTTGTAATGAAACTTGGTTTGATTCGCAATCGCATTTTCAGTCTAGCTGTCCGCAAAATCATCATCATCCACGTCAGCAGCATCAGCAAGAACTACAGCAGCTGTATCAAGGCCAATCCTTTCGTTGAATCAATTGAGGGGCATTTTGGAGCACTAGACGCAATTCCATATACTTTAGACGATCTAACTTACCCCTCGTCGACGATGCGTCTCTTTCCAATCATACACTCTTTTTAACGGTTTTTTCTTCGCTTTTATCTTTTGATTTCAGCCGGCAGACTTGTACAGCGTCGTTCCGGTCCTTCGTTTCGTTTCACTCTCTCTCTTCTTCTTCTTCCTTTTTTTTTTTTTTTTCTTTTTTTTTTTTTTTTTTTTCCTCCAGCTTCATGACGAATACCACTTATATTTTTCCAAAGCATTGCGTCGGAGTTTCGCTTAGATGGGTGTCTATTATTGGTACTTTATATGTTATTTTTATCTTTTCTCTTTGTTTTTACTCCAGTTCATTTTCATTTCCCTTTTTACCGGGCGGTTTTTTTGATCTTCAATTATTTTTTCTCCTTTTTCTTTTACTACCATCAGTGTCACTACTATTATTCTATTTCCATGGGCGGTTCACTATTGTTGTTATCTAAGACCTTTCCACGGCGGTTTTTTTTTTTAAATTGATTTTTCTTTCTTACCCTTTTCTGAATGAATTCCCTTTTTAATGATGTGAAAACACCATTATTATTATATTATCATGTGAAGCTAGAGGTAGTTACATGGGGCCGGAGGAAATATTATTGACTCGACAAACCATGGGTACGTACTTAGGCTGGGCAAATCTCCCTCCTCTTTATTTATTTATTTTGTATCTTTTCCCCCTTTTTTTTCCCGAATCTGAATAAATTAGAAGCTGAACTTGCATATACTGAGAATAATATTGAGTTTATCTCAGATTCATGAAGTCTAGACAGTGAATGTGAAGTTTTTGATGCTGAATTATTTGTAATAATGAAAGCATTCAGATTGATTGAATTGAAATCTCACAAAAGAGCTGATTTGGAAGAAACTGAAACTCTCATCTTAGCTTGCAGATTATAACAAAGAGAGAAATACTAATCTTTTTATTTTATTTTAATAGACAGACTGTTGTATTATTTTAATATCTGATTTTTTAAACACAGTTGAAATATCTGAAATACTGTATTTTTTCTCTTCTATATGATAATAAATTTTTAAATAATTGATAAATATCATTATATCTGTCTCTGCTGAGTTAAACAGTATAATAGTATCTGCTCTGAATATTTATCACTTTCAGTGTAGTAAATTATATAACTGATTTCTTATAAGAATAAAGAAAATCTATTATTTAGTGGAAAATTGTTATAATTATAAACAGAATAAGCTTTTTTTTTTCAAGATTGTTATGAATATTTACTCTCTGTATACATTCACCAATCCCTAATTGATTGATTGATTGATTGATTGATTGATATATATCATTCCTCCCTCTTTTACTTCCGCTCCTTTCCCCCCCTACCCCTCTCCTCTTTCTATCGTCACGCACGACATGATGCAATTGCCAGGCAGTGCTTAATGCGCGAGGCATGGACGGAGGGGAAAGGGAAGAAAGAGGAGGGGGAGAGAAGATATTAGACGATATCTTATCTTGTCTGTCTCGTTGGTTGGTGCATTTTACGTAGGCACACGGAGTCTGTATGTATGTATGTATGTATGTATGGGATGGCCGTGCACGGGACAGGACCCGCTCACGTTGACCGTGATGGGTGTAAACTAAAGCTCAGGGAGGCTTCTCAAATATATATATATCGTTGGTTTAGATTATGTCGGGGGAGGGAGGGAGGGAGGGAGGGAGGGAGACTTGGGGGAAATCTTACCTTTTACTACAACATCAATATAGTTTGATTGATTGATTGATTAAGGGCCCACAATTCCCAGTTTACAAAAATTAATTCAGTCTTCGAGATTACTCTTCGATACCGCGGGCTCGTATCAAACAAAACTCACGGCCAAAGCTATTATAAAGTTAGCTCATAGAAGAAGACAAAGGGAGAGCGGGAGCGGGAAAGGGATGTAGAGAAAGAGAAGAGACACAGCAAATAGAGTTAAACTTGTGCTCTCGAACCCCATGGTAGTAGCAATAACCTACGTAAGAGCGTCTCGCAAAACAAGAACAGAAACACTCAGATTTGCTGATGGCATTGGTAACAGGATAAACATCAGCCCTACACGGGAGGACAACAACAAAAGAAACTCATACAGAGATCTGGAGTAGGTTTCTTCTCAATGGAAGCTTTTCTTTTTCAAACACTATTTCTGACAGCTGCACTTGTGGGTGAGATGAGATATACGGTTTGGTGGGAGGTGCGATTGCTCAGAAGCCCGGGTGGATGGATAGATCGTCCCACGGCATGGTTTGGCTAGGAGAGGACTTTTTTTCGTCAAGATAGCTCGCTGTAGCTGTAGTGGGATTTGGGATTATTGGGGTGGAGTGGGATGCGGTGGATGGCATTGGCATATATGTGTATCCAGCGGCGCGGAGCGCCTCCACTCCTCATATACACCACATCATGTACATGTACCAGAGTAAAAGTGACGTGCTCAGTCTTCTTAGCAAGGAGGCTGAGATCAAACTTGCATATATTTGTGCGAGTAAAAGAGTGCAACCTATAGACATACAAAATGAGCTATAGCTAGAGAGCGACAGAGTGTTGATTCAAGTATTTTGAACTCTACCTGTTGACAGGCATAGTCCTTCAAGTCAAGATAGTTCCTTTCACTTCCACCGCATAAGATAAAAAGGAACAAGTACCAAAGATTGAAATTCCTGGGAGGGCTTCCTTCCGGAGTGGGTGGTGGTGTTAACGTCAAATCTGAAGTAAACATCGTCGAAGTCATAAAAACCTGCGCCTCCATCGGACTCCAGTCCGCATGTATCCATCCTTAGGGCTTGCCTCCCGCAAGCTCCTCCCTCATAGCCCCTTCTCGCGCCTTTAGCTCATCAGTGAGCTCCGGCCCAAAATCCTCCTCCGCAGCAATGCGTCTCAGTTCCACCCCGCCAGACTTGAACGGAATCTTCTTGCACCACTCGAGTGCTTCATCAACATCCTTGGTCTTGATCACCCACCAGCCACTGAGAGCCGGGTTCTCAAGGGGCCCCTTGACGACAACGGGGTCGGCAGCGGTGGAAAATGAAAGGCGGTACCCGTCGCGTGAGGAGGGGAGCAGACCCTCTCCGCTGACCATGACGCCGGCTTTGACGAGCTGCTCATTGAATGCGGTCATGTCTGCAAGCTCCTGGGTCGTGGGCATCCTGCCAGACTCGGCGTCGGCGTCTGGGAGGACCACCACAATGAAGCGGGGCATGGTTATTTAATGATAATTTTGATGAATAGGATTGTTGGGCTGGTGCGAGGATTAGCATGGGCACATGTACCGCTCGAGACAGCGACTAGACATTCAGACACGAACGTCATGAGCTCCCGGGGGAATGGTTAAGCTCAACGCAGCCCCTATCCCCTCTCCGCTTTGCAGACTCACCTCGTATATCTGCTTGTTCATCAAAGGACACAGCGAACACAACTTCAAAACAACAACTGCCTGAGTCGCTCAGATCATTCCACTCTCGTGAGAGAGGTCCAACACGTTTCTTGTTATATAGACTTCGCGGGGACGTTTTCAACAGCATGCCAGGCAGCAAGCTCCCCTCAGAGTTGAACTCCTACGTACGTAGCGTAGGGCGTGGGTGCCTGGGAAATACGATCGTAGCGGCAACTACCAAGGAACCACTAATGCTCCGAACTGATACCTTTGGACTTCACCGCGGCGATCACCTATAAGTCTACATCATTGACAACCTGGAAGCCGCTGCACGCCAGAATGGCGGGCAGTTAAACAGGCCAAGGCAAATGCACTCGAGTCATCAAATAACATCACCTATGTAAGTACTAATTTGGTATGGGAAGCTAGGACGAGACAAACAAGACAAACTAGTAGTACGCTGTACTCTGTAACTACTCCGTACGGAGCAGTTATATATAATTGTCCACACCGAGAGCTTTCCCGCCCGACAACCGGAACTGCCGAAGCCACAGATTGATATGGCCGACTCCAGATTTCCGGCAAGAATACCTCGGCATTTCGATATGTGAGGTTTCAGTTGTGATGTCGACAGGGATTTTTCGCAGAGGCTCTGGTAGTTTTCGGGGGCTATTATCAGCCATGGCCGCGCATAACAAATCCTTTGAATGACTTCAAGGGCAAAACAGGGTGGAATTTGATCGATCCTTTAGGCTTTCGAAGTGGGGAGTGTATCGATAACAGGCTATTCGCAACGCACATGCCTTCTCCCGGGCAGCTAATTTTTTGTAGCTGAAAAGGGAGGGCCCATATCTTTGCCCATATTTTGCGGAATCATTTCATCTCCCAGCTCAGTCATAAACCACTCGATAAGAAGTCCCGTTTCAACTTTATATTCCTTTCTCAATCTCACATCTTCCCCAAGCCCACACGCATACTCTGGCCATAGAACAAGGATGCTCTTCAAACCATGTCAAGGCCACCCCCAATAAACAGCTCTGTGCAAAGCGCAAGCGACAGAAGCGATGATGAAGAACATCCCGCCGCACCCTCCGCACCGCCCGCATATCCATTTGTCAAGTTGATGGCCCTCGAAAGGTTAGATGAGAACGGAGATGCTACGGGCAACGGTGGATCTTGCGACAGCTGTGCGAATGGCGCTCAGAATGGGGAATCATTTCGATTTGAGAGGTTTCGGGCCCGGATGGCCCCGTATCGGCCAGACGATTTTAAAGTTGCGTATGGCGGACACGTTTACGCCCAGTCGGCATATGCTGCATCAAAGACTGTCGGGAAGGGTTTCGTTTTACATGTAAGGACCTAAAGTTACTTACCTGTTCCCATTTTTATTTTGTTTACTGTGTTGTTGTGGACACTGCTCTGCGCCTGCTAGGCAGGTAGGTTGAAAGGCACCTGTGCAGTATAAGTGTTTGACGGAAGGAATATGTGTGTGCCAAACAAACCTGAAACCAGCGCGAAGGCGAACAAATAATATTTCAGCTCAGATATCACCAACTTGTACAGATCCAACAGCTTGCGCTATATTTCAAAAAGAGGACAGCAGTAACTAACTATGGCTGTTCAGAATATAACAGGCTCGTTCACGCTCCCAGGGTTGGATGGGATCCCCTTCACATTTTCAGTGCGCCATGTTAGAGACGGTTCAACATACTGCCTTCGCGCCGTAGATGTTTCACAAGGCCAAGGTGTGTGTTTCAGCGCTCTCTGTAGTTTTAAACGGGCAGAGCGGAGGTACAATTTCCAGCATCAACCAGTCGCAGATATCCAGGAGAGATATAAAGTCGTCCTGGCGGGGAAGAGGATAGAGGACCACCCATTGGCGCCCTTCGTCGACAGGGCATCATGGAACCCCAAGGTTGAAGAACGCATAAGTGAAGAATTGCATTTCGCTGGCGTTGAGTCAAGGAAGGTAGCGATGGATGAATACAATGAATCAGTGGATGCTCGAAACCATAAAGATCGGTATCGCCACCTGCAATTCTATCGGCTCTTGGGGCTACCTGGCCTCGAAGACGAAGCAGATGCCGGCACACTCGAAGAGATTCGGAAGGCTGACGAGGCGGGAGAGTACGATAATCTCTATATCTGTGCCCATCTATACCAGAGTGACCGCAGTTCGCTACTTGTCATTGCGTGGGCTCACGACATGGTCTATGATATTACCAATATCGCGAGTCTAAGCCATACCGTGATCTTCCACACCCATGGGCCGGCATTGAGAATGATAGATTGGGATGCCCCTAAGGAAGCAGCGCGGAAGAAGTGGTTCGCGCTGGAAGCACAAACGAGTCGATCAGGAGAGAACCGAGGTCTCTTCCAAGCCCAGATTTGGAGCCCTGATGGCACGCTGGTCGCGACGATGATGCAGGATGGCATGCTAAGAGCTTCGTTTCCTAAACTTTGAACACCATTGCTCCCTGTTATATTAGACTTGCATATTTCAATTTAAATTAGATGGTGAAGACTGGATGTTTTTGAAATGCCATTTCCTGTTAGTCTTTGGATCTTTCCCGAAGTCTAACAATTGAGATATTAGTTCCTGGTTCAAATTTCAGACTGGTTGTATCCTAATCGATTCGAGGGAGGGTCGACGGAAGGGTCAGCCCTATGAGATCATGTGACAACTGTCTGCTTGTGACGCCAAATGCCTGGGAAGGGGACGGCGGCCAACTATCCATAACATAACAACCGCATTTGCGAAGTAGAACTCTGCCTCATTCAGGACCGTTTCCAAGACCGTCAACCATGAAGAATATGTTCCGAGATTCACGGGTATCATGAAGAGAACCCTTCTTTTGGTATTTATCCACGGTTTCAAGGTGTGCCACCCCTCGCGCCGCCGCCTCGCGCATTACGGATGGGAGGAGCTTTGGTAATATTAACAGCGCAGTCAATAGGGCGGAGAGAATACATTTGGAAGCTTCCCTGATCATCTGCGCGCCTTAGTCAACCATGCGCTGCCGAATATAGAGGTCACCGTAGCGGTGTACCCGAAGTTTGAGACGAAGGGGGATTTAAACGGGTGTGTGGCTAGATTTCGAGAATGGTTCGTTCCATATTGGCTTGTGCTTGATATCCGGGAGAAATTAACAGCATCTAACGTGTGAAGTTGTACACAGGCTCCAAAACACGGTTATAGACATAGAAGTCGCAAATGAAGCACCGTCTCCCACTGTCGACCCGTCTGTACATGTCTTTTTAGTTGGACATTCGATGGGTGGGATTGTTGGCGCAGAGACTTTGCTCCTTCTAGCGTCAGAACAACTCTTACCCACTCCGTCAAATATTTCACCCTCGAAGAGGTCAGGGGCGGAGGGCAAGCTTGTAGAAGCCAACGCTTTTATGTTTCCTCACATCCAAGGATTGCTTGCATTCGATACCCCGTTCCTTGGTATCGCGCCAGGAGTTGTCTCATACACAGCTGAAAATCATTATAGAACGGCCACTGCTGCGTACGGAGCGATTTCAGAGGTAGCTGGTGTATTTGGCTGGGGAGCTGCGAAGAAAAGTGAAAATATGGCTAGAAGCACACCTGTAGCCGACGGAAATAGTCGATCCGGCGCATCCGCTCTTCCTCCAGCTACGAGTACATCTAGCATGACTTCCTCCACAGATGATGCTGCTGCCACGCCGTCCTGGCAACGCTGGGGACGCTACGCGATGTATGCGGGAGCTGCAGGCGCAGTTGCAGCCGGTGGAGCAGCTGCTTTATATTCTCAGCGCAATAAATTTTTAGAAGGCTGGAGCTGGGCTACCTCACACTTAGAGTTTGTTGGGTGTCTCGCACGGCCTGAAGAACTACGACGGCGCGTATCGGCGACCGCAAGACTGCAGCAGGAACGAGGGATCGGCTGTGCAGATTTTTACACATGTTTAGGGGAGGGGGCAGTCGCCGTCCCAGCTAGCAGCAGCAGCAACACTTCTTCCACAGCTTCCTATCTCAGTCGGTATATATTGCGCTCGAAGATGCGAACATTCTGCAACCTCCCGGCTGATGTTGATGAGGGCGAAAATAAAGGTGACATCAAGGCAAAATATAGCGATATGTCGGGGATCAAGTGGATAAAGGCCACGAATGATAAAGCAAATGATGAAACAAAAGCGCACATGAGCATGTTTTCGCCCGTGGAAAATCCATCCTTCTATGATCTCGCTCAGCAGGCTTGCGAGCTGCTGACTGGATGGGTCGATCGAGGGTGGTACTTGAAAGCTACCCGCGCTGGTGGTGGTCGCGGTAGTTCCAGTAACCCAAAAAGCAACAGCCCTGGGTCGAACCGTGGCCAGGATGAAGGGAAAGAGTTTGTGGAAGGCGAAGATGATGTTGTTCTTGTAGATTAGGATGGATTTCCGGAGTCCAAATTTCTTGCTCACTCTTTCCGAAGTTGAATTTGTTTCAAGCGGGCGTTATGCTGTATTTTTATGCGAGGTGCGAGGAATACACGATTGAATGATGCACTTGAATAAGGAAAAGGGAATGATTGCCAGGGAAGGGTTATTATTATGTTTCTACAGTAGGGTGTTTTACTATACATCGGTACTGATCACGGCAACGGTCATGGCTATGCCTTAATCAGAGTATCTCGCGTTCTCAACGAAGAATGAGACATCTTTTGTGCCATCTATGCTCTGAAATTCCGTATGCGATAAAGCATTTGTTTTATACATGATATAGGACTAGCTAACTTTCAACATTTAAATGCAAACAACTTGGGAAAATTGCACATGATGGCGTCTTCTAATTCTAGGGACAATTGATTCGGAAATATAATGTGGACTCGGCCAGTATTTCGTTCCCACATACAGGAGTGGGAGTCAGTAATAAAGGAAAGGAAAAGGGAAGAGATGTGGATTTTTCAAAGCAGGACTGTGATTATTAAAATGTCTCTGTGAGTGATAAACAGTAAAGTACTAATATATATGTGACTTGTCTCACTGATACATGAAGGGATTTTGCAAAAATGTTGAAAAAAAATAAAAAATAAAATGAAGAAAACAAAGAAAAAAACAAGAAAGATATAGAGGGAGAGAAAAGATAAAAGAAAAATTGGAGGCAGCCAATATAACCCAAATAGAACACCAAGCATTAAGATGTCGTTGAAAATTAGAAAACCGGTAGGAAAATGAGGCTAGAACGGCCAAGAGCAACAAAGATAAAAAGGAATCCTCCTAGAGAGAGGGGCTGGAGTAATGTGACAATCTATGAGAATATGACAATAGCAAAGATATTAGTTTCAATTGGATGCCTTCAGTAGTTCGTTGGGACACCGCCGTAGATGGACGTTCGCTGGTGGTACAAGCTGCTGGCGTATTCGGAGTTGTTGTCATGGTAAACAGTAGCCCTTCGGTCATCTTCTAGAAGTTCTTTAACTTCCCAGTTATTCTGTTTAACACCGACTGAGAATTCAAGATCTTCTTTCGTGATGGAGTCCCAATACTATTCAAATGTTAGCTCAGCAATGGCATAGCGTGTGGCGGGAAGAAAGAGCAAGATTCGCGTACCTTATAAACCATCATAACTCCTAGAAGATTGCAAATAGTTGCAAAGAAAAGGCCATCCAGATAGTGTTGAACATTTTCGCAGATGGTTTCGCTGAAGACGTATAGAATCACTTGCCCGATGAGGAAAAAGAATGTGCCAAAAGCGATGTGGCCCAATGGCCATCGATCTTGTAGAGTATTCACGACAAGAATAACCTGCATTAGTAGATAGATGATCAGGCAAAGTGCATTCAGGATATACAACACGACGAATAACCCAGCAGTTCTCGTCGGCGAGAGCCCAGCCCATCCCTTGAAAGTTAGTAACGAAATCGCGAAGGAAACAGAGAACATTCCCAGGGATGCTAGTCGAAGAAGCCAAACTGATAATGTCGTCCCATCCTCATAGAGCTGGAATCCCACAAATCCATTGATGAGCAAGCAAGTACAGAGGGCGGATGTTAGACCGTTCTGCACGGCTGCAAAGTACGGGAAGACAGCATTTCCAGGGGGAATAGCGCCGGAATCAAGGACAAGCGAAAACATCGTCAAGGCCATGTAAAGGTAGAAGAACGTGATAATTTCCTTTCGACCTAAAAAAACGAGTCCAAATCCGTATTAGAATCATATGGTCATCTAGATCATCCATTCTCAATTTCCGGGCAAGTTTCATACGTACCCACAGCCGTAAATTTCGACCGTACATGGATTACCATGATCACCGTCATTACCAGAGCAGCAATATGCGCAACACCAGTAGCTCCCTGAAAGATGATCGTATTTGCGACTTCGATATTCCTGGAGTAGCAGTTGGCTAGATAGCCCCGTGCGCCGTTCGTCACCGTTGAGGGAGGCCCGACCAAAGAGCATAGAGGGATCGATGCCTGCCGACATATGAAATCAAAGTCACCGAAGCCCATTGTCTACTTGGAGCGGATCGTCGACCCGCGTGCCACTTCAGTCAAATGAGAAGGTAGTAGGGTATATTCGCGTTAACGAAGGCGCCAAAGGTGTCAAGGAGAAACGGCAAGCGGGGTGACAGCACAGGAGGATAGAGAGCAAAGAGAGGTCAGACCTAGAGGGTCATTGCGTCCAGATTACAGACTTTACGGCTCGGCTAGAATCCGTCCTGTCGATAATAACAAAGGACGTTGGCAATGAACGACTAAGATAGAAAATTGGAAGACGATTAGCGTGGGTAGGACGATGTTTCAAGGTTGACGTTGGAAATTGCTATTTTGGGGCAGCGAGTTACGGGTCGGTCTGACAAATATTGCGCTTTTGCTCAGCGAGCCCCAAAAATAGAACCTATTCTAAATGTGGACTAGTGCCTCTAAAGTTTAAAACGACTCCGCGTCGCTTCAGTATCGTATCACTACCTACTTTACAACAACCTGTTCGTGATAGATGCCTAGATGCTGAATGATGTCGTGTTGGCGCGTCTGGCATCACGGACCATTTCTGCTCGTTCCTTCAGGATAGGGTTCGTTGCGCTCTGTTAATTGTCACCTTCATTATGCTGCTCTCTTCTGCGGTCAATACGGGTGCAGCTCATTTCCGCAAGGACTTTTTCAAAAATGAAGGACCACACACCGACCCTGTCGGTGCCACTATGGCCAAGCCTTCAAACAACTAAATGTATGGATCCTGGCGTCTCAAGTTAGAGAAATCTAGTCAGCCAACAACGCCATTTGTTTGGGCTTGTCATTGTCAGCAAGCTGTAGATCCCCTCAAGGCTGGGACATCTTGATATCATAGCTCCTGCAAGGATGAAAAACAATCCCTGTTATTTATTATCCGTCCGAGAAGTATGTTCGGACGCTTGGCTTGCTTCAATGTTTTTATGTGCCTGTATTAATCGGTCTGTCGAAGTTAATCTTAAGGCATCAATGTACCTTCAATCAACTCTAACCACGTTTGAGATTTACGCCACGCGGAACAAGAACAGTGGGAAAAATGAGGGATCCAGTGTTCCGACCCATTGTGGAGCGATATGCATGCACAACTTGATGTTGTCTGTTCAGATGGTGATCTGTGCCATTTCAGGTGTTCTCAATGTGGTATGCCCTTGATCGTCGTCCATATCAAATTCTTCAATCTCTTCGCGTTTACGGTTTAAATTTGCCGATGTGACGTGCCGTTAACAAACCTTCGCGCAAGTTTTACATATTGAATACTTCCTAGAGGTTTCAGCCGAACTTTATTTTTATATGACTCGATGTGTTGAGTTCTCCGGCCTTTAAGCGGTCCAGATAGCAAGAGTACATTGCAGTTCCCCGTGGGGCTAATAATGCCTGTTATCCGGAGCCCTACAAGGTTTTCCCGCTTCGCGATTGCTGTACAACTCTTTTTATTATTCGTGCAATAATACAAATAAACAGCCACATTTTTCTCGTGGCATCCCTGGCATATCCTTGGATCGTCAATCTTTAGCCACCGTCCCTCTCGATCGCCGACAACCCCCACTGGATCGACCGGGAGATGATATTCTTTGTAAACTCCAGAAACTTCAGATTGCCTTGTTTAAATAGACTTTCAGCAATCTGATTAATTTATCCTGGCCAATTCCGTGAAGGTTGCCTTTCTTGTTTCCTGCCAATGGAGAATTTTGAGACCACCTTGAGGTGTAACCAGGTTGCACCGTTGCCCTTCATGCTTCTATAAGATCCTACAAAGAGGGAAGGGTATGTCCTCGAATACCCACTTTCTACAGGATACCTTCTAGCATTGTTACTGCAACAAATTCACTCCTCTCCCTCCGAAAATTTAGGTATGACAAAGTCCCTTTTGTGCTTTATGGAGACTTCCAAATTGCTAATAGCTATGAAGTTTCAACTCGCCCTTGGCCTATCGAACTTCTTGCAATGTGCAACTTCTTCAAAAACTTTTACATCTACAGCGCCTGTCGGGATCCAGCAAACCATTTCTTCCGTATTTCGACTGATGGATCTAGCGGAGTCCGATGCGACGGGAGCCCCCATGAAAGATTTATCGTGGTCGTTGGTCAATGTCGTCTTTGCAAACGCTAGGATTAGACCAACCGTTTTCCAACCCGGCTCATTACCTCCAATGCGTCCCGAGACAGGGAGACACTGTTACCCGGAATGTTCTTTAATAATTGCAGTAATCAACTATCCAGGTACGACTCATTCCTTCTAAATTATGCACTTGGCCGACTTTTTATTTTGCCTTGCCTCCCTCTTCCCTTTTACCTCGATTTCTTTTCTATCTCGTCTTTTCCTTGACTGCTTGACGCGATCGGGAAACACTTCTCAGCTTTTACATAATCCCAAGCTTTTTGAGTTGTTTGACCCATGCCTTATAAACCTTCATTGTACAAGGGTTAATATTAATATCTGAACAGGGGTCTCCTTGTAGTCGTTGACACAAATATTTTTCCATTTGATCATTGGGTATACATTATGAGGCGTTATCGCGGACTGCAAAGTCCCACTGGTCATTCGCTGGGATTTAAATTCCCTATTTATTTTGCGGCTAGGGGCGTTTTCTAGGGAAAGGATGGTGGAGAAATGGTCTGTGAGTTTCTTGGGTTTCTTGTTTTTAGTGGTTTGGACTGGTTCTTCGCGCTTCAAGGGGTGAGAAGTGACGGAGACCCGCATATAGCACATACCTGGCTTCATTCGTTCCTATTGACTCGTCATAACTGTTTTGGTGGCATCTTCCCTGTCCTTAATACATCATTTCCACACATGTATTCGTACTGCATTAGCCTTCGGGCGTTGCAAGGAGTCGGTGATCAAACGTTGTCACGTTGGAAATTCTCCATAACCCCTGTTCCCCCGCAATATCCCTAGCATATTTGCACGGCTCATGACCGATCTTAACTTGCGAGTATTCCTTATCATGGTTGAGCCGGAACGCGGGCCGATTGCTATCATCCAGACACCCTCATACTCATTTGCGCGGCCGGACTCTTTGCTCCAGTACGTCACCGAATTACTCTTGCTAGCCAGCCATTTTTTGAGTAATCAGAACGTGCCTATTCGAACGGTAAGCTATAGAGTCTGCTTTTAAGAAAAAATAACTGGAACGCATTTCTCCATCCCTCCCTCGTATAGTGACTAATATTCTCTGATAGGCTATAACTCCTATATCTATACCCCCCTACTCTTCATGGCCCAAAATTTTGTTACAAGCATGCAAGAAGCACCAGTCTGGCCCACATTGATACAGTCTAATAAGACCTTGAACTAATGGGGGCTCCGGCCGATGCGAGCTGGGGGGGGGGGTCACTTGTATCCAGGCAGAGCTGGCACAACGCTCTACGCGAGGCGCCTCAATCTGGGTCCTATATTACCATGAATCTAAGTGCACTATATGGTTCAGCTTTATACCCTCGTGGAGTATTAATAAGAATTGCTACGTCTTGATTGGCGATTCTTCTGTCAAATGATACCTTATTTCGCTAAGGATGGGCATCACATTAATGGAGTGCCAACAACTTTTGAAATACACGGGGAGAGAACGGAAGGGGCGGCTTCCTGTTTGTTCCCCCAGTGATATGTTATCGACCACAGATGTTGCTGTTCTCGGACAGTCCTACGCGCCAATAACGTTTTTCATTCTTGCACACCTCGCTGCTGTCTGCTGTGCTATATCACTTGCTATATTAGTGACCTCAAAGACGCGGTCTTGGAATCTACTTCCTGATATGGTTTTGATGAAGCGAATTTAGGCGGGAATTTCTGATTCTGCTCATTCACTTCCTTTCCTTGTCTAGCTAGATCGTGCTGGCCAAATAATTGGTTGCTCCTGAAAACCTAGAAATGGATAATTCCAAATATCATCTATAATATTTCATATGTATTTTCCATGGCTTCGCCGGTTACAAGCGTAGTAGTAAGAAAGGTATAGTGAGGCCACCAGACAGCATTGAAATATATGATAGCGTTTCAGCCAGTTGGTTGGCAATCGTATGTCCGAGGTGACAATAAACCTATCGTTTATTTACATTATACGCCGAATGATGCGGCTAGCTATCATTGCTCTTAGTATTTGCTGATCAGGAGGCGTTGTTTCCCCTCCCCTGAGCGTTGAAATTCTCCTTCGAGTTGCTCAAATATTGCAACGTAGCAATCAGATAAGTTATTTAGAGAAGGATGGACAACTGACATTTGGTGATGGTTCAATTTGCAATAATAATAATGATTACCTTCTATTGTAGCAATTAGCTATCACGGATATCATTCATACCCAGAAGTATATTTTTATATATATATCGGTGTTGAGAATATGAGTTTGTGTTTTGCATAAAGGGGTAACTTAGCTAATGTTGTTAGTTATTGATATTTGAAGCCTCTTCATCCCTTTCAACTTGTTTGGTTCTTGCACGGACATTCTTCGCTTGTTTCGCCTGCTCTTCATGCTTGTTCCAGATACTTTGGGCCTGATCTCGGCCACTTATTGCTAAATTTAACATCGTACGATAAATTATGCGTAGGCCAAAGTGGCTGCTGATCGCGGGTTCCAGGTTTGCAACCTCGTAGAGAACGCGGAAAAGGGGGACAAATGGCTTGCATCCCTCTGCATATTATCCCGTAAGACGCTGATCAGAAACAAAAGATGCGCTCGCTCGAAAGCGCGCATTGGCTATGATTGACACAAAATGATCTCAGCATCAAGCACTGGCGGAGGCCTGCTTCCTGCATTAAGAGTGCAATTAGTCAGGACTACTGGTACAATTCAGGGCCGTGGCCTAGGGAAACGGAGTTTTTTATGCTTTTCTGCGACGTTTACTTGCATATTTTTTTTTTTTTTTTTTTTTTGAAAAGCCGATACATAGATCGGCAATATAACACTTGGCTGACTGGGCAGGCGTAGACAGGAGATTATATGATCTCCCTGTCAAGTAGATAAACATCACTTTATGTATAGTTGGAGCTGAAAGGGAATTTAAAGGTGTGAATCAAGGCTCCTTTAAACTGGTCTTAAATACTAAATCACAGCAGCTCAGAGTCATTTCTGGTATGGTTTCTGTTGTTTTAGGACCCTGCAATACAAGTGCAAGGGGAAAGCAAACCTATATTTTCAGTCTGAGTGCTGCCAGTTACATAAATGTAATGTGCATACATACTAATGCTACAGAAGTGTGCTCAATTCATTACTTTTGTTCAAAGGCAACGGAATAGACGCGAAATCAATAGAATAGTAAGGAAACAAGGAGAGGAAAATTATCACGAAAGCATATGCTTCTTGCGCTATAAGCTGTGTTGATGGATGGAAAACGAAGCGTGGACAAACAAAGTACTATCTGACCTGATCCTCTCTCTTTCGTTCAGCATCTTCAATTCCAATGAGTAACTAGTAGGAAGACGGTGGATGATACAAACATGGAATCTGGAGCCCTCAAGCTACATCTTGAAAAGACCAGAACCACATAGCCCCGAGGGGCAACTTTAACTTGAAAAGTGAGGCTTGTGTACGTAATTTCATATTGCAAGGCCTGGTTAAACCCCAGTTGGGACATGGGAATCCTCCGAAATTGAGAAGTCCATATCACTAGGTGGTCGTTTGGGCTTATCCGGGTTCAATTGGGCGTGATGCTGGTTCTTGACCTATTGTTGCAACACCCAACTCGTCGTGCTTCTGAAGCGGATAGGTTCGGTGTCTTCTGTAAGTACCGTTACCGCATCGCTCTCATCGACTCTAGGTGTATAGTGTAAAGCATTCGGTGTATGTACCGATGATCTTGTGTGCGTGTTCGTTGCTGACGCATTCGTCCGTGAAAACTTAGATGTGAATCCCGAAGGTAGAATATCCTGGGCGTGCTCATTTTCTTGGCCCTTTGCAAGCAAAGTCGGAGACCTGTGAGAATCGACAGTGTGAGCCTTGGCTAGGGGTTGTATTCCTTATGGACTGGTACAACCTTTGGGAGCCCAAAAGCGGAATTGTGGCCTCGTAACACGAGAGATTTAGGTCTGGGCTTGATGTGAGGGATGCTTGACTTTGCTCCAGTGAGGGCTTTCCGAAATATAGAAGTGTGTTTCTCTTCAGTGTTGTGCAGTTTCGACCTGACAGAAGGGGTATACGGTTTTTCGAAGCTGATTCTACATCCCAGTATGGTTTACCGGTGGTCTTCATGCTAGTATTTTTGATTACGGGAGCTTTATGATACCCCGAGGCAAGCCCGAGATTTAGACGCAGGCCTTGATATCGACTATAAATCCCTCCGGGATGCCGCTGCTTTTTAGGCCTTATCATTACGCAGGTTGCAAGGAATATAAAAAAGACAACAACTAGTTACAAGTAAAATGTTAGATGAAAGTTGAATGGAAGTCCCGAAGGTGGGCTGATTGTCTTTGCTTACCTACTATCCCTGTCATTAAAACTGCGAGATGCGTAGGATTACTACTATCCAAACCGCCCTTTGAAGGAGACGAATTTGCAGAGTTTGTAGGAGATGGGTTAATGGTTCCGGAACCCGAGGTTTTTGGTGAATCAATTCCTGGTTTTTCAGTCTCGCTGGGACTGGTGTTTGCAGGTGGTAATGGGTTAATGGTTCCGGAGACCAAGGCTACTGGTGAGTCGATTCCTGGCTTTACAGACTCGATGGGACTGGTGCCGGCAGGTGGTATTCCGCTACTGAATGTGGTAGGTTTGGGCTGTTCTTCCTCCTCTCCCGCGTTCTCATCCCCGCTGGTGTCGATACCCTCGCCATCCAAATCGCCCTCATCATCCTGACTTTCTTCGCTGTCAGTCTCGGATTCAAGTCCCTCCCCTATCCTTGAGGCCGGGTGTATTTGATTCCGGTTCACGTGCGCTAAGTTGCAGTCTGGCGAACCTTCTATGGCTCTGCCTGCTCTGTCGGTACATGAAAAAGCGAACGACCTCATTCCGTCTCCTCTTCTCGGTAACACCCGTTGCTCGAGGAGATGTATTGTGCTTATTGGATCTTGATCTCTTTGTAGGATATATGAGCTGCCTCAGAGTATCTCCCTCATCGGCCATAGACCCAATCAAACTAGCCATATTTTCAACTATCAAAGGCATAGTTGTGATCTTCGATAACCTTCGCCCTTGAAATCGACCAAAAAAGAGTCTGCGTTGTTTAAAGCAGATAACTGGCGGTAAACGGCATGAGTATGCGGTCCCTTCTGCCCAATTATCACGGAACGGCGTGTAAGTAAAGCGAGGTAAACAGGCCAGCTGCCTACTAGATCGACAAAATCAGATCCCAGCTGGGATAGAAGAAAAACGGTTCGTAAATCAAGTCTATAGCGTATACTCAATGCCAAAAGCCAAAATATGGCTAAAGTCCCTGTGTGAAAACAATATTACTGAAGAAGGGCGGAAGGACATTTGACTTCGTTAACTGATGCAAGGGGGTTCCACCTCGCTATATACCTCTTTTCTTCCGCTGGTTTATTGCTGTTTTGATATCGTCCTTAGGATAATGGCATTATTGTTATTGTTCCTCCGGGGCTTGAAGGCCGTCTGTATCGAAGTGAGAAAAGAAGAACAAATTCCAAACATTGAAAAGAGAGAATAGTCAGGTACTCGAGGGGAAGGGATAGAAATGTTGCCCAAGACCGGATCCGGTATTGTTATGCACGGTACGACAAATGGTCCCCTCTCAGGAGAAGGGGTGCCCCGGATTCAGCTGCTGTTAGCGACCAAATAAGGGGAATAAAAGACCACCATAGCAGTCAAACATCATGAAATGCTGAAGGAGTAAAAAAAACCCATGTCTCATTGCCTAGGGCGCCTACGCAAAGCTGACGGCTGGTTTCAAATGGAGATAGCATCTTTGGCTGGCGCACTCATTCCTTCCAGAGGTTTGAGGATCTGGATGTATGCTGTTTGTTGCCACTTTCTTTTGAACCCACCAATAGAAGATCTCAATTCTTCCCAATGTGAGGTGAAAATATTTTCTGGTAGGCGAAAAAAGCAGTTTTTGTCATCTGATCAGTTTTGCAAATCCCCCATCCCTCATGCTCTGATTTCTGCAAGGCCTGGCTTCTCAAACACTTGGAGTCGCGAAAGTGGGAGTAAGATGTCCTTAGGATACCTCTTTGCAATATAAGTTACCAGAAGAACTGATTCAGCAATTATTAGATTTTTTTGCTTTGTCTTTCTGACTCGCGGCAACGTTAGATCTCTGGTGTCGAGTCAGAGAAGCGTCGCGCGATTTTGCAAGCCCCTGAAAACGCAACCAGGTGCCAAGATATCAAACAGCTCGTGTTTGAGAAGAATCAACCAAGGAAAACGTTTTCATACCCAAAATATTTGAAACTCTTCGTCGCATAGGAATCTCTTTAGTCTCTGGATATCATGTTGTTGAGCCTGTCTGGGGCCGCCTTGGCCATCAACAGTCACGTGCATTCAAGCTAATGGATGTTGGCTTTAATTGACGTCATTCACCTACTATGGAGAACACTTATGCTGATAACTGTGCAGAGTAGGAATCTATATACAAAAGGCATTTTTGATAAAGAGTCGCCTCTTCGCCCTCAAAGGAAAAAGAAGTTGTAACTATTTGACCACTTCAGCGCACACCTACTTTGAACTACATCGGTTCAATTCGCGGTTTTTGGTTCGCGAGTCATACAATAAAGCTGGAAGCAATGTTAGCGAATAAAAGACATGATAGCAAGCATCTAACCAGTGGGTCATGATGTTGTGGTGGAATATGCGAGCTCCTAGCCTTAAAAAAGGAGGATATTAAACATATTCACGAACATCGAGGGCAACACGAAGGCTTGATCTAGAGGTTCATGTATCTCACCTTGCAGACTTCCTCCCCATCATGACACTCCATTTCCTTCGCAAACTTGAACCCCATTCGGCCATAGATCTCTAAATTCGGTACATCCCTGGAACTTTCCAAATAGCACTTCATTCCTTCCCGATCGGCCTTATCCGTGACAATCTCGACCAGTTTTCTTCCAATACCATTTCCGCGCGCATCGTCCGCAACTGCAATGACATTGCAAAAGTAATAGCCACGTGGGTCATCCCAGATGGCGCTTTGAATAGCAGTTTGAGCATCCTTCCAGATCCAGTAACGTTTGACGTTCAGACCACCGTGCCCGCGGAAACGGATATTGTTTGCTATCTGGCGAAAGGTTAAGATCCAAGATTGGAAGTACGAGTACCAGCTTTCTCGTTCGGACGGCGGGTGGGGAGGAAGCCACATCGCAACGCCGATAATGCGAGCTGCATCTTTCTTGGATCGTCCGACAGACCCTGCTTGATCACCATTCGATGATGGTACCTCCTTGGCAACGTAGAATAGACCATTGTTGATACCCCATAAACAGCGGGCTGTGAGGGATGCTGCGTTTCTTTCCTTCGAGAACTGTTCAATGAAGAGAGCGAAATGGATCGACCTAGTAGCGGACAGAAGTGTATCTCCCGCGGACCGCAAGCCGTTGAATTAAAGGTTAGTACTAAAGACAAAATACTGTTCCTAGGATGTGGAATATCATCATTCTCTAGTAGGGGGCGTGAGTCGTGTGAAAAAGAGCTGGAGCCAGTGGTGTTTGAGCAGTTGGGGGAAGTTTCTTTCGACGAATCACTCTTTCAACACGCTGTCGGAACATATTATATATTGACGTGGGTACGCACCTTTTGCGCATCAAAGACCCAGAGGAAATAAGGGTCAGCCTCAAAGGCCTTTTGGACAATCTCAACAACAGCAGGAATGTCCTCCTTGGTTAAAGGGCTTATCTCGATAGTCATACTGAGTGTAATTATTGGGAGACTTGCTGTAGAATCTCGGAGTGAGGACGATTGTGGTAACAATGCCTATTGCAAACTAGATTCTGCTATATGAAAGGCGGCTCCGTAATGGACAGACAAAGAGCACATAGATCAAAAGGATCAAGTAGAGGCAAAGTCTTCATGAATAGCAAGGTATTTGGTAGCTATATGAAGAGATGGAAAGGAATAATTCTGCTGTCAAGCTGGCCATCACCTGCCCGTTCTCTTCGCACACTCAGGAGCTGGTAAATGATATCTGCCAACGTGGCTAGTCCGAGAGTGCTCGGTAAGTTAGAGATGATAATGTTTGTGGGGTTAAGTATAAAACTGCTGTCAGGAAGCGGAGGAAGAGACCGTTTTCATAGCTCTTGGGTCGGAGGCTCCGTACTGCCCAAGCCAAAGCTTCTGCTTGTCGCTAAATCCCCCGCGCTGAAGCAAAGGCTATCTGCCAATCACCATAACAATAATAATAATTGGCGTCTAAATGGTGGCACCCGATGTGGTCTAGCGCACCCCTTGCCGCTATAAACTCGCTAGCCGTGGACCCTCTCAATTTCACCTAAGTGTATACCAACTCGATGCAGCGTGGTCTTCTTCAGTGCTGTCTTTCGTGGCTACATATTTGCTGACACTGCGGCGGATGGGAGCCATCATTCTGCACAGGCTGATGCATGATGGCAGGAAAAGGAAGGCACAAACTATCCATGAGAAACCGATGAGATGAGCCATCCAATCCATTAGACAGGCCACCATTTGATATCGCGTTTTGGAATACGGCATGGGAACTGGGATAGCAGACTGAGTTCAGGGGATTAGTGGATTTCGAACAACCTAAATCTTTAAACAGAAAGCATGATCCCTCAAAGAACTGGCCAGAGTGTGGAGTGGGAAAGAAGGTGCTAAGCTGAGCTGATGTTATTATGAACTTGTGCTGTTTTCGGAGGCACATATTGCAGCTCAGAAAGTCAACTGAAGACCTCATGTACAGCTCATTCAGCCTCTAAGGAGATCTACTGTGATCTACTGTGACAGGGAAACTTGATATCAGCTTTATTGATGATTCAAGTGCCATTGAAGGCTTCATATGCCACAGGACTCAGATCCATATATCAAGATACAACAGTTCCTCAAGCGCGTGGCTCGATCTATGAAGATATGGCAGAGATATTCTAGCCATTCACTATTCACGCCGTTTTGTGCTCGGTTTAATCTCCTCTGGCAATGCCTTTGACGGTGGGAATTTAGTTGCCCTGTAGAGATAGCATTTAGAGAGCTGTTACATCATCACAGAGGCTCTACATTGTTCCTGTTCTTATTGGATGTCTGTTGATGAATCAAACTCAAGCAGCTTGGATTCAACGCGACAACTCCCTTATCCAAAGGTAGATGATGAATGATGATGATACTGAATATGGATCTCGGCATGGGGATGATGACAATGCTTCAGTAAGTGCAAGAGATAGCCCACATCTGACTAGCCAACTTCTCTTAAGCAGGGGACCCGCTCCATGACACCACATTTGACTAACAGGTCATCACTCAAATACTTTCCCTTCAATTCTTATTCTTATTTTTGCTTCTTTTCTCGAATAAAATGAACAATATTTTACACTGAGTGAATGACATTTTGTTCATTCCAGCAGCTTAAAATCCGCCAGACCAAGAAGCCCAAATAATGGATCACAGTTCACAGGTCAGTTTCTTACATACCAAAGTTCTTCTCCTGCTTCCAGCAGCCTTCCTTTCCCCTTGACTAACTCTTTGTATGGCATGAAGAATTTAGCAGGAACAGCCCCAGGCTTGACATCTGTTGATTGAAAATTCCAACTGTTGTTGACTGATCAGACGCCACAGCCGAGGCGGAAGAGCATGTAGGCGCCTATGACCATGAGGGAGTAGAGGGGGAGCTGCACATTGGGATTGAGTTAGTCTTGTTTTCCTTTCGTTTTCTTGTAACCGCGTAGATGACTAGCTCGCGCAATATGCAAGGCATTTATTAGCTCACAAAGTATTGTCTGCCAATATGTGCGAGTCCTCTCCCAAGCCAAGGGAATCAAGCGCAATCCCTTCTAGCGGAATTAGTTTTATACCCTGCGGAGGCTGCACATGCAACCGTTCTGCGGGACCGTGTTTAGGAGGAGCTAGTAGTATGGAATATCAGCGTAAACTACCTGTCGAGGTGTGCACCATGATTCTAGATCGATGAGAAATAATCAGTGGCTGAATATTACACCTCCAACAACCCTGTCTGCTCACTAGTTCCCTAATCTCTATAATAATATTTGATAGGTTCCTGGATAGAACCCTGATAATCTTGGAAAGACTTCCGCAGGGCTCCTGAGTATCTCACTATGGACGCTCAATCTTGTCATATTGTATGTACTAGCCACCTATACCCGCTGACATTTTTACCTCAATTTAAAACCAATGCCACTTCATATAGAAATTTAAATGAAAACTTGTCCAATTACTTACTATCTCGATATATATACAGAACCTCTCCTGCAATGCTGAGTCACGGAGTTTCGATTTTAGCTGATGTAGGCTAGTTCTGTTTTTACCCAGTTTCAAAACGAATAGATTTAAAAGCTAGTTACAAGTTATACAAGCGTGCGATACGTAGAATAATAAGGTTCTAGCAACCCGAGTACGGTACGGGAGCGGATGCACATTTAAAGGAATATGATATAATTCTCTTATCACATGCTAGAAAATCTGCTACGTTAGATATAACTATCTATACTCCGTAGTTACTCCGTAGTTAGCCTTAAATTCCTTCTCTCGTTATTGACATCATAGAACATATTTTTTCCCTCTTTTTCAACTTTTCTTTTTACTTTTTGCTTTGTTTATTATTGTTACAGTTTTGACATGCACGGTTACACGTAACTAAAGCATGCGCAGGAATGTCAAGCCTTGGAACCTTGTATCTATCTGTATGCCACTTGATTATATTCTTATTCTACATTCTCAGCCACATGGATCCGTCCGTGGCCAGCCCCACTAGCCGTAACTAACTATTCGAAAAGGCGTGTTGCAATAATAATAGTGACATCACCAACAGCTCCAGCGTATTCGGTTCAGCATCACCACTGGTTTCAGCGTTATTTGCGAAGGAAATCATGATGAGTTCGATCCATGGTAACCATATAAAAGGGGGCAATTCACACTCACCTGATTTGGCCGTCGGATTATGGGCCTGTTCCTTACCTGTGCTAAATTTGTTTTATATCGCCCCCGTTCTCAAGCTTTTAAGAGCCATATGTCGAAGAAAATTTTGTAGGTAAAAGTCTACCATTGCTTGACAACATACACATGTCGATTCAACATCTCACCCTTCCAAACTGCCTGATTGTTCCGATTGTTCGTCTTCCACCAGATCCGGACTCCTGGCACACCCTACAATCCCCCCTGCAAAACCTATGCCGGAGGAAACGTCGAACTTCCCCGCCCATGAAGCTCGGGATGCCCAGATTGCGGAATACGAAGAAGACGTAAATAATGAATCCAATAGCGATGATTCATCCACTCCCGATGACGAAGAGAGCTCTAGGTTCCAACTCGTCAGGTCGTTAACCAGAGATAGCCTGCCAGAGCTCTCAAGAATAGCATCCGTTTTCCCCCATGATGAACAGTATCCCCTAACGGGTGACCTGGACAGAAGAGATACTGTGACTGGCCTTCAGCTAGGGGATGCTATCCTAAACCCTTCCAATCCACAATTCGATTTCTTCAAATGGACTCGCAAGCTGATGCGATTGATGGAGGAGGAGGGCATAAAGAGACGCCGTACGGGACTTACATTCAAAAATCTCTGTGTTTACGGTTCTGGTTCTGCATTACAGTTGCAGAGCACGGTTTCTACTCCGCTCATGGCTCCTATCCGGTTTCGCGAAACCTTCGGTATCGGCCAGAAAACTCAGAAGCGAATTCTTAAGGATTTCAATGGGACGCTCAGGGAAGGCGAAATGCTTGTTGTCTTAGGTCGACCTGGGAGTGGGTGCAGTACGTTTTTGAAGTCTATCTGCGGCGAAACGCACAACCTTATTCTCGGAAAAGACACAGTGATCCATTATAACGGTATTCCCCAAAAGACCTTCGTTAAAGAATTTCGAGGGGAGGCTGTCTATAGTGCGGAAGACGAAAATCATTTCCCTCATCTCACCGTTGGACAGACCTTGGAGTTTGCCGCTTCTTGTCGGACACCAGCTGCCAGAGTCATGGGAATGACTAGGAAGAGATTTGCCCGTCATATAACGAAAGTTGTCATGGCTATATTTGGCTTGAGCCACACAGTCAACACCAAGGTCGGCGATGATTATGTGCGAGGTGTCAGCGGTGGTGAACGAAAGCGCGTTAGTATTGCGGAGCTTGCATTGTCTGGTGCGCCCCTGGCCTGCTGGGACAATGCAACTAGAGGATTGGATGCTGCCACCGCCCTTGAGTTCACTCAAGCGTTGCGAGTCGGGGCTGATGTTACGGGAGGGACACATGCCGTTGCCATTTATCAAGCAAGTCAGGCCATCTACGATATCTTCGACAAAGCCATTGTTATTTATGAAGGACATCAAATATACTTCGGACCTGCTAGGGCTGCGAAGAAATACTTCGAAGACATGGGATGGTACTGCCCTCCGCGGCAAACAACTGGCGATTTTCTCACGTCCGTGACGAACCCTATCGAACGAAGAGTTCGGAAAGGGTTCGAGTCCAAAGTTCCCCGGACTGCGCAGGAGTTTGAAGCATACTGGCGCCAATCTCAGGCATTCAAGGACATGCAGGCTGAAATAGCAGAAAGCGAGAAAGAACACCCCATAGGTGGGCCAGCTTTGGGAGAATTGCGTGAAGCGCAACAGCAGGCCCAAGCGAAGCACGTCCGCCCAAAGTCTCCATATACCATTTCGATGGCCATGCAAGTGAAGCTGTGCACCATCCGTGCCTACCAACGCCTATGGAATGACAAGGCATCAACGATATCCAGAGTGGCTGCGCAGCTAATAATGTCTTTGATTATTGGATCGCTATATTTCAATACGCCACAAGTTACCAGCAGTTTCTTCTCAAAAGGCTCGGTCCTATTCTTCGCTATTTTACTAAATGCCTTGCTTTCTATATCCGAAATCAATACGTAAGTTTTTTACCCGCTTCTCCTGTCTACGAAGCAACTTTTTACTAACGCCATGCTTTAGGCTCTGTAAGTTTCACATCGCTTGCCCCCAAACGTAACACAGCTACTAACTTCACAAGATGCCCAACGGCCCATCGTCTCTAAGCATGTATCCTTCGCCTTTTATTACGCCTGGGTGGAAGCATTCGCAGGAATAGTCGCTGACATCCCTATAAAGTTCGTCATAAGCACTGTCTTCAACATTATTATCTACTTCCTCGGTGACCTGAGGAGGGAACCTGGAAATTTCTTCATTTTCTTCCTCTTCACGTTTATCACTATGTTGACTATGTCTGTGATTTTCCGAACGCTTGCCGCCGCAACAAAAACTATTTCCCAGGCACTCGCGTTCGCGGGAGTAATGGTGCTGGCAATTGTCATATATACCGGTTTCACTATTCAGCGATCCTATATGTAAGTACAGCTTTGACTTATTGAATTTGATCTCAATCTCCTGCTCAGTTGTTTCTGTTTGGGTGGAGTGGTTATATCACAAAGGCTAACCGTGAACATAGGCACCCATGGTTCGAATGGATCAGCTGGATCAACCCAGTAGCATATGCATTCGAAGCCATCTTAGTAAATGAAGTGCATAATCAACGTTACGCGTGCGCAGATATCGTTCCGCCCTACGGCCAGGGGGATAATTTTCAATGCCCAATTGCCGGTGCCGTACCGGGTGAAAGGTCTGTGTCCGGCGACGCATGGGTTGAATCACAATATGGTTATAAGTATTCGCATCTTTGGAGAAACCTTGGTTTCATCTGCGCCTTCCAGGGCTTCTTTTACGTGCTTTACCTTGTTGCGACACAGATGAACACCAGCTCAGGCTCATCGGCAGATTACTTAGTATTCCGACGCGGGAACGTTCCTAAATACATGTTAGAACAGCAGGACGAGGAAAATGGCAAAGTAATCCGTCCGGATGACGTTGCTGTTGCTGCTCCTCAGAATGGAGCCAACGGGGAAGATACCACCAAGGTTCTCCCCCCCCAAACTGACATTTTTACTTGGCGAAACGTCGTCTATGACATCACAATTAAAGGGGAGCCGAGGAGGCTACTTGACCACGTCTCTGGATGGGTCCGCCCGGGCACTCTCACGGCATTGATGGGCGTCTCTGGTGCAGGTAAAACGACACTACTTGACGCACTTGCACAGCGGATTTCCATGGGCGTTATCACCGGGGATATGTTTGTTAATGGAAGGCCACTCGACCGGTCCTTCCAGCGGAAAACAGGCTACTGCCAACAGCAGGATCTTCACCTTGAGACGACCACAGTCCGTGAGGCGCTTCGCTTCTCTGCCATGCTGAGACAGCCAAAGACTGTTTCAAAGGCTGAAAAATACGAATTTGTGGAGGATGTGATCAAGATGCTGAACATGGAAGACTTTGCTGAAGCAGTTGTCGGCAATCCGGGCGAAGGTCTCAATGTAGAGCAGCGAAAGCTTCTCACCATCGGTGTTGAATTAGCTGCAAAACCACAACTTCTACTTTTCCTTGATGAACCTACTTCCGGCCTCGATTCGCAGAGTTCATGGGCCATCATTTCTTTCCTCCGAAAGCTCGCCAACAATGGCCAAGCTGTGCTCTCTACGATCCATCAGCCGTCCGCAATCTTGTTTCAGGAGTTTGATAGACTACTGTTTCTGGCAAATGGCGGCAAGACTGTCTACTTTGGGGACATCGGGGAAAATTCCGAGATCATGCTCAAATACTTTACAGATCACGGGGCTGAACCCTGTGGCCCTGATGAGAACCCAGCAGAATACATGCTGAACATTGTGGGAGCGGGGCCCAGCGGTAAATCGACGCAGGACTGGCCAGAAGTGTGGAAAGCTAGTCCACAAGCGAGGGAAGTTCAAGAGGAGCTGGATCGCATACATGCAGAGAGGACAAAGGAGGAACCTGCTTCTGAGCCAGAGGAGGAGCCCTCGATAACAGAATTTGCCATGCCCATGACATCACAGATATACCATGTTACTCTTCGAGTTTTTCAACAATATTGGAGGACGCCGACATACGTCTGGGGAAAGTTTTTGCTGGGTTTTATGTCTGCTGTCTTCATGTAAGTGGTGCACTTTCAAGATCCCGATGGGCCATTCGGTTTCCATATATTAATGTTTACCACAGAGGCTTCTCATTCTATGGACAAAACTCGTCTTCTTCGGGATTTCAAAATACGGTTTTCTCGATTTTTATGTTGATGACCATCTTTACTAGTCTTGTCCAACAGGTATTTAACCTCACGCCGCTATTGTTAGTTGCGTAAATATTTTGGCGAAATTCTCACAATTCTCTAGATAATGCCCCTATTTGTTACCCAACGGTCTCTTTTCGAAGTCCGCGAAAGACCATCGCGCGCATACAGCTGGAAAGCCTTCCTACTCGCAAACATCATCGTGGAAATCCCCTATCAAATACTCCTTGGAATAATCGTCTGGGCATCCTTCTACTTCCCGGTTTTCGGCAAGAACCAAACGGCCGAGCAGCAAGGCATATTCATCCTCTACTGCGTGCAATTTTTCATCTTCACATCTACCTTCGCTCACATGGTAATCGCCGGTCTCCCTGATGCAGAAACTGCAGGACACATTGCCACAACCCTCTTCAGTTTAGCCCTTGTCTTCAACGGCGTCATGCAGCCTCCCAGAGCCCTTCCAGGGTTTTGGATCTTCATGTGGCGCGTCTCCCCATTAACCTACACCGTCGGCGGTATGGCCGCCACAGGCCTCCATGACCGCGAGGTGCAGTGCGCAGATAACGAATTCGCCATCTTCGACCCGCCTAGCGGCGCCACATGTGAGGAATATCTCGAACGATACCTCGCCGCGGGCGCACCGGGTCGTTTGCTCAACCCCGGCGCCACGGAGGCATGCAGATACTGTCCCATTCGGAGTGCGGACCAGTTCCTCGCGACGTCTGAGATATTTTGGTCAAACCGCTGGCGCAATTTCGGGTTTGGGTGGGCGTATATTGGGTTTAATGTGTTTGCGGCGGTGTTGTTGTATTACATGCTGCGAGTGAGGAGTTCGAAGGGGAAGACGAGCAAGTGGGCGAGTTTGATGAAGCATTATTTGTGCCGTGCGGGGAGTTGGGTCAGGGCGTTGTTTACGATGCGGTTTGAGAAGACACCGCAGGAGAAGATTCATTTGAATCAGAATCTTCTTTGAGAGGGGTGAGAAGATTGGAGGATAGAGAGGGACTTTTGCCAGTGGGTGGAGAGAGGAGGGGTAGCATGTTTGGTTGAACATATTTGCACTTGGTTTTGGCTTTCTGTCATATGTTTATTAACTATGTCGCGCGCCTTTATTACTTAATATCCACCGTTTAGTTATTTTTACTTCCTGAATATATGGCATTTTGGTATTGAATTCAAATGATATTTTGAGTTCTTATTTCTTCTTCCCTTGCTCATTTGACCCAAATGTCACTATAGGCTGCCGTAGATTCGAAGGAATTTCAACACCGGGAGGTTCTACCTGGATGCTACCTAGTTGCAAGTTGCAAGCAACTGGTCAAGGAATTTCACACAAAGTCACTGAAGAGGCCAAACCTTGCCAAGCTCAAAAGGTTCAAAGAGGATGCACTGGAAAGATACAACAAGACAGCTCATAGAGCAACTGACAACCACTGGCCTCTGCCCATGCCAAACCCCTGACAAAAAGGATGTCTGTTTGAGGTACAAATGATCACTAAATACATGGTAATTATCTAAAAACTCTGTTAGGTATCTACATTTACAGTAGTATCAGATGAAGTAAAATTGGCCGTATATCCTAACCTATGACCTTTAGGTCGCGTTGTGCATCTTGAAGTATTTTCCTCATTTCTGAGCCCAATTTTGAATTTGTTCTCTTCCATCGTCCATTGTTTGGAAATACAATCCGTCGTAGCCTGTTGACCCAACACGACAATGGCTGGTAATATGGAGTGAAGTAGTCATCCATGATTGTAAGGAATACCTCTTCATCAGCTATAGCTCCGATTTTGGCACCACCCAGTTCTCTTGTACTCATATAATTCCACTTTTCAAAATCCTTCACCTTCCTCCCTTTCCCCGGCGCTTCGTAGTGAATGCAGATCCAGAAGAGTACCCAGAAAAAGAACTCAAGGTCATGCATGAATCAATGCTCCTCCCCAATCAGGACACCGATTGCCATGAATGCTCTAGTGCCAGTTTTGCCTCACGCTCCTAAGAACCCATCGCGTTTTGTTCGGATGGCAAGGTCGAGATCGATCAGGAAGGATCGCCACGAAGGGTTGTCCTCATTCTCATTGATCAAAAGATTTCGTGGTGAGATATCACTCTGGATCAACCGGGCGCTGGAGTACAGGGATTCGTACCCTACAATGCAGCCTTCCATTCCGACCAGTAGAGCCACTCTTGAACTGCTTTCGTAGATAGGCTTCCCGTAGTCTTGAACAATGACACGACGATGCACTCGATTCAGTGGGCTGCCCGCGGGACGCTTCATTGGCGAGGTGGACTGGGTGCGCTTGCTGGGGGGAGGGGGAAACACCGTATCGACGCAATCGGAAGATCGTTTCCGCCCGATGCCGCTGCTTTGGCTGGCACGGCCTCTATTGGATGCACTCCTTCTTAGGGCCACCTGCAAGCTACCTTGCTTGGGTTTCGGGGCCTCTAGACCCTTTCGAATGGTCCGCACATCATCGTCCTTGCCGTCCACCTGGACAGTTTCGTGAAAGTAATATCGAGCAACATTCGTGACTCCACTCTCCATTGCTTCGCGCAGCAGTTCCCCTTCCTCATCGCGCTCCAGGTACTGCCAGGAGTCTTTGACCACCAGGATCCGCTCGTCCCCTTGGCGATGCGCTTTCCAGCAGGTGGTGGCTCGTCCCGCGACACAATGTGCCCGCAGGATCACCCCATCAATCACCAGATGCTCCTTCTTGCCATCGCGCTCAATCTCGATGCAGCGTTGACCATCCACTGTGACAACAGTCGGGTCGAAGCCGAGCTGCCGTCGGTTCATGAAGAGGAACCCCAGGATCACTGTGATGAACTGAAGGCCATCCTGGTTGATGTCTGTTTCCCCTGAACCAATCCCGCCGCAACGGTCGAATTCCCAAACACACAGGAGTGGTCCACACAGGGTGAACCCAAGAACAAATCAGCGGTCGCCCTGCGCGGATAGCACCTCTCGAGCATACCTTGCCAGGTCAAGCCGCGCCCCAGAAGGGATGTCATACTTTCGGTCATTCTTCAGCTCTCCTGGTACCAGGATCTGCGACCACTCGTATCTCTTGTCCAGCATGGCATGAGGGTCATCCACAAAGCCTATATCAAGCTTTCGCTTTGCAGTAGATCCGGCTACTAGTTGAGCGGGCTGAGCTAAGTGTCGGCGGACAACTGTTCGAGATGGGTCATGAATTTCTGCAAACTGCACAAGCTGATTGATGACTTCAGTAAGCCATTCCAGTACAGTTTTTTCGTCCGCATGGTCAGGCCAATCCTTCCATCCATTTTCGCGGTAGAGAGGGCTATCGCTAGTCTTGTAGTTCTCAAACATAGCCTGCGCGGTCGAGACGAGACCTTCGATGTCATCAAAGTAAGCTGCATAAAAGCCAGGGACGTCTGCATGGAGATCTTCCAAAAGCTCCTCCCTCAGGACACGGTCAATATCTCCTTGGAGATCCGACGAGTTGGCAAGGCTGCTGGTGTTTCGCGAGCGCGGCGTTTGTAAGATTGGTAAAGATTGCCTAGGTGGAGGTGTGGATTTTTCAGCATGTGTGACAGTGGTGATGAGGTTGCAGACGGCCTTCCAGATATCAGTGTCAGGTGCTTTCTGGATGATGAGTTGGACAAGTGGTCGGTAATGATCATGGCTATAGTTGCCTTCCGAAGGCAAGTCAATAGTTTCGACAGCTCTGAAATGATATTTAACCTGCTTATCGGCGGACGAAGGTTATAAGCCGCTTTTGCATCCATCAAAGCAATCAGGGCTTTTGATATTGCCTTTTGGTAGGTTTGATCAGGGCCATCAGCAGCGCCACCATGAGACTGCTCAGCAGCTCCTTGGAGAAAGCCACGCACCCGATCGAGTGAGTTCCTTAAAGGGTATATCTCTACCGTAGCAATCTCGTCTGATGATAATTCTGCCATAACGGTAATAGGAAAACCATAGGACTGGAATGGAGAGTGACAAACGGGAAGTTCAGAACAATTTTGGAGATCATAAGCTTCAAGCCCAGACAGGGTGGTTCAATCCTTGCATTGGTGGGTGCTAATTGAATATTGCTTCCTGTAGAGGGGAAGTGTGCCGAAACTCTTCGAGATTAATTAAACGATAACTAACTAACGTAAGTAGAGTAGATAACTACAGGACACCTCACCCAGCTTAATAATGGCTTCGAGATATTACCCTGTTACGTGCTTGTCCGCTCTTGAAGATGGAACAAGTTTTTGTTAACGTATTACCAAAAACGAGGCTATGCCGAAATAATTTAACTAGTTAGTTAACTACCCATTTGACACATTTGTTGCCGTACCTACGCAGTAGTGCAGACTAAATGCCACCAACATCGTATTTTTCTTATCATCATCAGCCTACTACAATTGCTCGTCTAATAACTTACTCGCTAATGCTAGCTTCTTGGCTCGCACATTCGTCTTCCTATAAATAGCCCTATATTTTGTATGCAATTAGAGAGGATAGATAGTGTACGGATAATATAAGAAGCAGATCTTGATACACATGAGATTCATATGTTTTCCGACATATTCATCCGAGGTACCATTCCGACAGTTGAGGCACATAGCCCCAAAGGAGCGGAGTCAACGTGCTCACACCTTCTTCAGTGGATTGAATGAGTGTATGCACAATCATTCGTGTCGGCAATGTGAACTTTATTTATATCTGGACCATCTCCTAATCCGCATCGCCTAGGTTGTATACTCTGCGCACCCGCACAACCCCTTACTCCAGAAGTGGTATACTCGACATCAAATTTTTTTTAAATAATATATTTCATGTCAAGCATTCGAGCGAGGACAAAGAATTATGTGAAATTTCATCCATCCGGCTATTCCTGAGGATATTCGCAGATCGTGTTCCCGAGGGCCGGCTGTATGCTTGCAGTACCGAACCGACCCCGCAGCCTTTCATTGCCGAAAGGTCTGAAATCGGCAGAGAGCCGAATTCTGAAGATTCTTAGGAAACGATATAGCCGTTCCATGAGAGTTAACTCCTTTTAAATACATAGAAATAGCGATATAGACCGTTTAAATCGACCTGTTTTTTGATTTATGTTTGTTTTCATGGTGTGAGAGAATCGGCTATCTGCATTTTGGAAAATGACGTTCAGATCAAGACATCCTGAGATCGATGGTAGGCATATAAGGGGATAGAATCCCGGGTTTCTGGCTTTTCAACATTTCCACATCTTCAGCCTATCTGATGTGCTTTCTTCGCTTGCCCCTACTTTTCTATTTCCTATCCATTCTTACTAATAGAGCAAACCCGCAGTTCCCACAAATATAACGGTATGGCAGTGGCTATTCGAATCGCCTCAATTCTCGGTCCTACACAAATACCAGCCGCACGAGCTGGCGGGATATACCAATGCGGTTACAAAGGAACGCGTCAATTGGGTACAAGTCAAGGAAGCCGCAACTTACGCAAGCACGGCTTTGGTGAGGAAATATGGCATGAAGGAAGTCGACACCATATCACTCTTCAGTCAGAACACAATCTGGTATCCTGTAGCTATGTTTGCGGGGCTCAGGGCGGGTATGTATATATTACATAGGCCCATTTTCACGCTAGTACATTCACTGAAGCTGCCTTTTTTTTCTTAATTTGCTATAGGTGGTAAGGTGGCTGGGGCCTCCCCAGCGTACAACATTGAGGAAATGGCATATGCCCTCACGAAGGCGGAGACAAAATATCTCATGACAAGCCCGAACTCGTTGAAGGTTGCCGTGGCTGCTGCTAAGGTTGCTGGAATTCTGCGAGAACATATCTTTCTACTCGAAGGAAACGTAGAGGGATTCACTACCTTCAAGGACCTGCAAGAGATCGGGAAAGGCTACGGCGAGCAGGGCCAGATTCCCCCATATACGATACCGGCCAGCAAGACAAATAAGGATATCTGCGGCTTTTTGAACTTTTCCAGTGGAACAACTGGATTGCCGAAGGCTGTGAGATATGCTAAAGATATTCGAAGCGGGGGTGGGGTGGCTCTGCTAACTCTCCATCACAGGTCATGCTTTCGCATCACAATGTAATGGCCCAGTGTTTGCAGATGAAAGCGATCACTCCGTGCGAACCAAAAACGTTTCTCGGTGCTTTACCGCTGTTTCACAGTGAGTCTCCCCACATCATACGCCGCCCGATAGCTAGGTGTCAACAATATATCTTGCATATTGACTAACTGCAGCCCCACCTATCCCCGCTTCCTGAATGCAATAGTCACCGGCCTCAACCGCTTCTGCAATAGCCCCATCCACCAAAACGACGAAGTCATCCTCCTCCCACAATTTACCATGGAACTCACCCTCAAGTCCATCGTGGAATACAAAATCACCGAACTAATCCTAGTCCCGCCAATCGTCATCCGATTCATCCAAGATAAAATCGTAGACCAATACGATCTCTCCTCCATCAAACGCATATCCTGCGGCGCCGCACCACTGAGCAAAGAAGTCGTCCAATTGCTCGCGAAGAGGTTCCCCGACGCCGGGTTTAGACAAGGATATGGCATGACAGAGTCGTGCGGCTGTCTGACCTCCCACTCTCCTAAGTACTATGGCTACGAGTACGCGACCACAGTGGGCGATTTGATCCCGTGCACGGAAATCAAAATCGTCGATGACCAGGGGAAGGAACTGGGCTATAACCAACCTGGAGAAATCCTTGCCAAGGGCCCACAGATCGCCATGGGTTATCTCGGCAACGAGAGCGCCACGGCCGAATCCTTCGGTGGGGACGGATTCTTCCACACGGGCGATATTGGCAGTATGAATGAGGAAGGCCTAGTCACGATCGTCGATAGGATCAAGGAGATGATCAAGGTGAAGGGAATCGCCGTTGCGCCTGCCGAACTTGAGGATTTACTCCTTGGCCATCCGTATGTCTCTGATACAGCGGTGCTGGGCAAAATGGACGACTATGCGGGTGAGAGACCGAAGGCGTACGTTGTGCTCATACCGGGCGTTGAAAAATCAGAGGGTGTTGGGAGGGAGCTGATGGAGTATGTTAGGGAGAGGAAGGTCCGGTTTAAGTGGGTGGAAGAGATCGAGTTTACGGATGCGGTGCCGAAGAGTACGAGTGGGAAGATTTTGAGACGGGTTCTGAAGGAGCAGGAAAGGAATGGTGTTAGGGGGGTGGTTGTACGTGAGAGTGAGCATGAGAAGGAGAGGGCGAGGTTGTGATTTTTAGAAAAAAATAGGCAAAAGATCGCCTCGCAGGCGGCTCCTCCATTTTTAAGGTTTGGGTCTAATTTAAGCTTATCGGGCCCAGAAAGAATTACGCTAACCGGTTTAGGGACATTCGTCGCCGATCAGCGAAAATGGCCTTAACGCTGTATATTGACTTTAAAGGTTTTACCAAAAAGCATCCTGCTATGGCGATGCACAAGAAGGGGCCAGGCAAGCATCTTAAGGTTTCTCCTTTTCCATTGCGTTGTAGGGTTATTTCTGCAAATTAGGGTCACTCGACAAAGAATACAACGCTTCAGATGTGGACCGTGGTGGTGAGAGAAAGGGTTCCCGGAGGGAGGGATGGGTGTTGGTAAGTAATGACTTTATCTGAAAAGTGCCTGTAATTACTAACTGCCACACACATCACATCTAAGACCTCTATTTGATGTTCATGATCTCTCAACATTCAAGAATGATTGATTGTATTTAAGGATTCGATGTAAGGATGGGCAATATGTAGGTGTATAATCTTCAATAAAGCCATGAAGCTCGACCCTAGTTTTGTGTAAGACTTCGCAGTCAAATAGCGGGGTAGTTCCGTTGGAGTTCTGGGCATCTATACCATGGCGTTGAAATGCCCATGCTCAGTTAAAAGATTTGGTGTTCCGATTGCATGCGACTGAAATATGCGCATAACCTCTCGGCGAATTCTTTTTTGACGCTGGTATCTAGAGCGCGGATTGGCCATGTTCGTCGAATCTCTGAGCCGGAGGCGCGAAGAGCTGACCAAATGCAGCATGATATGCGCTCGAAAGCAAACATTCCTCGCCGTAATCCAGATGCAAAATGTGAGAAGCCGACAGAAACAGCTAAGAAGTGGCTCGAAAATACACGGAGCAGTGCAACAAAGGCCCTTCCAACACACTAAAAGTTGAATGGAAATCCCAATACCCAATCTCAAACAATTCTAATCCACGTGGCAGAAGTTATCAGGTCTTGAACGCCTAACTTGATAACTAAGCTGTGGGAACCACGCCTGCAACCTCTTGTGAGTTGGTCAACCCCCGTGTGTAGTTAACTGATTTGCCACACCATGTAAATCTCTAGCGTGGAGAGAAGGTTTTTGTTCCAGACCTCCGTGCATCGCCGACAAGTGCAATGTGAAACCAAAGAAATCCTCGATATCCTTCCCATAATGCTAACTACTTCGACCTGAGAACTCCTTCCTTGATCAATCCTCTATCCCCGCCGCCTCCCCTCCTCCAAAGCCAAATAGCCTCCGTCGCCCACGCTCGCGCGCTGGCGTGTTTCCCGATGCGTCCCACATTACTTGAACCAGCGCTAGTACCAGCGCCAGGAGGAGTAGTGGAAGTGGTAGCCGTAGTAGTAGTTGATTCAGATTTCGATCCACTGCCACCCCCAGCCTCAGCCAACATACCCGCAACCACCTGCTCGCGCTCCACAACACTCCACAGCCCCTCAACAAGTGCGCTACCCCGCTCCCCAAACTCCCCCTTCCCCAACCTGTACAGGAACCGGCCGAGAACTTGCCAGGCCAGACAGCGCTGGGCGGGGAGCGTGGAGCGAGAGAGGATTGCAAGTTCGGGGATTGTATAGCCGGCCGCTTCGGGATCGTCAGCGTGGTGGTGGAGGCCTAGGGTTGTGGGGATGGAGAGAGAGGTGCGTGGGGCGAGGAGGTTGCCGGTGAGCGAGAAACGGAGGGAGGCGGGGGAGACGGAGGTGGCGGCGCTGTCGGGGTGGTAGGGGGATGTGGAAGGGTTAGTTGGATCGTCGGATGCAGGGTCGTTAGGTGGCTGGAGCCAGGAGAGGGAAGAAGGATCGTGCGGGATATCTGGGAAGTAGTGGGTTTGTAGGTCTGCGAGGAAGGATGGGGAGGAGGGATCGAGGTTTGGCATTGGAGATTGGCGTGGGGGGGGTTTGGGGAAATGGATAGGACCTGTTGGGAATTCGGAGGCGGGGTATAGTTCGGAAGGTGGGTAGGGAGGTGGGAGGTTATCTATGGTCGATGATGGTTTGGGGGGTCGTTCTTGTTCTTCAAAGTCTGCATCGGCGGACTTTTCTACTGTCTGCGAAGGTGGAATGTCAAATGATACTGATTTGGGAGGCTTTTTGAGCTGCGTAGATGTCCCCTCTGGTTCTTCTTTTGACACTGTTGGCGAATTAGCCTCCTTAATATCCCTCTTCCCCTTGTCCATCCGATGTTTCATTTCCTCATGTTGGTGGTCCTCCTCGATATTTGCCCTTCGGAGGAGGCGTTCGATGAGTGATTGCGGAAGCGCAGACATCAATTCCCCGCGCTCTCTTTCAATCTCAGCAGGAGACATGGCGGCCAGTCTCCGTTTGTTTTCTTCTTCTATGGATTTCTTCTCATATTCCGCATAGGAAGGCGCCTGGCTGAGATTGAATCTACCAGAAGCGCTCTCTGAGGGCTGTTTATGATTTCGCAAAGATTCTGGCTCTGCTCTTTGCTTTTTGAAAGTAGACACCTTAGATCGTTTTCGGGGCTCTGGAAAACCCGTGGAACTGGAGGAGGCTCGTGGAGGAGTAGGTGGTAGAGAGGTAGAAGAGGATGCTCGCTCCTTGATGTCGCCGATAAAATCTAGGGACTGCGATTGGACGGGGGGGCGAGGGTTGTCGTCGTCGTCGTCATCGTCAGAGAGGTCGATGTGAAAGCGCTCTCCACGGATAGCCATTTTCACTGACTTATCCACACGTATATATACAGCAGCAGTCAAGCAGCAAACTGTTACGGATGTAGTTGTTGTTGTTGAACATGTCACTGCTGTTGTGGCCTTTCACCGGCAGCTTTATCAGATCGACTTGCTAAGTAAACAAGGAGCGCCTACACGTGATCTGCAGCCTTGTGCTATTCTGGCCTAGCGCAGTCTCGGCAAGGTTAAGGTTTCACATCACGTGGATGCGGCTGCAAGACTAACTTAAAGAGGAAGTTATGCCAAGCCGATGTAGATCGCGGAGAAGTTACTTGTATCTGTTCTATATAAACATAACCTCTCAGAGGAATGGATTACTACAGTATGGATGATACAGAAGGGGCAGAGGTAGAGGTGCTGTATGGTAGTTTCGCAGCTACATAGGAGCTTTGAGGACCCAAACTATCATACCCCCACCCCAATATTGATGTTTCTGGTCGGGTGTGGCTTGCTGTGGCGAGTGTAGGAGCTAGGGCCGATAGACCATGAACCTTGCAGCAAAGGGGGAATTTCCTGACAGCAGCACAGAGAAAAGTAGTGCCCAGGCAGGGTGGTTCCAGAGAGAGTGAGGAGACAGGTAGCAGCTTACAAGAGACCACCAGAAGGGAGAATGGAGGGTGTTAGGAAAGGTGATATGAAATAACCCCCGAAAAAGAAGTAGGTATTGTATGTATCCCTTGCCAAGGTCGCAGCAACTAGTCCGCATATGATATCGACGCTGTTCAAATGTTCCCCACAAGCAGCTAATATTTGAACAGCTGGATAGCTAGTTACAGTACTTGCAGACAGAGGAACATACAACAGGAATACATGCCTCCGTACAATATCAGCCGGCGTTGTCGTGCATGGCGCATCCCCCTTGATCGTGGCCTAGTGAGAGTACTCTTCTTCCGGGCTGCATCATCATCATCCGGTTCCTTCAATCAATCATCAGTCAATCATCCGTGTGTCCCTTGAGGCCACAACCACAGCAGCTGTTTCGCCATTATTTGACTTTTTCCTGGCTGCTTCCTCTGTCTCGCCTCTCGTTGTTCGCCCAGCTCCAGTTCCAGCTCCAAGTTCCAGTTCCAGTTCCAGCTCCCCCTTTCCTTTTCTTTCCCTTTTCCCTTTTTCCCTTTTTCCTTTTCCCCTTTGGCTCCAGTAATCAGAGTAAGTCAGTCTGGCTGCGCCTGAGTCTGAGTCTGCGCATGCCACTTACTACTAATACCAGATCCCATCCCCCTTCTCTTCTCTCGTTCTCTTCTTCCTTTCTTTCTTTTTCTCCTCTTCATTTTCTCTCTTCTCTCCTTCTCATACTCTCCCTTCCCCTTCTTCCCAGGCTTGTTTTCTTTTCCCCCCGGGCGCTTCTTGTTCTTGTTCTTGTTCCAGTTCCATCCCGCTACCACACAACTCCCGTATCTCGCGCCCGTTCTTCTTATATGACAGCTTCACCCACCCCCCCGCTCCCAAATCTCCCAAATCTCCCATCTTCCGTCCGTCTTCATTCTCGCCAACTTTTTTGTCCCTCACCATCACCAAACGCTCCCCCCGGAACACGTCAACATCATCATCACCACCCACCATCCGCCATCCGCCATCCGCCATCCACCACCTAAAAACCTCTGGTTCTCTGCGTGTTTGAATGATCGCGGATAATTAATTCATTTTGATGTTCCTGGAGCTTGCTTTATCCCGCCACCCCGACAAAGCACCAACACCAGTCCGGTCCGTCCAACAGCGCAATCCGACTCCAAACCGCCAAAAGTTTTTCTTCCTTGTGATTTTCGTGTTCCTCGTCGTCTCCTCCTCCTGCCTAAACCAACTCCGTGAAACTAACCAACCACCACCGCAAACCACGACGCGACGGTTCTCTTTCTAACCACGGTCGCCTCCGGGTTCATATTGCTGTCCAGGATCGATGTTCATCCACCACCAATGAAACAGGGAAATTCATTGAGTTTTCTATTGTTCTTCCACCACCAATTTCCGGCGTTCAACAACTCAACACCACGTGATTATTTTATTTTGCTGCAGGACGAGCACAAATAAAAATATAAAAAAAATAAAAAAAATAAAAAACCCAATTTATTTCACAAGGAGAAACACAGGGAGAACGAGCCAGGTTCTGAGTAATAAAGAGGAATCTATTCTCCAGCCAACAGATCATACATACACATGTGTGAATGTTAACACTGGGCCTGTTCGATATCTAAAAAACAGGATAAAAATAATAAAATAATAATAACAATAATAAAATAAACCCCTCTCTGAGACACGGGCCATTCAATTATTATTATTGTTCTTATTATTATTATTATTATTACTATTACTATTATTATTATCATTTGCGCTGTTGCGGATTGAATAATTAATTATTCGTGGTGGAGAAGAAAGCATGTCTGGAGATGTTGCGGATGAAGGCTGGCGAGGCAAAGCCCGCACTCGACGCGGAGAGCAACAGCAGCAGCAGCAGCAGCAACAGTCGACCCTGAACAGCCAACCGCCTGCCGAACCTCATATACAACCACAGCCTCAACTACAACTGCAACAACAATTGGACCAGCAGTTCCAACAGCAGCTACCATCTGCCAAAATACTCAAGTCTTCGTCGCCTGACTTGTCATCCCCTAATTTATCCGACTGCGAGAGTGTGCCTACTCCCGCCCATTTTCTTTCTCGGTCTTCGTCCCCTAATGCTGCCCCACAGGGCACCTCTGCCTCTACGAGCACTGCTAGCGCTACCGTCCCCGCTGTTACAGCTTCAAAGAGCTCTGGAGGTGCGGGAGTAAAAAGTGAGAAACAGGACAGCGCCGCAGCCACTGGCACCGCGAAGCCGAAACGTACGAGACGAAAGAAAGAAGACAAGGACCCAAAGGAGAAAACTAAGGAGACAAAGCCTCGAAGACGTCGCACTAGTAATAGCAAAAACAATAACAACAACAATAATAGTAACAACAATAACATAAACCAGGCTCAAAATCAGCAGCTTTCGGTCACCAGCGACAATGCAGATCGGGGAGCATCGCGCAAAAGAGCTAAGCTGGATCATCCACAGGATACCAAGCCCAGTCCTCCCTCGCGGCAATCCAAGATCACCGATCTAGTTACCCCCCATTCTGCTCCTGCTCCTGCTCCTACTTCTACTCCTTCGACGCTATCTCCAACTCATGCGTCGAACCAGTTCCATCTTGCACCATCTTCGTCCACCTCCCCGCGGCTGCAGCCACACCACCAGCCCCATCATGTCCATGGTGTTTCGCAGAACAGCAGCTATGAAGCATTCCCGACAAACGGGGATTCCGGCCCTCCAGTCCGGCCCTATCACATCCAACCCGCTCCTTCTTCCACTCCCACTTTAGCTCCCGTTTCCGCGCCCGCACTCGGTCCGCCCCAGCAACACGCCCCACCCCAGCGCTCCAGCGGCCAGAACTATGACCCCATCCGCTCTGCTTTTGATAACTCTTCCCTCACCACCCCTCAGTTCTCTGCATCCTCAAAAATTTCCCTATCCTCCAGTCATCACCAGTTTAGCCCCCCGCCCAATACCAAGACACCGCCTCCTCGTCCAGTATACCGAGCCAGTGCATCTCCTGCTATAGCCAGCATCATCGACCCTCCCATCCAACCGTATTCCTCAGCCCCCCTCCAGTCATCTCTCTTTCATCAACAGTCAAAACCTTCTCCGGAGAACAATCATTCTGCCAAGGACTCACCTACTTCAGCCACTCCCACCTCGACTCCTAAAACCAATACGACAACTATCCAACAGCCTAATCCTGTGCATCAGCCCCTGCCATCCTCGTCTCTCTTGCAAGAACCCATTAGCATGGACATTGACAGTGGGAACAGCGCACCAGCGCCTGCTTCGTCAGCACCTTCCAAACCAACTGCTGCAGCCTCCACCAAGAAGGGAGCCGCAGCTTCCACAGGTACGCCCTCCACCGCACCTTCTCCCAAACCGTCACGGACCAAAGACACAGTCAAACCTCTTCTCCCATCAGGCTCAGGCTTGCTAGCCGGTACCCTTTTCGGCGTAGACCCCACCGATAAATCCAGCTCAACAACATCCACTATGTCCACCCCGAACATCATCCTCCACATCCCCCTCAACGGCAAAACCAACCAGATCATCAACTTCACTCGACTTGCAGAGCAACAGTACGGCTTCGATGCCCTCCATCCCCGCCTCGCAGCGCAGCGCGAACGGCTAGCCCGCGTCAATGCCGCTAGCGCCGCGCTCGAGAGGAACGAGAAGAGCGCCAAGGGTGCCGCTGGTACCGTTAGCGCAGCGGAGGATGATTTAAGCCTCGATGCTGATCGGGACAGCGATGGGGATGGCGATGTGCTTATGTCCGGCATGGGTGGTTCACCGTCGTTGTTGAACGCCGATGCAGGTAGTGATGCAGGTGGTGCTGGTGCTGGTGGTGCTACCGCTACTGCTGCTCCTACTAAGAAGAAGAGACGGAGGAAAATCGAAGAATATGACCGTGACGATCCGTTCGTTGATGATAGTGAGCTTGCGTGGCAGGAACACGCTGCTGCGAGCAAAGATGGTTTTTTCGTTTATAGTGGTCCGCTCATTCCGGAAGGTGAGAAGGTTGCTGTTGAACGGTATGTTTTGTGCCCCCTATCTTCTTTTTTTTTTTTTTCAGTCATTCCTTCCTTACAAGAGCAAAACTAATAAAACCGCGAATCCAGAGCCGACGGCTCCATAAAACGAGGCCGCGGCCGTGGCCGCGGTGGTGCTGGCGGTTCCGCTGCGGGTGGAGGTAGCTCACGCGGTCGCGGAGGTGGTGCTGTCTCATCGAGCGCCGGACAACACCATGCTGGCTCATCTGGGCATGATGGTGGCGGCGGGGGTGGTGCAAAGGGTGGTGGCTCGACAAGGGGAGGGGGTGCGGTAGCTCGCAAACCGCGCGTGACGAAGGCTGGGCGGGAGACAATGCAGCGGGAGAAAATGGAGAGGCAGAAGTTGGGGTTGGAGTTGGTAGGGAAAGGGGGTGGTGCTGGTGCTGGTTCCGCTGGGGATGGCGGTGCGGCTGGGTCTGGGTCTGGGACCGGGACCGCGGGTGCAGGTGCAAGTGCGAGTGGGAATGTTAATGCGAATGAGAGTGGGAATGTTAATGCGAATGCGAGTGCGGGTGTGAGTTCTAGCACTGGGGGTTCGTAGTGTGGAGAAGTGGAAGGCTTGATGATGAGAGAGAGTCGAAGAGAATACCCTTGAGGAAGAGGTGGATGGTGGAGGGGGAAGGAAAGAAAGTCATGAGAGGTTGTTGTTAACGTTCATTTTCTATTTTATTATATATATCCATTCCGAAGAGCTAGCTTTGCATGTCTGTGGTTCAACATCATCTTGTATCTGATTTTCTGCCTTTTGTTTTCTAGGGTTCTGGTCTGGTGTGGTCTGGTCTGGTCTGGTCTTCCTTTTCCATGATTGCTATCCTCGGTTTGGTCGTCTCTTTTACTCTTCATTTTGTCCTTTTATATTCACCCCTCTTTTTTTTTTCATTTCTTTCGGTCTCCCTCGCTGCCCTTTAAATTTATTTTTCGAGCAGTTAGTTGACTTGAATGCGATGTGATGGGTTAACTTTACAATTAACAATTTAACAATTTCCGCGACTCTCGTCAATATAAAAACTCGCTCCAAAGTTATTCCCTTCCCTTCCCTTCCTTTCACCCCTCCGTAAATAGGATATATATATATATAGACTCAGCCAGAAGCAAGGTGTTTCAGAATTCGCATTGAAAAAGAAGAGCCATACACGCAGTGATGTGGAGATAGAGAGAAACACAGACGCGCGCGCGATAATTTAACCTCTTCCCCCTACCACCAAAAACAAAAAAGGAAAAGTTGTATAGATAGCCAACACAAATAAGGTACGAAGTAATCAACTGAGGAAAAGAAAACGGGGCGCGGACTACCCTCCCTTATCGGCGGAAACTGACATGGACATGGTCCCTAGTTACAGAAAAACGTTAGCAGAGATTTACTTTACTTCGCCGAACGAAACGGCCGTGAGAGGGCACCGGGGAGAGGGGGACAAAAAGAAAAATGAAAAAACTCACCAATGATTAGCAGTAACCCCGCCTCTATTCTCCATCTGCTCCCAGCTGTTCCAGCTTCGAACCTTTTCGCCGGCCTCCCAGATCTTCTGGCCCCAGATGACATAGGTGACCTTGAGCGAGCCGGCGTGGCGCATGATCCATTCCGCGAGCGGGCGCCCGTTGGGGGAGTATGCCCCTGTCATCAAATCCAACGCCAACCCCAGCGGATGCTCCGACTTATTCGACCGCTTCCCGTAGCAAATCACAGACCGCACCTTGCCCGGATTCGCACCCAGGATCTTATACCCAGCATCGATCACATGGCGCTTGCATCGGCTCTCGGGGATCCTAACGGGCGGCGCTGCCGGCGGTGGCGGCGGCTTCTTGGTCGTGCAGCACATCACGTCGTTCGGATCATTGGGACACGTCCAGGGGTCCTTCGACGTGCCCGCGCCGGGCGTCGCGTAGCCCTTGCAGGCGGACTTCTTCATGCAGATGCCGGGGACGCCGCGGGCGCTGCAGCGCCGGCCCCTTGGGGGCGGCGGCGGTTTCTTGGTGCAGCACCATACGTCGTTGGGGTCGCGCGGGCAGGTCCAGGGGTCGTTTCGGGTTCCTGCGCCGGGGGTTGCGACGCCTTTGCAGGCGGACTTCTTGATACAGATGCCGCGGACGCCGCGGGCGTTGCAGGAGCGGGGTGCGCGTTTGGCAAGGCTGCCGTTGTCGTTGTCATCGTCAGCGTCGATGTCGGCGTCGTTGTCGTCGGCCATGCTGGGCTTCAGAAGGGGGAGTTCAGCTGTGCAGAATTGCCAGCCATTTGGGGAGTGTTTGCACCCGTCGCCGGCGACGGAGACGCCATTCAATGCCTTACATTCGGTTGGTGGCATACAGTGTCCTTCTTTGCCTTCGATGCTGCACTGTTCCCATCGCCTTGTTTTGGCGGATAGGGCGGTGCAGGAGGCCGTCAGGGCGAGGAGTGGGATAAGGTATCTCATCTTCCCTTATTCTCGGCGCGAAACTCCTACTCTTTGATGTAATCGGGAGAATTAACTGGGGCCAGAGAGATAATAAGGGAGGATAACTCGCGGTCGGAGTACTCCGCCGTTGTCGCGTTGTTGAAGGGGTTTGTTGTTGGTGGCTGCTCCTTTGGATGTGATGAGGGCAGAAGAATTGTGGTCATCGATGGCTCTTTTATATCTGTGATAGATGCTTTAGAGCCCCAAGATGGACAGCGCCTCTCAGCCTCATCCCCATGCTATCTGTGCCCCCTGAGGCTCATCCATCTTCCCCCAAATACGAAGTAGTGAGATGCTACCATTGATGCCAAGCTTTCTCCAAGGCTGGAGTATACGCTTCTTCCTCATACAGACTACCTTGGCAATGGACGATGTTGAAAGAAGTTCGCGAATCAGCGACCTCTAAGTCTCAAGAAGCCCTCGTCCAAACCGACTCTTGCCAGCTGAAATCGTCCGTATTTCTTTTGTTGGAAACGAGGCATTGTTGCATTGTTGGGCCAAATAGACCAGAACCACGCTACGAAACGGGACAGACACTCGAGATCTTCATCCGTTCTTGAGGCCCTCAAGCCAATCATGCAGAGCGGCAAGAGAAAAAAAAGCCTTCCCCGGCCCCTTGCACTAAGAAGCCCGAAGGGGTGGGGGAAACTCCCATGTGTCAAGCCTGGCTAAGCCGCAACTGCAGGAAATGCTTCCCCATGTTTTGCGGTGAAAGTTTTTGGAGATGATCGCAATCTGCGCATAGACTGTTCTCCGACGGACGGAAGAGGCAAGAAGCTGCTAGCAGTCGATATTTATAGAACACGAGCAAGGCTTTGGAGTTCGAAGACTTTGTAGTGTTTCGTTGGTTTGCCAAAGCCGTTCTCCGGCTCCTGAATGGTTAGTTCAAAGAGTCAAGGAGGTGAGGTGGCTTGTAAAGCTCCTATCCCTTTTTTGGCTTTGCCGCATCGCGATGCTAGGAGCCGCTTCGTGTTTCTTCAAAGACGACGATCAACATTTCTGATTTTTGGGCGGTTGGAGGCTGATGAAGATGTTGAAGATACGGGTTACTTTTTTTCTGCGTCTGTTTCCTTTTTAACTTCTTGTTGCTGCGAGTACGGAGTAGATAGATATAGGCCTAATCAGAATATGTTCAGAGGATCCTTTCAAAAATTATGATTAGCACTAAATAAGAATTTAATAAGTGTGTAGCTCTGTTACCATTCAAGGATTCTTCATTCCAGAGCAGTCTGAGACTTAGGCTAGCTTTAGTTAAACTGTAGTTAGCTGGTTTATTCAGGTGCAACAGGCATTAAGCCCCTTAAAACACTCTGTCTGGTTAAGAGAGGAAATGGAAATACTTTTATGCCGGTAACTTAACTATGTTAATAGAGTTGAGCTACATACAACTTAAATTTCTTAGTGTTAATTATTATAACTTTTGAGAGGATCCTCTGTTTGTCTGCGGCCAGCAATCCAACTCTCATGTGCTATAATATATATTCAGTGTTTCTCTTGATGGCTTCAACCAACTCCCCCATCGGTTGGAAACTTTCTCTCCAGCAGTGAGATTTTGATACCAGACATTTAAGCTCATGGAGGCATTATTGACTCCACTCTGTCGGTCCAGAACGCTGAGGACTGAGCAAACTTGAAACGACCTCATATCAGAGAAGAAGAAGAACGCCCCTGTCCTGTCCCTGCCCACACGGAATCATTTCATTATTAGCAAATTTGGGGATTAAGATCGGATACCCCCCACCAAAAATTGTATTGTAAAATGAGAGCTTTGAGATGGAAACCTGTTATCAGGCCAGGCAACCTTGTTGGTCTTTAAAACTAGGCATTACAAGATATGCACAATAATATATGTCAATGCAGCAACTCTATTCACAAAGTCTTTCTTTCCAGGGCCTAGATTTGCACCCTACAAAGAACAATGCTAAGTTAAGAGTGAGGAGAGCTGGAGTCAGTGTGAGTGATCAGGCTCGGAGTAACAAGTATTTATTTGTTCCTCAACTTCCTCACAACATCCTGACTTGGGGCCTGCTAATACAGATGGTGCAGAGACCAGCCAAATCTTTCATCTTTCTCATTGATGCTGCAATACTCCATATTCACATCTGACTCCATATTCTGACCGACCTGTTACACCCCGCTAGTCATCTTATTTAGTGAATGCTAAGCAGCACAGGAATCTCTTTGGTTTCATTTTCTCACCTGAATCTGAATGGGAGTCTGAATTTTGCCCTTCCCCCCTCGCACAATCAACGATGCCGTGTCCAGGCCCAACTCTGGCACAAATTCCTCAATAGCATAGGGCTGGTTGGCTTCGGAGAGTCGATTTCACCCCATGGGTCTGATGGTGAGACCTGGATGGCTTTGTTTCCTATGAGGAAACACCCATTGATGTATGTGTCTATAGTATAGCCACAAAGAACTCAGCATATGATGAATTTCACAAGGCATTTCAACCTCGCGATTGACCCTGTCCTCAAGCAATATGTCTCCCTTCTTGGTCATTATTGAACAACCATGGGAGCTAGCAACTGTGTCCCCAATTTCGCAATCATGCCAGCACATACAGATTTCATTATTAAAATTCCTGGAGGACTGCTGTACGCATCCGGCACATCTCAAGTAGCGATTATTTTCTTTCGCATTTTCCTCACAATGAACGTTGTTCTCCGAATTCGCGGATGCATCCGCTGCATCTAGCCAGGTTGCGCTTTTTTCTGGATCTCAGCATGCGATGCGCACCCGGCGCTTGGGTTCTTCCTCTACTCAAAGCCAAAGTTGGCTAAAATGTCGGTCGCAGAAAAGAAAAATACACTGCTGCTTCTCATTGTTCAATTTTACTTTGTCTCAGTAGACGCACCAGGGTGCTTCTACATTGTATCCCATCATGGTGCATGGAGCAATGTGAAGAGACAATGGTTCCTGTCATCTAGCGGCGCCGGTCCTGATGGTCTTCTCTATTTATATGACCCTCAATCGCGCGCTCGAGTTGTGTCAGAGTTTCAATCTTGATATACATCCAAGTGACGTATCTGATCGAGGTCTACGCAAGCAACATTTATCCGTCAGAAAGAACAATCCCCTCTCGCCAACTATGAAGTTTATCACCCTCTGTTTGGCCATCTTGCCGGCCGTTTTCGCTCTCCCGGCGGAACAACAGGACTGCGCATGCCCCAAGGTCTCCTGCCCCAAAGCAACCTGGGCAGAGGTATATTCAACTCCTATTCCCACATGAGTAGTCTGAGGCATGAATCAATCAACAAGATAAGAGAAAATTTACCTGACAGAGAACGATCACTAGGAGTGCAAGTGCTTAAATCAAGCTAGAATGCAATGCTTCTTTGATTGTGGAGGCCCATACCCACAGCTGCGAGTAAGTTTATGCCCTGAGGATTTCCATGTCCCTTAAGTAGCCTTGCAACGTTCGATCGGGTAACTCCTTGTGCCATTGCCTCTCGCTGACAACGTGCTTTTCTAGAGCTGCGAAGGACCCCGAGAATGGTGATCGGATGGCAAATTGAGCTGGGGACGTGGGATTGACTTCTGGTTGATTGGGGGAAATGTTAACTCAGAGCCAAGATTGTTTTGGTGTGCTGATGTAACTAACTAGTTAACTAGTTAACTACCCTATGATCTTTTTATTGTGGTTATTATTAGTACAATTAACTAGTTTTCCATTATCATTATATTTCCTGGCCACGTACTCTGTAATAGAGGGTACATTCACGTCTCTACCGTCTTAGGTACTCCGTAAATAACCTCCCATTCCAAGGCTTGGACAGCGTGTTGTGTTGCTTAACCACAACGAAGATGTTCGCGTGCTTTTAATAGCCAGCTTGTTGTCATTTGGTTCATGTTCTGTCCCTTTTAGACAAGACGAGTGTGCAAGGGTTCAATTCTAGTTACAAGTGAGTGACTTCAAGGACCCAATTGAAAATAACCCGAAGAATTCAAAACAACTATTCCATGTTATTGCTAAGATCTCTTATTTACAATAGCACAGAGGAGAAGAAAACCAAATAAACAACACAAAGGAACCTCGGGAGTAATGAAGGGATCACGTGAATTACCTACAGGATCACATGACCCGCTTCTATCTCCCCTCCCTTCTCGCAAGCGGCTATAATACGGAAAACACAAGCTCTTTTTATGGATGGTTAGTTACACCGCATCCTTGCTTTTACACAAGGATATCCTGTCGCGGCGAAATTAACCGCGATTCTCGTTCGCCTGGAAAGCCTCCTGGCGCAATGGCGTTAATGGCCTGATAACCACCACGAACACAGTCTGCCTCGACTGATTTGGCTCGCAGAATACTGGTTGCAACCCGTGCTGTATCTCCGTTGTAGCACAGGACAAGAACCCGCTGGTCATTAAAGTTGGAGGAATTATTGACCTGGCTGAAGATATCCTCCAGTTCCAGCCATTGTGCTTCCAGCACTTTCGCATCTGCGAACGGGCTGGGCTCCGCTGAAGTCAAGCTGCTGAGCGGGATGTTTATAGCATCCGGCACATGCCAGCTTTCATAGTCGGCTTTCTTCCGCAGGTCAACTATGTAAGTCTTTGGCTTTGCCCTGATGGCAGTCCAGCAGTACATTTTCACAGCCTCAGGAGGCTCGTAGAAGTGGGGAAGAAGGTCGCTTGGAAGCCGTTCCCAGCTGTCATCATAGCGGTATCTATCAGCCTTGATCAAATTCTGGTGATCTATTAGTGTCAAGTCCAATTTGCAGCGGATTAAGTGATGGCGACATTTATTATTTATTTCGACTCACCTGGTTATGTATAGGATGGAATTTCTCCGGTCCTAATTTCTGGAAATACTCGTCGATATACTGGTATGGCAGATCGCAACACAAGAAAACGCATTGAATTAAACCATCAGGGCCCGCTAGATCTTGCAAAGTCCCAGCCGATTTGCGCTTGTCCAACATTTGAACAAGCCCTCTTAAGTTGAACCCGGACGATGGGCCGCAAACCAGCCCCTGCCTGCACAATTCGAGAGACAGCGAATAAGCTTCAGGCGATCCTACTTCTTCAATTGCATCTATGGCCTTTTTCCACGGGAACTGAACAGGTTCGAGAAGAGAATGGGATCTAGGGCCTGGAACTCGGTCACCCGGAGCTGTGCAAACCCCAAGCCTGAAGACGGAAGGCTTTGCCTGCTTCAGATATGTTCCGATTCCTGTCATCGTGCCCGATGTGCCCATACCAGCGCAAATAACCTTTATTTCAGGGAGCTGCTTAAGAATCTGCGGCCCTGTCCAGCGGACATGTGCTTTCCAGTTATTCTCATTTTCGTACTGATTTGGGTTGGCAATTTCATCAGAGACAATTGCCATCGTTCTTGCGCCCTGGATCCCGCCGCGTTCGTCATGTGGGTTAGGCTGCGAAGGCCCCCCGAAGAGGGTGATGTCGAGCCCGAAGAATTGCATCAACCTCAACTTTGCGTAGCTCGTTTTATTGCTGAGATATGCCCTGACATCGCTGATATTGTGGCATATCCTTGCGATCATTGCCATCGAAATTACTGTCGAGCCAGAGCTGTATTCAATAATTGTTTTCGTTTTCCCTGGCACAACACTGGATTCGAGCATATTCATTGCTAAAAAGCAAAACACCGGCACAATTAGCTTCATGTATCCTTCTTCAGGAGTGCACTCCTGCGGAAATACGAACCTGGTATCGCCTTCACGTTGTTCGCGGGGTGCATTGTCATCATCTTTGCATATATCCGTACTCCATCTTGATAGAAGGGGTTCAGGGCCTCTGGAACTTCTACAAGTGGAAGTGGAGGTTGGAAATCGGGGTTGAAGTATTTCTTCAGAGCATCGGGCCCGGAATATACGTTCAAAATGTTTGGGTTCGCCATTTTATGTTTGACAAGATTTTCAAGCAGCAAAGAAATAGGCACCGAGCGGGATGTTTTCTTCAGAAGATGATGGCAGGCAGGACCATTGGAAGAGAGCGGCCACGAACCTGGACATTTATACAATACAATATGAGCCGTCGCCCATTCACCTTCAGTGTAGTCATCCCTGTTCCACGGCTGTTGCATACGTGTACTTGCAATTGGGCATTCGCATATCTCAAAACCAGAGGTACAATAATATCTGGCCCAATCATGACATAACTTGGACAGTTCTCTTGAATTCAGGAAGCGTTGTCGGGTTTTTACGGCCTCCTTGAATTGTCAATCTGCCTGGTAAGTAAGGTCTTTGTTCCCCATAAATTCGCATTTTGCCCTAGTCTGTCGTTTCTCTCTATAGACAGACCCACAGGGGTAGCTCACAAGGTTCTCTTCTGTTATCTTTGAGTACCGCATTTCCTTCCTATCCAAACAAATAGAAATTGTATCCTCAGGTACATGTGATATGACATTACGATGTTAGGGACGTTATTGTGTACAATAAAGTACCTTTGTGGAAAATGTCCTTTCACGGGTACCTTGAATGATATAGATCGGGTTGCAGTTCCTGTTCGGCCCGATTTCACTGGCTCCTGCGCGGCATTTTCCAAGCAAATAAATAGGCAGGTACCTTGATACTCTCTTTCATCAAACCTTAACTACCAGACCTGTTGCACAACCCAGTTGGGGTTGCGATCGTCCGCAAGTTCCTCGTTTAATCGTTACTTATTCACAGAAGAGATTAAAGCAAAATCACTTCTAGTGATCATTTCCCACGTTCATGAAATTCGAGCGCCGTTACTCTTCTCTCCCTGCCTCACTAGTACAAAGTATCCCAAATATCTGTTGTTTTCTCGCTATCTGGCTATTCAAGGGACGGAAATTTAGACAAAGACGCGTCTGTCATGGGATCAACACAGCCATCAATCTCAGGTCTGTCAGACGCCGGGGAGACTGCTAGAAATGTCGAGAAAAGTCCTTATGTTTTCAATGAACAGACAAACTTCGTCCCAAAGCGTACGATCATTACGGTGAGTTTTATGTCTTTAACGTGTGTAGCAACTTGAGCTGCGCTAACCAGCTTCAGATATTTCTGGCGTGCGCCACTGTTGATTTGCTCGCTTTGATGGATCAAACCACTTTGGCAGCTAGTCTTTCGATCATCTCAGATGAACTGGCTGCCGGAGATCTAATGTCCTGGATTGCCGCAGGGTATTTTGTGTACGTTCGCTGATCTAGTTTGCTTGCCTTCAAGGCAATACGATATCTATTAACATAACTGCAATTTCTTCTCGAAAGAACGTCAACATCTTTCCAGCTACTCTATGGCCGTTTTTCCGACATCTGGTCACGCAAAGTGATTCTCTACATTGGCCTCGCGATCGGTTTTATAGGATCCCTAGCATCCTCTCTCGCACAGACTGCCATCCAGCTAATAGTGTTCCGAGCCTTCACTGGCATTGGCAGTGGTGGGTTAATGACCGTGGCCCAGGCGATAGTCAGTGATACTGTTCCCCTCCGAGAGCGAGGAAAGTATCAAGGAATCATAGGCGCTGCCGTCGCCCTTGCGAATGGCATTGGACCTGTCATTGGCGGCTCCCTCGCATCCATCTCACCTGGCTCGTGGAGATGGATATTCCGTCTCAACTTACTCATCACAGTACTAACTACTGGCTGCGTGATCTTCTTCATGCCCCTGAAAAAAGTAGAAGGAGACTGGAAGTTGAAACTGAGAGCTATAGATTTCACCGGTGTTATACTGGCCCTTGGCGGGACAACGGTGCTTTTGCTGGGTTTGATATGGAGTGGGGGTGAGTATGCATGGAACTCAGTCCACGTCATCGCTACATTGGTTGTCGGATTTTTTTTCTCGACCGTGTTCGTTTTATGGCAATGGAAGGGGACATCTACGCCTCTTGTACCGATGCATATTTTTAAATCTCGTATTGTTAATGGAGCCAGCCTAACCATGTTCATCAATGGCTGGAATTTCCTCGTCCAGTTCTACTACATTCCTCTATTTTACCAGACAGCATATGGCTACTCCGCTACCAAGGCTGCTTCGTTGCTACTTCCGATTACGTTAACTCAGAGTACGTTTGAATTCTTCAAAGGTGGTCGGGGCCCTAGGGCCCGCCGCTAAACCATATATCGTTCCCTCCTTTCTTTACTCGTGTTACTAATCTATATTAGCCGCTAGCAGCACATTGTCGGGCCTTGTCGTGCACTGGGTAGGCCGCTATCGAGAGTCCATCCTTCTTGGATGGGTCATATGGGCAGTGGGCCTTGGCCTATTCTCAACGCTCAATCAATCCTCAGGTCTTGGAAAACAAATCGGCTACGGATTATTAACTGGGTTTGGTCTAGGGAATACATTGCAACCGTAAGTAGTGACAAAATGTGAACAAGTTATGGAATTAATATGTGTGGAGCGTTAATATCAATTTTCCCAGAGCACTCATTGCAATACAAGCCGGCGTCGAGCGGCGTGATATGGCAGTGGTGTCATCATTTAGAAAGTGAGTGGAGAATTAAACTAAAATACACATAGGCCGGTTACTTAATACATGTCAACGTCTCTACAGCTTTATTAGAAATCTCGGCGGAACCCTAGGACTTGCCGCCGCCGGAACTATCATACATAACATCTTACTATCGTCTGTTTCACCTCTCAACCTTAGCAGATCGCAAACCAGTCGACTACTTAAGAGCCCTGGTTCGTTCCTTTCCACCCTGCCGGAATCGGAGGCTGTCCGTGTCCGATCCGTTCTTGTCACCGCATACCAGAAGGGGTTCCGAATAATATTCCTAATCGGCGCGGGGCTGGCCGCCTTGGCGTTCTTCCTTGCTATGTTCCTGATGCCGCAGGTAACTTTGGAGAGGCCGGATGACGATGCTTTGAAAGAAGAAGGGAAGAAGAGCATTCAGGCTCGCAGGAGGCTATCGGGTGAGAAAGCCGTTTGAGACTCTAGTTACGTTTCGTAAACGACAACCGTGCAGAGGGTCTTTCAGCAGCAATTTAATAAGTTTCTCAACAAGCTAAGTGAAAGCATTAAATGAATATAGATAGATCTTGGTTAGAATATAGAATATAACAGTTTTTTTTTTTTCAAGTTTTGTCCCTTGTAATTCTTCCAAGAACCACCGTGGAGAATCATTACGGACTATTTACACACCTGCTTCAGCACATAGTAGGGTGGGAGATCACTGTTTGCTAATAGCTCGGGAGCCCTCAACTGTGCTTTTGTCTTTTAAGCCGACCAATGGTGCGGGTGCGGTGCTCCTGGCTATCCTATCGCGAAGTGCGTCAACTAACTAGTTAGTTTAGAGTCGTCAGGTTAAGCTCATGCTAGCGGCGCTGGGTTAACTAAGTTAGTTACGTTAACGTTAACTACTGCAACAAACGCCACATCAACTATTGCTAACCAACAACGGCTATTTCGGGCCAATTCCCCCGTGCTTTGAGAGAATCTTCTTACCATTCAGCTCATCTCACTAGGATGTATTCTTTTCCCTATAGCTAGGTTGGTGCACTCCAAGCCCAACTGGCTAGGAAAGGAGTATCTCCGCATGTGCCTCTTATGCGCCCTCGTCTTTCTGACATCAACGATGAACGGTAAACAGTGTGAATTTAAAAAAAAAAAAAAAAAAAAAAAAAAAAAAAAAAAAAAAAAAGGGCCCGTACAAGGACTATGGAGTGAAATGCCTTTAGGAAAGCGCTAACCGAGCTTATGATATATTTCAAATACTAAGACTTGACGGCAGCTTGATGGGTAGTATAAACACTTCTGCCCAACTATGTCAAATACTATGAAGTCCCACCAACAGGCAATGCTGGCACAGGGATTGTCTTCGCCATCTTCAATGTGTGAAACCCCGTTCCCACGTGAATAATATCTACAGGCGGTTTCTAAGACACAAACGCTAGGTTGGCCAGATGATCGGTGCTGTCTTTCTTTGGGTAGCAGACTGGAAAGGCCGACAACTACCCATCTTTCTCGGCTGCTTTGGTGTCTGTATCGCGACTATTCCGACAGCCAGTGGGCGGTTCTTGTTATCATTTTTTGCTATCATTGCTTGTACCGCTGCGCCGCTATACATTATCGACCTTGCGCCGCCCCAGTACCGCGCGACGGTTGCGGGCATGTATAACACATTCTCCTACGTGGTTTGTACCCCTCTCCGCAATCCGTGTACCTTGAGCTATTAGTTTAACCGTGCAAGAGTGACACTTTATAGGACTCCATAATTGCCACATCCTCCGTTTATGGAAATCATAAACACCTCGCGCACCTGGGGAACAGCGATTGGCGCGTGCCTTTATGGATTCAAATGCTTTGCCCTAGAGTTGTTTGTTTGGGGATTTGGTTCTATTTTGAATATCCTAGATGGCATTGTGAAATATCTCTTTTTTATGAGAAGACCAGGAAACTAATCGCAGCAACTAATCAGGTTGATGGGGAAAGAACGCGACGATAAGGCAAGGGCCATATTGGCCAAATACCACGCAAACGGTGATTTTAACCACCCATTGGTTAAACTTGAAATGGATGAAATGGCCGAGTCTTTGAGCAAGGAAGACATGTTGACCTGGCGAAACTTTTTTGATATCCGAGTACTATTCAAATCCCGTTCTCGTCGGTATAGGATGATGCTCAATGTCTCATTTTCGTGGTTTGGGCCATTCTCCGGTAGCGAGTATGCTCCAACGAATCCAAGAACATCCCAGGGCCATAACAAGCCGTCTTTGTATCTAGAAAGTGTCTATATTTTGGCTGACCCCCGACACATTAATCTCCCAGCGTCGCATCGTACTACCTTCCCTACCTCCTTGAGAACGTTAGAGTGACCGATACCGACGCCAAGCTCCTCCTCAATATCGTCTACGCCATTACGGGATGGATCCCCGCAATGGTTGGGGCACGCTGCCACGATATAATTGGACGTTGCAAAATGTTCCTTGGCTGTACAGCGGGCATGGCAGTTTGCCTTGCGATTGTTGCGGGGACGCACACTGGAAGAGCTGGACGAAGTCTTTGAAGCGCCTAACGCCTAACACCTGGAAGGCCAGTACGGCCACGATTGTCCTGAGGCGACGTATTCCTATTGACGAAGAGAATTAAGAGACGAAGGACGAGAGTGTTTTTTTGTAATAGGTGGCCAGTCTGCCATTGGACTGCCAGATACTGGAAGCCTAGTCCAGAGATACCCAAGATTTTACCCCCCTCAATAATCTAGTCCTCCACTCTTCTGCCACAGCCTGTCAAAATTCACAGTTAATTTTCTAACAATGGACCAAATATGTTCTATGTAGATCTATCTTGTTCTTTTTATTTTATAATCACTCCTTGAAGACAGCTCGTCGCCGTAAACTTTTGGGAGCATGTTACCTATTCTAATATGAACATTCTCCTTAAGAGGAAAACAAAAGAAGAAAAAGTATATCAATCTATCAGTCAATCATATTATAAGCAGGTCTATACTTTTCCTTGCTATTTATCATGATAGCAAGCTCTCCCTCCCCAAAATCAAACTCCATATCTTCCAATATAATCCGTGCCCTGAATTTTATCCTATGTTTGCGCAAACAAGGCGGTTTCTCTAACACCATTTTCAAAATCCCCTCCGTGGGTATACCAACCGTCATCAATTATAATACGTAACACTTACCACCGTGAAAATCTCCCTCCTCCCTCCCACACCTACACTCCCGTCACCACCCACATTAATATATCCAGAAAGACTGTCTGTGTCACCACCGCCGCTGCCGCCGCCGGCGATTAACGACGAATTAGACGCATATGCTATCGAATAGCCTCTCTTCTTCCCATCCTTATTCCCCGCCGAAAACGAAATATCGACCGGCACCGCCTCCTTCCTCGAAACTAGCCTCCCCTCCCGCCCCAACCACACCTCCCTATCAAAGCTCGATAACAAAAAGGGACCAGACTGATTCGTCGCGATGACGTCAATGTCCGTGCTGTTATTGTTATAGTAATAGATGACCCACCGGGCAGATTGGGCGCGGTATTTATCCGTTTTTGCATTATTTTCCTTGTTATTATTATTATCATTATGATTACTAGACGAAGACATTGTCGTTATTAATGGCTCTGGTGCCGCGTTGTCGTTATTGACACTATTTGCGTCCGCACGCGGCGGCCGGTTGTGGGAGAGTAGGCGGCCGTTTTCATGTTCGAAAACGAGATAGCGGCCCTCGGTTAGTTGGCCTGTGCATATCTTATAGCCTTCTTCGACAATGTTGGGGAGCGTGGAGGGCTGGGAGGAATATGGGGGAGGCGGTCGTGGGTCCGGGAACTGCGATTCGCAGAAGGCTGAGCCGTCGAATTCGCCGCGGGAGTCGCGGTGGGGAGGTTTGGGTTTTGGAATATTAGGGATGGAGAGGTCAGGCTATAGGGATATACCAGAAATGGTTAGGCAAAGAGAATGTATATTATATGCGCGTGTTGTGTGGGGCCCACTAGTAGTTAATCATGGAGGGGGTATTTCAGGGACATACGTTCTCGAAATCCAGTGCGTTTAGCAGGTTTGCCATGTTTTGTCTCCTCCAGGGCACCATCCCGTCTGTCCTGATGTTATCATAACCTTTTGCGCTAAGCCATTCTTCAATAAAAAGGATTTGCGAATTGTGGTCTGCGTGTTCGGTAAAAACGTGGCCCCCGCGGGTCCAAGGGGAAACGATGTAGAAAGGGACCCGAACTCCTGATAGTATGATTATTAGTTTTGCGGTTAATAGCAGTTTGGCTAGCTGGCGATTGCGTATTTGAGAGGTGACGGTCGACAGTATGGGGGGGAAAGAACGAACCAGGGCCGGTGTATATGTTTCCAAAAAGACCATATGGGTCCTCCAACCATTCGCCAGGAGTGTTTTCTGGAGAGTGATAAGGAGGGACATGATCTCCCCAACCGCCAGATTCTTGAAGCTTCGGTCAGCTTGGTTTATGTGCCAACGGTGGAAGGAGAAAAGATACCATCGTAGCTAATCATGAGCAGGCTTTTACCATACTTTGGTCCCTTAACCACAGCATCTACAATTTTGTGCTGCAGCCAACCTCCATCAGAGGGAGAGTACGGTGCGTGTTCGGACAGCTCTCTTGGGGCGATGATGAAACTAACTTGCGGTAGCATACCTGAGGCAGCATCTGCATAGAAAGCCTCCAGTCCTAAATACGCCATTCCTTTCTGTGACAATGCTGAGTCTGAGGATGCATTCTGGAACTGCTCGAACCAGGCCAAGGGGTTGTCATCGAAGTTGTCCACTCCTTGGTAAACCTGCCAGGAAACGCCTGCAGTTTCATATATGTCGAATATTGTTTTCCATTTGAGAGGGTAGCAGTTGAGATTGGGAGCCTCACAGCCTGGTAGCTTAGTTTAGCTGAAAAAGTTCACTCGCTGAGCAGAGTCCGTCCAGAACAACTCACCTGGCATTTCGGTATTATCTATATATACCCCTCCTTCATCTGGTGACTGCGGGCTTCCAGGTGCGTTAATACTCCCACTAACAAAGGTGACACGATTCGGGTTCGTTGCAGTGATTTGCGATTGCTATCCCACCATTAGGCTCAAACGTTGCCTCCTAAAGCATGGAGGGGGGGCATATACCTGATACATATCCCCGATAGTCCATCCTTCTGCAATTGCAAACTGAACAGGTAGGTCCTGTCGTTTTAGATAACCCCAGCTCCATGGTGTATTATTCCTTGCCCATCCATCATTGAGGCCGCCGTTGATGGAAGCGTGATTTTCTGTATAGCCATTGCTTCCAGCAGCCATGCACTGTATAGCCTGAGACCAGTTTCCGCCTAGATATCCTAAGTACCACGGAAGTAGGGTGTCTGTGTCATTTGACAAGCTCGAATCAACCGGTCTATAAAAGGTAAGTGTTTATATCATTTCGATATAGACTGGCAGCAAGGAACTGACTGGTACCACACGGAACGGCCATTCGGGTTGATCTGTACGTTGGGGTCGTTAAATCCCCTTGCGCCCGCCATAGTTCCGAAATACTTAGAGGTTCAGTTAGATTTCGAACACTCGACAGTGCTATCGTTGATAGAAACATACCGTGTCCCATGAACGATTTTCTTGCATAAATATAATGACATGGTCGATGTCCTTCAAGCTTCGAACGGGTTCGCCTCGGTCAATTAATAGAATCAAAAGGATTGCGGTTAATAAACCAGCTAGCTATATTGCAAACTCATGGTCAGTAAAGGAAATATATCATAGTCGAACAAGAAGCTATGCATACTGCAGTAATAGCTAATCCTAGTTTCACCCAACGAGAAGCCATCTGACTAAACTGTAAGATACCGAAATGGTGTTCCTTAGAGTGTTAGCAGAGTGAGCATGGGTTTCAGAAAAGAAATTTGTAGCTTTGGTAGATATAGCCATAACATCTGAGATTCACTTCATATTCCACGAAGGGGAATGGATGGTGTGGGGAGGTAAGAACCTTGGAATACTTTTTACTGAATATAGAATTGACTTCCGCCTCCTCCCGCTAATCAATCAGCACCATTTGAACGGCGGCTCAGTTTGATAGAGGAGCGCAATAGCAATCACACGTACGCAGATCTGGGCAAACGCAGACTAGAGCATACAGCCTCCATGTTTGAAACTGCTTCCAAGAAAGCTAAGAAGCTCTCTCTAGACGTCAAAGGTAGGGTGTCAGATTAAGTTCCTCAGGTGGCAGTGCAAGCCAGCAAGACGGCTGCTCTGTAAACTCAACCCCTCAGCAAGAGATAAAAAGGCAGCCGGGTAGCCACTAAACTCTTTGCTCTGTGCTGCCAGCAAAGGATCCGCGTGTGAGGGCTTTTTGTGTACTCCGTACAACGTGCATGTCTGTGTCAGCTTTGCTTTTAACCCCGGTCGTTGGGCTCTATCTCCATCGGCTTTAACACAGCTCCCGGATGGAACGAACATCCAGCCGCCGGAGAATACGCCAACCACGCGGTGATCTCCAAGATCCTCCGAGAGTTTCGTCACAGCCAGCTCAAGCTAACACAAGTAGCCAAGCCGCAGGTTGGTCAAGAAGCTACTTGGCGTCTGTCGTCATCTTCCTAGTTCTCGTGGTAAGCTTCTTGGGAGCTCTGCGAATCCCAAGGTCTCCTCCGTATTATTCGTCACAAAACCGGGTTCTAGGCCCGACGCAGCAGCAGCAGCATCCTGGCGCTCAGAGGCTGCATCCCGAGGCGCATATTTATCGGACTGTTAGAACAATCCGTCTCAACTGGACGGTAACTGCGGGTTATCGTCGTCCTGACGGTGTGCTGAAACGCATCTATCTTGTAAATGGTGTGTGTCTGTCTCCTGCTTAGTTAGTTATCGTTGTTTGGCTACGGCAATTCCTCACTAGCGCGCGAAGGCCGATCTACGATCGACTAACATGATAGTGACATCCCGACCCGCCGCGACCAGGGCAATTTCCAGGCCCGGTCGTTGAAGCCCGATCTGGAGATCGTTTGATTGTGGATGTAAGAAATGGCTTGGAGGATGAGGGTGTCTCGGTGCATTGGCATGGCCTGCATATGAGAGGTTGTTTTTAACATTGAATAGCGCAGTAAGTTAACTAGAGGTTCTCGCGTTGCTAACATCGTCAAGATGCAAACCGAATGGATGGCACAGTAGGAGTGACCCAGTGTGCTATCAACCCCGGAGATTCCTTTCGCTATGATTTTACTATTTCCGATTCGCAAAGCGGAACGTATTGGTACGGTTTAAAATTCCATGTCTGTATGTACTGTACATATGTATAAGCAACATACTGATGTCTAGTTACTCAGGTATCACGCTCATTCCGGCTTGCAGAGAGCAGATGGTCTATACGGTGGTTTGGTGGTTCATCAACCGTCACCAAAAGCTATTCGAGGAACTCAATCCCGAAACGCGGAATCAGATATCTTGAAATATAAGTATCAGAAAGAAATTCTCCTACTGGTTGGGGATTGGTACCATAGGCCCGCGGACGATGTCCTGAAATGGTATATGCGGGCAGCCTCATACGGGAATGAAGTATGAACATTACATCTCCCTCTTATACTCTAATCTAGGCAGAACTGATAATGATATTTTCCAGCCTGTACCGGATTCTCTTCTCGTCAATGGAGTCGGTCGCTTTGATTGCGCCAGGGCAGTCCCAGCGCGTCCTATCGACTGTTCCAGTAAAACTCCCATGCCTCATTTTATGATTGACCCTACCCAGTCATACCGGGTCCGAGTCGTGAATACCGGGTGGGCATTCTCTCTTAGATCCTAAGGAAGAATGTAGCTTTTTTCTAATGCGATGACTTAGATCTCTTGCAGGGTTTTCTCTTGGGTTTTCCCAAGGGAATATAAGCCTTACCCATGTTGACGGAGGCTTGGATGTGCAGCACTTTAAACAGTCAAAGGCATCCAATTCGAAGTCTATAGGAATTCTCTATCCAGGTCAACGAGTAGATTTTATCCTGCAGCACCATCAAAACGCGCGAGGGAAGTCCTCCCTCACCGTGGAGTTGGATCCTGAGTATGAGTCAACCCTCACCTAAAGACTTCCTCTCCTTTGATACCCTCCAGCTGACAGTATTTCAGTTGTTTCAAATATCCCAACCCAGCACTCTCTTCTGCCCAAGCCTTTCCGATATACAACGCCAACTCAAACAATATTAAAACATACAGTCCACAGCCCCTACATATCCTCTCAAGTACTCACATTAACCTCACTCAGGTTTCATCCACTGCGGCGGTGCTCTCCGGCCTTCCGCCTGAAGCCCAGCAGACTTACGTTATATATACAAAGATATCCCAAATGTCGAAGAACCAGAACATGCCTTTTGGTTACTTTAATCAGACATCATGGCGTCCGCAATCAGACCCTCCACACCCTCTGGTCGACCTTGATCCGCACCATTGGGATAAAAACCAGTTCGCGATTTCGACAGGGAGTAAGCCCGTCTGGGTCGACCTTGTCGTTAATAATCTAGACGAAGGACCACATCCGTTTCATCTTGTAAGGCGATTCTAGACATTCATATCCTTCCTTCCTCAGCTCCAAGCCTAATGGTGTCCCTTTTCGCGTCCCAGCCCAACATCTATCCCCAATCCAGGAATCCAATATCGATCAAACACTAAATTTAACAAAAAACAGCACGGCCACAACTTCTTCATTCTCACTATCCATTCCTCATCTCGTGGATGGGGCTCATATAACCCATTCAGCCCTCATCAACAGCATCAACAATACCGACCAACTTCGATGGACCTTGCTAGAGCCCTGCTGCGGGATACAGTGCAAATACCACCACGGGGACATGCCGTCCTACGGTTTCGCGCTGATAATCCAGGCATCTGGCTGTTTCACTGCCATATCCTGTGGCATTTGGCAAGTGGGATGGCAATGGTGTTTGACGTTATGAACGGATCTCAGACAGGAAATGGCCACGGCCTGGCTGGTGGGGGAGCCATGGAGATGTGTCGATATCTATAACTAAATTTGGCCTTTTTTCTTTTACTTTTAATCATGGGAAATCGGGGGGTAGGCAGAATTGGAACGGATGGAGACGGACGCAAACGTATCCGTTTTTAGATCCATCTATAGAGAAGATACTAAGACGCTCTCATTCCATAGAATATATCATCGGCTTAAACCGAATTCCTCAGTGAGCTTGAGAAGAAAAGTTGAGAGAGAGTCATTTCTAAACATAACGTAAATACTGCCTGCGCCACGCAGATGGCTCATGATATGTCCTACGTACGTATTTACTCCATGGAAAATATATGCAACCAGGCTAGACTACATAGCAATAAGGTACTAGGTTGGGTTTGATAGTAATTACTAGAGGATATGAGTTGTTATGTATTGAATATATATGCCCTTGTATCCTGTTTTTGTAAACGCCGCCCAAAGAACCTTTGACGAGAGAAAAACAGCAAGAGGACTTCTCTTAAAAATAAAATAAAAATAAAAATAAAAACAATAAAAAAGAAGAGCAAGGTATAAATCAAAAGTGAGAACTTGATAGAAAGTATGGAGGGAGATACTAGAACTAAAAACCAAAGAAGAAAATAGAAGAAGACGTAAGGGAAGCATAAAAAGCCCCAGCCTAGCCTACGGGGAATCCCGACTTCAACAATGTTGAAGGAGAAACTAATTTCACTAGGTATACGGGAATTCCAAATGGCCTGGACGGGGGAGAGAATGGTATATATCATGCCAAACTAATAACCCCTGGCCCTTCATCTCCCCTAACCTTACCTCGCGGGAAATGGATATCCTTTGCCCGATATGCACATTCAACGACCATACGCGCCTTTCGAACACTACCCAAGTTGCGCGTCTTCTGAATGCTCGTCAATCTGTCGAGCACAAAACGGCGATGCGCTTCATCATCCAGGCCCACAGTGCCTACAATAAAGAGTGGCCAGAGTAACGTAGGGGAATCGGGTAGGTTCTCCATAAGGCTTATTATCATGTTGACGATTCGGGCTTTGAATCCTGATGGTGATGTCTCCACTACACTTAGTGTAGTGGCTTGGTGGCTAAGGGGCGAGTTGATGCTATTATTATGCTTATGTTTATGATCTTGGTGAGGGGAAAACTTCTCAACGGAATAAAAATAGCAAAGACCAGTCGGGCTCCCCAGGCGTTCGCGCAGGTATAGAATCGCTGCGAGCCTCTTTGTTTCGGCAATCCGTAAGAGGTCCTCTTGGAGGGAGGCGTAGCTTGGTAGCTTTTGGTGGAGAACTCGTAATTCGGCTTCGATATCAATCCTCGCTGTATTGAAATTTGAGATTCTTGCAGTGTGAGTTGATGGGTTTTCATCGCCTTCAAGGCCATTTTCAGCATACAGGTCTGTTGTTACAATAATATATTTGTTGATGGGGATATTACCTTTGACTTCTTTGCTCCTAAGGTTGATATTTTATTTATTAATGTCATGAGGCCCCGCGAGCAACCCATCAATACGTCAATCTAAAGCATTTCAGGTCAAAGAAACATTAGATACGACTCTGACACTTGATATTATCCTGTCGATGTAAAGGAAATATGCATACCTCCTCAAGGTCATCGTCGTCAAGCCATGAAAGGGCTACTTGTGCCACCTCCGAAGGATCTTCCACGCCCGTTCGGCCCATAATATAATGAGCGACAAAATACATCACGAAGAACCTCTTCAGCGTCTCACTTTCACACATTTGATGTGGGAACATTTCCATGAGCTGAAGGCCCCCACGAAGATGTGTTGTCCATGAAGGGGTACACCCATCAGTTATCTAAAAGAACATTATTAAAACACCGTCTGACAGCACAGGCAGCAGGCAAGGAAGGGTTACAGTGTACTTGCATCAAGGAAACAGAGCATCAATACCGTCGCAACTGCTCCAGCACTCGGTTTCCTATGGTTAGTCTCATTCTGCAAGCCATGTAGCGCCTTCTGCTTGAATAAAAATGCCTCCCGCTCATAGGTACTGTCGCCAAGGAGATGACGTTGGTTCGCAGCAATGGCAAGGAGGATGTTTCTCAGCGGCTCGTGGGGTTGTTGATAATTCAAAGCCAGCGGCGTGACGGGAGATAAATAGGGGTTAAATCCCGTGCTGAGTGAGCAGAAAGGTGCAATACCCCGAATGAAATAATCAAGCAGGAAACTCTCGACCGACGAACACTGCGCTAATGGATGGCCCAGGGGCCGGTGTGGGGAGGGCTGGACCAAACCATTCAAAGACTGAACAACCTCTATCAACTATGTCAACGAGCATTTAGCTACCTCCTCCCCGTTTACGCCAAAGTCCCAGTATGTTGTATTCAAAAATAGCCATCGACCTGCATACTGGTCAATGGAGACAGGCTGGAATTCATGACCGATTTCGACTTTTGTAGGTGTTACGGCCTTCGAAGAGCCTTTTGACCATGTTCCTAACAATAGAGAATTGATGCGCAGTTGGTCAGTGAATGTCTCTTGAAACTTGTTCCGGCTCATGTTTTCCTAGAGGAGGAAGCATCGAAAGGTCAGAGCATACCCTCCCGGCCAAAGCGTATGCCCCTCTGAGCCGCATCCTCTCTCCGGAGCAACTTGAGGCCACGAACACAGTGCAGGTTCAGTCGCTCGCATCGGCTGCATACCGGCCATTCCTCGGTGCATTGGACATGCTTTTCTAACGTCAGCCTCTCATGTCAGTTTATGAACGCAAGAGGATAGAGAAGAACGAACACATTGAACGAACCTTTACATCTCCAGCAACCGGTCCGTCGTCGGCTCTCGGGCTGCTTTCTTTCTCGCCGGGTCATTTGCACCAGACTTCCCCCCCCAGCTTCAGTCAGTCGTCCGTTCACCTTGTTGCGGGGAGTTTTTCCTTTCTAGTGAGCCATAGTTGGCTCCGTCTCAACTAATAGTCTGTGGTGGAAATCTGCGAGTTCAGCAATGGTCTCCAAGAGGCTCAGCATGTGTATTCTGTCAAAGCTGTATACATGGCTGGAGTCATCAGGTTGGAGGCATCAGGAAGAACGCGCCATGTACCTGGTTTGGGGCCAGCCGTCCATCTTATCAATCGAAGCCTTCGCAGGGGACTGTTGGCAATTTATTCCGCTTTGGGAAATCTACCGGCGGGACGAAGGGACGAACTGACTCAGCCCTGGTGGCTTGCATGGGTAAATCAAAGATATCCCAGGGCAAGGCGCAATGGAGCCTGTTATTTTCTTTTTCTCTTTTCTTTTTCGAAAGCAGGATATTTCCGGGTCTTGGTACAAAAAAGTTTTGAATATACGAATTCGCTCAGTGGGTATTTTAATTCTCTTGTAGCGCAAATGAAAACGAATAACTCTTCCGAGGTAGGTAAAATACCTCTGAATAACTATATAGTTACACACAAACAATGTTATCTCATGCACATGTCGTTGGGATCTCCCGTAAAATAGAGATATATCAAATCAACCACAACCCTAAGCACAGCTCCACTTTCCCGGAAGTTAACAGTGGTGGACTAATATGGGGCAGCTCGCTTCTACCCGTCGCACAGAACGGGGAAAAAGGGTAAATATGAGCAAAGAAGCTCGGCACGGCTTCCCAGCTCATGCTTATGAAGTTCTGGGCGGGAATAGAGGAAACCCAGTGTTTCTTATCAATTGTAGAATTTCATGTCAGTCACATCTTCCTCACTTCGGCAACCTCGACTAGTTGTCCGCTAGTATCGTTGTCGCCCACTTGAACGCCCCACACCCTCCATCGAGCATCCTCAATAATATCGGTCCTAAGCCACATCCCTTTGAAGGTGTTGAAGCTACCTTTTTCTCCCGTAGCGGATTTTCTTCTCCCCAGGTCGTCATTCGAGTCCAGCCATGCGAAAAGGAGTCTGAGTTGCCATAATCGGTCTTTGACCGTGTCATCCCCGCCGCCTTGGCCAGTTGCAGCCGCCACCAAATGCTGGACCGTCTTTTCAAGTACCAGTCTCGTATCCACCGCACTTGGACGCAACCATGAAGGTGACTCAATAACAATTTTGGATTGGTCCCTGGCATAAATCGTAATTGGTTGCTGAGATGGCAGTGAGGGTATCACTAGCGCCTTGTCACCCATATCAAGAATTCGGAAGGCAGGGAGATTGAAAATCCACTCCCAGAGGTGACGCGCGGGGAATCGGACCTGAATAGATGATTTGCCTTGGGAATACAGGATAGATGCTGCTGCACTCGGCACAGCGTTTACTGTCCGAGAGTAACCCGGGACCGAAGACGAAGGGATATCCTGAACGTCGCTCAGTGCCATCAGGGATGAAGAAAATTCTGAGGTGCAAGACGCATTGTAAACTGCTCGCCTACGGAGGTAAACAGATTGGTTACCCAAGCGGAATTTATCCCTGAGATCTGGGTTACCAGCAAAGTCCAAAGTCAGATCCCAGTGATCCGGGCTTTGTATCTTTACAGTTGCGAGATCATCTAAATCAGGAAGTAGACATGGCCCTGTTGTAACTTGGCTCTCGCCTGTTTTGAGTGTTACGGACACCGGAATTGTTACCGCACGCCGTGTGTCAAGGTCGCGCGGAATAAGACACCTTGGCTCCGCCGCGAGGACCCAAAGATGACGGAAGGCTTGAAGGTGGCATTTGTTATCAAGAACAGTGGTGGGAAATACGGGATAGAAGGAGCACAGTAGAGCTGCGATCCCAAGATTCGAAGTACCCAGCGTATATGTTCCACCTCCCAAAAACAGCATACCAATAGCCATGTGTGCTGCCATATGACTTCCATATGGAATGTCTCCACCAACGTGGCCGTGAAGTGATCGAAGACGGCGGAACACTATGAGATCTCCAGTTCCAGCCATGACAGCAGCTGCAGATAATGCAATAATATCCTGGCAATTGCGAACTGCGTTGCGAGTTAGCTTCTCATCGTAGTTATGCACAGCGAACCGCGATATCCGTTTAAACTGATCAAGATAGGAAACAAGAAGTTCGCGTGCTTGAGGTAAACCAGAACCGGCAAATCGAAGCCCAATAGCAAAGCAGAGCCCTGCAACAATGTTGAAAAATGGCATGTCATCAGTGCTCAAATGATGAATTGTCATCAGGCGATATTTGCGCTTATAAATAGATGGAATATTGTTCTTAATCCATCTATAGCTGGCAGTAATAGAATCCCACATTATTAGGTGTTTAGCCAATGTTCGAAGCAGGAAGATGTCAGGCCGCACATAGTCAAACTGAGCAACCGTGTCGGGGATATCGATCTTTTCAGCGACTGCCGCATCGTTTGATTTCATGAATATTATTGCCAGTGCAACAGTAGCACCGGCGGTGGCTTTATCCAGGATATGAACAACGTCCACATTTTTGGTCCCAACGGCAAGAGTTAGTAATCTTTCCACGATATGCATATCACGGAGCCCTCTTAAATCACTCCCCTTGGCTAAATTTATGAAGCCTAGAGCAAAGCCTGCGGCCAGACGATACCCCTCGCCCCGTAGAATGTCATGGGAGACAGATGGCTCCTCCTGGTCTGTATTTTCCATTTCCGACAGCATGACTTCACTCATCCGCCGGTGTTGGGAGTTGCAGTACAACAACCCAATACCCATAATTCCTGTAGTTTGTGTCAATGGGGACAGATTCAATTCCGCGGCGCCTGGAGGTAACATTCGGGTTACATGAACTGAAAGCAGGCGTGTTATCAGAGTATCCATGGTGCCGAGATAGGAAGCGGAAAGCCCCAGTAGAAGACCAATGGAGGTCATGGTATGTTTAGGAGTCAAATATTTGAAGGCGACCCATTTTGCCAAAGACTTTAGGTGTCCGTTCAAGCCCAGCGCAAGCAAAAATCCAGCGTGTCTATTCGTTAGCTCAATTGGTTTATTATACAATATCCAGGACGTATCAATGCCTTTCGCAGCTTTCGATATAGCGAGTCCAGTCGACGCCCCATTGTGAAAGAATGCCCAGCAAGCTTTATCCTCCGAGAAAGCGGACTTTTCAGCACTAATTGTCACATTCGACGGTTTCATAACGCACTGCAAGGAAAAAGCGGGTATTGGTAGTTTCTCAGTTAAGAGTGGTACCCTGCCACTAAACCCAATCATTGCTCTACCAGCAGGTACTGACAAAGTCCGCAAGACCACAAGCTGAACCAATTCCTTCTGGGCCTCAAGGACTTCCGATTCAGACAAACCCGGGGCCGGTACATATTCTGCGTATGGGGGTTTCATTTGATTCAAGATCCTGAATGCCTCATAAAAGCGTCGATCCTCGCGGAAAATAAGTCGCGTGATGGACTGCCTATCGGCTTCCGCGGAAACTTCGAAGGAATTCACAGTAGTCCCATCGAGCGACGGATTCCCAATCGAATGAACATCACGTGCAGCATCATGGGATTGAATAAACGGAGACCTTGACATTGGAGAGCTGGCCCTGTCTTCCGTCATCGACATGAAAAGATCGTCTCTGTCGATCAATGCGAGCAGTGAACTCCCCCAGTGACTCGGGGGTGCCGGCTGGCACCGAACAATAGCTTCGTGAAGAGGAACACTGATGCCGTCTGGAAGGGTATCAATTACAGAACTCGTTAAACCCCAGCGAAGCAACAGTTCCACCCGGTCTTCAACCGTAGTTTGTGGTTTTAGTTCCGAAATGAAGCCACTCAATGCCAAAGTCCGGGGTGTGAGCCTCATAGCTTGCTGCAGGGTAGAATCCCGGCCAGCTGCCTGTGCGGAACTTGATACGACGTCGAGGATCGTCAGAAATTTCGCTTGTTCATGGTTCAGAGATTTTTCAACAAATGAGAGTATCGAAGGGGGAGGAAAAGGCTCTTCCGGTAAGTCCAAAGCCGAAATCCTGGATTCTTCAAACGCCCATCGATCTATACTAGCCATCTCTACGCTGTAATATCCATTGCGCTTCCAATCCCAGGATTCCCACCCCAGCCATCCACCGATTTGTGCTAGGACAGGGGCGAGAAGGCCAGTTTTTGAATAAGAAGTTTCTGCATTGATAGTAGACAACTTTTGCTCCTCGCGAAACAAATGTAGTCCCACTAAGATCGTGCCAAGAGTAGTTCGTCTTGTGTCGGGGTCACGAGAAACTGCAGTTGGAAGATAGCCCTCCGCACCGATTGCGGCCTCGCCTTGGGGAGACGAAAGAAATTCCCGGGATAACGCCGCACAACGGAGAATATAAGCATTTTTTCGGGGAATGGCTCCAGCCTCAGGGCCGGGTCGATGATCTCCCCAGGAGATTTCTTCGGTAGGCTTCAAATCCTCTTCCAAAACCCAGCCCCAAGCGGAACCCATCATCCAAGACGACCCAACACCATGCGATCCAGCTTCTTGGTCCAACATACTATCCCAGTTGTCAAGGTCAATGGAACTTCCACTACTAGATCGTAGAAACTCGGCTTTTCTTCGCTTAGGTCTCGTTGCAGGTTTTGAATGATTGCCTTCGATAAAATAAACCCCCATTGTAAATAGCACAACCACCATTGCAGTCCACTCTAAATCGTTATCATTATCCCCCTCCCTTCTTGCCTGCAACCATTTCAAAACTTCCCACCAACCAACAAGAATTCCATCCCCGGCGTTATGTGCCCGTCGCAGCACAAACCTGCAGACGTCAAGGATCTGCTTGACACGGGGATTATGCGGCTCCAGTTGTATCTGAATCCTGTGTTTCCGCCCTTTCTTATCAACCACGTCAACCTTGCCCCTATTCGTAGAATGAAGTAGCCCACACAGGTCAAATGAGCCGTCGCTTAAAACTCTCTTCAAACTCCCTTCTCGTGGTCTATTCGGAGAGCTGGTAATT